CAATAGTTCCAGAATGAGCTGCTTCAGTCGTCCTAGCATGTCACCAACACCTCTGGACCGCTGTCGATCACCTGGAATGCTTGAACCCCTTGGCAGCTCTAGAACACCCATGTCTGTCCTGCAGCAAGCTGGTGGCTCCATGATGGATGGTCCAGGTCCCCGAATTCCTGATCACCCAAGAACATCTGTGCCAGAAAATCATGCACAGTCTAGAATTGCACTTGCCCTGACAGCCATCAGTCTTGGCACTGCTCGGCCGCCTCCATCCATGTCTGCTGCTGGCCTTGCTGCAAGAATGTCCCAGGTTCCAGCTCCAGTGCCTCTCATGAGTCTCAGAACAGCCCCAGCTGCAAGCCTTGCCAGTAGGATTCCTGCAGCCTCTGCAGCAGCCATGAATCTGGCCAGTGCCAGGACACCTGCCATACCAACAGCAGTGAACCTGGCTGACTCGAGAACACCAGCTGCAGCAGCAGCCATGAACTTGGCCAGCCCCAGAACAGCAGTGGCACCTTCTGCTGTGAACCTTGCTGACCCTCGCACCCCTACAGCCCCAGCTGTGAACCTAGCAGGAGCCAGAACCCCAGCTGCTTTGGCAGCTTTGAGTCTCACCGGCTCTGGCACACCCCCAACTGCTGCAAATTATCCCTCCAGCTCCAGAACACCCCAGGCCGCAGCCCCTGCAAACCTGGTGGGTCCTAGATCTGCACATGCCACAGCTCCTGTGAATATTGCCAGTTCAAGAACCCCTCCTGCCTTGGCACCTGCAAGCCTCACCAGTGCTAGAATGGCTCCAGCCTTGTCTGGTGCAAACCTTACCAGCCCCAGGGTGCCCCTCTCTGCCTACGAGCGCGTTAGTGGCAGAACCTCACCACCGCTTCTTGACAGAGCCAGATCAAGAACCCCGCCGGGAGGCCCAGGCTCCAGAACCCCACCATCTGCCCTGAGCCAGTCTAGAATGACCTCTGAGCGGGCTCCCTCTCCTGCCTCTAGAATGGTCCAGGCTCCCTCACAGTGTGTTCTTCCTCCAGCTCAGGATAGACCTAGGTCCCCTGTGCCATCTGCTTTTTCTGACCAGTCCCGAGCTTTGCTTTCCCAGACCACCCCTGTAGTAGGGTCTCAGTCCCTTTCCTCTGGGACAGTGGCCAAGACCACGTCCTCTGCTGGTGACCACAATGGCATGCTCTCTGGCCCTGTCCCTGGGATGTCCCATCCTGAGGGTGGGGAACCACCTGCCTCCACGGGGGCCCAGCAGCCTTCCCCGTTGGCCGCCCTGCAGCCGGCAAAGGAGCGGCGGAGTTCCTCCTCCTCCTCCTCCTCCAGCTCCTCCTCTTCGTCGTCATCATCATCGTCTTCCTCCTCCTCCTCCTCTTCTGGTTCCAGTTCTAGCGACTCAGAGGGCTCTAGCCTTCCTACCCAACCTGAGGTAGCACTGAAGAGGTGAGGGGCTTGACTTTTACAGCTGATTGTATGGGGCAGGTTTGGGGGGATGGTTGGTGGTGGGGAGGGAAAAGCCGTATCCAGAGGTTCTCTGCTCTTTGAAGGAGGTACGGGAACCTTGACCCTTAAGCTGGGGGTAGAAGAGAATGCTGGGGGGGCGGGGTTGGGGCGGGGGAGGAGCGGGTCAGATAAAAGTCTCCAAAGGTTCATTCTCTAGAGGATAATGATGAGTTTTCCATCTCTACAGAGGACAGAACTAGAGGAAATGGACTTAATTTTACAGCAGGAGGGATGGCAGTTAGACCTCAAGAGGAACTCCCTGGGCTGGAAGGATCTTCAGAGGTCATCCCATCCCTCTCCCTGCCTCCAGGCAGGACGGCCCCTCCCCCAGCCAACCCGCACACATGGGGGCCTCCCCAAACTGTGGCTCTCCGTGGAAGGAGACCACCCAGCTCGCCTTCCACACCTGAGCCCAGGGGCCTTATTCCTCCATCAGGGACATTCTTGAGGTTTAGCCTTGATCCCTTGTGCTGCGGGCCCCAGCCTGTTGCTTGTGTTAGCAGAGGTTGGGTCAGCTCGGGCCACCGCTCTCCAGAGAATGCGCTCACTGGCTCTCAGCTTGGAAAGGGCGCAGGGCCTTTCTGCGGCACCCCTCCCCCACTGCCGTTCCTCCAGGCCAAGGAAGGTAGGGTTGGGGCTGGGGCAGCTTGTCTCCTTGTGACGCTCTGCTTCTCCCACAGGGTACCCAGCCCCGCCCCAGCCTCAAAGGAGGCTGTTCGAGAGGGACGTCCTCAGGAGCCGACCCCAGCCAAGCGGAAGAGGCGCTCTAGTAGCTCCAGTTCCAGCTCCTCCTCCTCTTCCTCCTCTTCCTCCTCCTCTTCTTCCTCTTCCTCCTCCTCTTCCTCCTCATCCTCCTCCTCTTCTTCCTCCTCTTCGACTTCTTCCTCCCCCTCCCCTGCTAAGCCTGGCCCTCAGGCCTTGCCCAAACCTGCAAGCCCCAAGAAGCCACCCCCTGGCGAGCGGAGGTGAGTGCTGCCTTGCTTGAGACGGAAGGGGTGCGGGGAGACCCTGGGTGTGAGATCCCTGCTGGGAGTCTCAGGTGCACTGTGGCGTCTGGTTAGGTGGGAGGAGTTGGGTTCTGCTCTCCCTACCGCCTTCGCTGTGCCCTGTTGTGGCAGAGGGCTGCACCGTCCAAGTGGGTGCTCCAGTCAGAGTTGTGGAGTCCTAGGTACCTTCCTCTCCCTGCCCCTGACATGCAGCCTGTTCCCTGCTCCCAGGTCCCAGGGATACAAGCTTTTAAATCTCCCCATTGCTACTGCCAGGGCTCCGGTCTGGCCACCGTCATCTTCTCCCGACTCTGTCCACAGCCTCTTCCCTGTCTCCCTGCCTCCACGCCATTCTCTTCCACACGTAGCCAGAGGGATCTTTCTAAAACGCACATCTGGTTACTTCCCTCCACTCCACAAATCCTTCCGGGACGCCCTGTGGCCTGCAGGATAAAGCCCCACCTCTGCGGGAATGGCGTGTGAGGCTCTTCACCAACTGGCCTTGCCTGCCCTGTGTTCTCCTCTCCTGCCCGCCCCCACACATGCCCTGTGCTCCAGCCATACCCAGCGCCTTGCAGTCTAAGGAGAACCCCATGCCTTTGGACATGCTGTTCCTTCTGCCTGGAATTCCCTTGTCCGCCTGGTGAACTCCTCGTTCTGCAAGACTCCGCTCAAACAGCACCTTCGAGAAGACTACCCTGCCCCATCCCTGCCCCACATCCCCTTCCCCCGGGTCCCCAGACCCATTGTACATCGGTCCTTGTGGGGCTGCTTCCCATACATGGGGCCAAGTGGGCCTCCCTTCACCACCAGACTGAGCCCCTCCAAGGGCAGGGACTGTCTTTATCTTTGCATCCCCCGCTGCACCCCGTGCCCTGCCAGTTGGGGCACTCGGTGGATGGTGTGCGGGCGGATGGGTGAGTGAGCAGACAAAGGTGGGTCTGAGGCTGGCCCTGTGTGGTATGAGGTTTGGTGGTCAGGACCTGGGGGGTGGTCCTGAGTGCCGGCTGGTGGGTTTGAAAGATTCTGGTGCTATGGGGACTTACTCTGCTCCCCAGGTCCCGTAGCCCCCGGAAGCCAATAGACTCCCTCCGAGACTCTCGGTCCCTCAGCTACTCGCCTGCGGAGCGCCGCCGCCCCTCGCCCCAGCCCTCGCCACGGGACCAGCAGAGGTAGGGCCTCCTGTCAATAACCAGCCCAGCCTGGCCAGCATGGCTGTGTGAAGAGTTTTGAAAAGGTCCAAAGGTGCCAGAGGTTGGTGTTGCCTTCCGTGTGGTCTGATGTGTGTCCTGTGTCGTTGCAGCAGCAGTGAGCGGGGTTCCCGCAGAGGCCAGCGTGGGGACAGTCGCTCCCCAGGCCACAAGCGCAGGAGGGAGACGCCTAGCCCCCGCCCTGTGCGGCACCGCTCCTCCAGGTGCGTTGTCCTGACACTCCAGTGCTTGGTCCCCTTCTGAGTTGCCCCAGCACTGGCTGGTCTCTGCACTGATTCCTTTTTTCTGTTGCAGGTCTCCTTGAATCTTTCTGGGGGGAAGTCCACCACACCCCAAGTTCTGGAGCTGCAGGGAGTGTCCCCTTTCCCCAGCAGAGCCATGGGGAGGGGTTCTTGTCTCCCCCCCCTTTGAACCCTGGCAGCATCTTGGGGGAGGGTTCTCTCCTTTCCCTCCCCCCCTTTTTTCTTTGTTCCTGTGAAATGTTAATCTCTGTGAGTTTTTCCTGGTTCACGTTTTGGGGGGTTTGGGGTGGGTGGGAATGAGAATGGGAGTTGCGGGAGGGGATGATACAGTTGGGGACACCCTGGTCTTGAGTTGAAAGGGCCTGGGAGGCAATGATGCCCCCTTTTACCCCTGAGTTCCTGGGGGGCAGTGGTTTGGAACTTGGGAACTTTGTGTGAGGTGTTCCTGGAAGGAAGGGGCAGGAGTGGAAATTAGTTGGCCCCTACTGCCCCCCCAGTGAGGTGGTGGCCCCTCCCCCAACTTTTCTTCACGTTTCTTAAAGGCATTTTGGTTTTTTTTAAAATCTGTACAGCAAGAGCAACTTTTTCTGTCAAATAAAAATGAGAAATGCAGGAATTGGGTCTATACATGATTTATTAGGGGTGGAGAGAGAACTGTTCTACTCTGACTGCTCCCCCTCCCCCCAGTGCACTCTCTTGGCCTCAGAGGACATGTGTTGGGTGGATCTAGGCTTTGGGTCCTCCTTAGAGCCCAGGCTAAAGCCCATACCCTGGCTCCAGCTTGCTTTTGCTCCTGGCTTCTCCTTAGCTCAGAAGCTGCCTGGGAGCCTACCTACTGGCAGGAAGTCACTAAAGGAACAAAGCCCCAAACCTTGGGTCTCCAGGTTCCTCCCAGTCCTCTGCCAGTGGGCTCAGAGGGGCAGGCTGGGGTGGGGGTGGACAGCTGGGCCCACAGAGCTTGTGGTCTCTCAAGGTGAGTTGTTGTCTTGCAGGGGAGCAGACCCATCCCAGGGAAGGTGATGCCTGAGTCAGGAGAAGGGTGCACAGAAAAAGGCAGCAACCAGGCAGACACCCAAATCTTTTATTGGGGGGGGGCACTGGGGACGGGCCCGGGGCCCTCACTGCACCGCTTGTTCATTGGCGCTGCTTCCTGAGTCCTGTGGCTTCATCACATCGGGCAGCTCAGGTGGGCTGGAGAAGGGCTCGATGCGCAGGGCCTCGAAAGCTTCATCTGGTGGACAGGGGTGGGTGGGGAGAGCTGGAGGGAGCAGCCACTACTATCTAGCTTCTGGTGTCCTCTGAGCAAATCCCCACCTCTGCAGAGTCTCCTCCATGATCCTACTAGAATGAGTTCCACCCCTACAGGCCCAACCTGGACTGCCCGTCCCCCCCGCATCCAAGTCCATTTCCTCACCCTTTACACCTACTAGTGACACTGTGCACACAGACCCTTACCCATTTGTCTCCCCTCATCCAGAATCTCCATCTCCTTGTTCCATTCACACCTCCTCTCTACTAAACACTGATTTTTTTTTAAGTTCAAACCAGCCTGTCCTTCCCCTGCTTAAAAGCTTCCAATAGCTTCCCATCACACTGAATAAAATCTTAAGTCCATTGCCCTTTGTCCACCTGTCTCCTGTGTTCCCCACATCAAGCTCTTTCCTGCCTCAGAGCCTTTGTATCTGCTAGTCCCTAGCCTGCCACTCTGAATGGCTGGTTATCTGGGGGCATTCAAGTGGTCAACCCAAACATCATTCCTCAGAGAAGCCTTCCCCAGCCATCCTACGTAGACAGTCACTGCATCCCAATACCTGTGCATTGCTACAGCAGCATTTACATACCTCTAGCCAAAATGGCCGTTTCTTTTGACCAGGCTGCTTCTCCCACTAGAACAGCAGCTCCAGAAAGCCCTGTCTTGTTTCTGTCACCTCAGCACAAAGCAAACGAGCCCCACTTCCTAACTTTACTCCTGCACTTTCTTCCAACAGGGAGACTTCTCTCCACCTGGCTCAGGGTTCTCAACCAATTAGGCCCCCATAGGAAAGGTGGCCATGTCTGGCAACAGTTTTGGTTGTCATAACTTGGCAGAGTGGGTAGATGGCCATCTCTAATAGTGGCCAGAGATGCTAAACATCCTGTAGTGCCCAAGACACCTCACACAGAATTACCTGACCCCAGATGTCCACAATGCTGAACTTAGAGACCGGTGGCTCAGCTTAACTAATTCAGCTTCAAAACGACCAATCTGCAGTGACAATTCTTGCCTTCATTTCTCCCGTTTTTGGTTAAGTCTGGACAATGCTATTTAACACTTGATTTGACTGAGCAGCCAGTTGGGGGGGGTGGGTTAAGTTCTGTGTTGCTCTTCCAAAAACTCTAAGGAAAACAATTACCCACGCAGAAGTGCACTTTTGCAGCCCAAGGGAGGAACAAAGAACAGCCAGTCCAGTCCATACTGTGTCCTCCATCAAGACAGCAATCACCTGCCCCAGTGGTGATGCCACCTACAGTCTAGTCACCCCCACATTCAATGCCCTAACTGGGGTCATGGGGAAAAACAAACCCTGTGTTGTGATTTTTTTCATCAACAAAATAGGCCTGCTGACATCTTACAAGAGTCTCTGCAAGCCTACAGGAGACTGCCTTTAAGAGGAAGGACTACGTCCTCCGGGAGAATGTAGCCAAGTCTTGGGGCTTAGGAAGCAGAGTGGGAGATGTGCTTTCAGTCCTCACCTGCCCCCTCAGAAGGGTACCCCTGTACAGGGCCTAACCTGTGTAAAGTCTGCACCAGCTGTGCACCTACCTTAGTACTACTGAAAGGGTCAGAGGGGACCCACATGAAGGCCCTTAAGATTTCCACTTCCTGAGCACCCTCAGGCCAAGGCCTGGGGCCCGTGGGGGCTCACACCGCCTGTGAGGCTGGCCTAAGTGTCACACGCCTCTATGGAGATGGGAACTCCAGCCAGCAGGACGGGGGGGAGGGGGGGGGGCAGCAGTGTGAAGCAGCCCCCCAAGGACATGGCTGCTGAGGCCTGGCACAGTGATCCTCATGAAATACAGAAGTGTGGCTAAGGCTGTACCCTCCCTCCTCAACCTTCACTACACTTTTTGTCACAAGAAGCCAGAAAAATCATTACTTATCAACCGAGTTTACTCAACACAACTTGAACACACTACAACCCCTGTTCCAAGTTTCTAGAAACAAAATTCAAACCTCTCTTTTTCTTGGGGGAAGGAGAGCAGTGAACCGCCCCCACCCTTGGGTTTCTAAGCACTGGGCAGGGGGCATGTGGTTCATGAGCGCACAGGGACTGGACATGAATTCTGGATCTGGCAGTCCCAGCAAGTGACCTAATTTTCCCAGGCTTGGTTACTCATCCTTAAAATGGGCACAACACACGTGTGGCATGCACAGAGATGCTGGGAGATTAAGTGATGCCCCTCAAAGACTGCCTGGCATGGTGCCCAGCTCAAGCAAGGTCCCAGCAGTCTGCATCTGAACCGTAGCTCCCCACATGACTGCCGGCAAGCCTCAGTTTCCATGACTCCAAAGTGGGGATAGCCACACTTCCCTCTTGGGGTACCAAGTATTAAATGGAACAACAAATAAAATGCAAAGCACAGGACCCAGTACTAAAACCTTTAAACAGAAACTGGTATAGTGATTAGGGATATTTCAATCCTTCATGAAATAGGCTTCAATTTCTACAAGCATCTCTGCTTTTTTTTTCTTTGTGGGGAAACAAATACACAAGATACTGCCTGCGCTTTGTGGACTAGGAAGCCACTGCCCTGGAGGCTGGGAGGAGGAACAAGAGGCTCCCCAGTGACCCCTTTCTTTGGCTGTTTCACCCGGCCTGGCCGCCCCGCTCACCTGCTCGAAACGCCAGCCCTACAGTGGCTGGGGCCTGCGGCCGTGCTGTCTGACTGGTGAAGCCACACTCTCCCAGTGTCTTGCCGTCATCCAGAAGCTGGTCATCCTGAGGAGAGAGGCAGGCAGGGTGTTGGGAGAGGCCCCAGGAGGGGTGAGTCCCAGACTTCCCTGGTCAGCAACTACCCTGAAAGTCAGAAGAAGAAAGATAGATGGCCCCAAGTGGGGCCCAGGACCACCCGCAGAACGTATCAAACACAATTTCCAGGGCTACACAAGACTTTCCAAATCAGAACCTCTCAGAGTAGAGCTCTGGAATCTCGTTTTCCCCTCCCAAGGCTCCAGGTGATTCTAATTTCAAGAGTCAGTGACCCAGTCTGTCCACTAGTAGACCTGATTTGAATCCCAGCTCTGCCACCTTGGACAAAGCGGTTGATCTTTTTGATGGGCAGTTTATCTGTAAGATGGGAATTACTGGAATTCCCAACTTGTAGGGCAGCCAGGAGGTTTCAGTGAGTGAAGCAGACCCAGAAAGCACGGAATACAGTACATGGAAGGAGCACAGGCAGCAGGGAAGCCTCCCCGGACGCACAGCATAAGAGGCTTCCAGAGACTAACAGAGAGAGGCTCAGTTTGGAAGGAAAAGCCAGTTTCCCGGTTTCCAGCGAGAATGAGACCAGTGCACTTAGGTGAAGGGCTCCATGCTGCTGGACACCTGAATTGGGCCAAGAGGACGGACTCCCCCATGAAAACACAAAGCCCCAAGCCATTTTCGCTACATAATTTCAGTTGGTTTGAAAGGGAAGGACGAACTTTCAGAGCACCGGCAGGAGCTTGGGGAGTAATGCGCTCGTTGGGTGGTGGCCTGCTGGGCCGCTACTCACCCCGACACCCTCCGCTTGTCGGTAGTAAGGAGCGGGGATGAAAGTGTGTGCTTCTGACGGGCCCGCGGGGCACTAAAGGCAACGGGGTTCAAACCCCGGCTCTGCCGCGGACCTTGGGCTGAACGGTCACCTCGCCCAGCCTCAGTTTCCCCAGTCCGCCGCCGCTGGGATGAGACACGCCGCCGGCCCCCCCAAGAAGCGCCCGGGGCCCCCCGCGCGTCCCCCGGGGCCGCCCCTCCACCGAGCACCGGCGCCGCCTCGCCTCCACGCGGGGGAGTTCCGGCCACTGTTTACACCAACGACGCAGCCGCCCCGCAGCGCCCGCCCCCGCCCGGGGCCGCACCTTGTACAACCGCTGCTCGTCGGGCGGCCGCTTGAGGATGCCCTCGACGATGCGCTTTAGCTCGAACACAGTGCTCGACTCCTTGGCGTCCGTGAAGATGGTGGTCTTGTGGCGCCGGATCATGAGGAACACGTCCTGGGGGCGGCGGGCCGGCGTGAGCGCGGAGCCCAGAGCCCAGCTTCCCTCGCCCCCGCCGCTGACCGCCCCCACCCCCAGCCCCGCGCGGCCCCCCGCCGCCCCCCGCCGGCCCCGGCCCGCCGCCCCTCCCCCCGCGCCCGCTCACCATCGCGGCGGCTGCCTGTCCCCTCTCGACGCGCCGGCGCGGCCGCGCTCCGCCCCGTTCCCGGCAGCCCGCGCACCCCGCCCCAGCGTGCCTCGCGCCCGGCGGCCCCGCCCCGCCGCCGCCGCCGCCGCCGCCATTTTAAGTGATGCGCCTGCCGCTCCAACCGACTGCGTGTCCGGCCGCCATCTCGGCGCCGTGGCGTGGTGGGCGTGGGGCAGGGGTCCGGCGCGGCAGGTGGCGGCGCCATCTTGGGAGTGGCAAAGCTGAGGCGCCCCTGTTGCAGTCAGGGGGTGGTCTGGGTGCAGGCTCGGCCCTCTGGTGGGGGAACGTTGGGAGCTGACCTGGCGAGTGTAGAGTACCCCCACGTCCCAGGGAGAGTCAGTGAAGGTCGGCTCATAATTGAGGGGCTTCCTGGCCTCCGTTTTGAGGGGGTGATAATTCCGGACCTTCCGGCTGCCCCCGTGGGTGTGCTGTCCTCATTTCCACGCCCAGCCTTGGCTGGGCTTTGTGGCCGGGAAGGACCCCAGGAAGCTGCCCTGGGTGTTAGTGAGTGGGCGGGGAGAACTCCCAGGGAGAACGCCATAAGGCTCGGGAGGCCTTAGCGGGTGAAGCCTCTGCCTGCAGCTCAGGATGATCCTGGAGTTCCTGGGATGGAGCCCCACGTCGGGCTCCTTGCTCAGCAGGGAGTCTGCTTCTCCTTCTGCCTGCTGCGCCCCATGCTTGTGCTCTGACAAATAAAATCTTTTAAAAAATGCCATAAGGCTCTGCCAAAGTTGGTGCTCACTCCCCAGGGTGAGGCGGAAGGAGGAGTTCCCCAGCCCAGGGGCTTGGGCAGCTGCCCCCCTCGCTGCCTGCGTCCACTCGGGCTTTGGAAGGGCCTGTAGACTTGGTTTCCCTGACTGGCTGTCCTTCTATGGGGTTTCCCTACCAACAGTCTAGGCCTTACTTCTTGGGTGTGGGGACACTGTCCTGCCTTGCCCCAGGTTGCAGTTACACTGGAGGGAGGGAAAGAGGTTTTTTTCTCTTGCATAGCCAGTACTGGGAGGGAGAGAGCCTCAGCTGGGTCGCTGATGGCATGTGTCAGACATGCCGGGGCACCCAGTAAGCCGGTGGATGGCCCTGGATGCCAAACAGTGCTGCCGATGTTGGGGGTTGCTATTTGACAATTCTTCAGAGTGGGCACAATCTGAAGATGCTGCTGCCTTGGCCCTGAACCGAGCTGGTCACTAACGGCTATTAACCTTAAGAAAATAAAACTGCCAAGTTATTTCACCAGCAAAACTGGGCTTATGTGGGGAAAGCAGAGAATTACAAGCCAGGACGAGCAAGCTACAGCAAAGCCATAGGCAAGTCCGCAGAACAAAGGAGAGAAACTCTCATATAGTGGAAAGGGGAAACAGGGAGGGCTATTATAGACAAAAAGTTCTTTGGAATAAAGTGAGTTCTAATAGTGGGTTTTCACTGGCTGAGCTGTTGCCTTCCTCCTGCTCGGGTAGTAAAGTAGCATGCACCTGCCAGATGCGACTCTTCCCCTTGCGGGGGCAGTTGATGAGCGAGAGGGCTGAGAGCGCCCCCTGCTGGCCCCGCGCCTGCGTTCTATAGAATTTTTTTTTTTTTTTTTAATGCATTTGAGACAGACAGATACAGAGAGAGAGAGAGAGAGAGAGAGAGTAGGAGCAGTGGGGAGAGGCAGAGGAAGAGGGAGAAGCAGACTCCCCGCCGAGCGGGGAGCCCGATGCGGGGCTCAATGCGGGGCTTGATGCGGGGCTTGATCCCAGGACCTGGAGATCATGACCTGAGCCAAAGACAGACGCTTAACAACTGAGCCACCCAGGTGCCCCGCCATGCCTGTGTTCTAAACGAGGTTTCCTTTCACTAATTTTCACAGTGCGGGCTGCGTGCTCAGACCACTGGGGATTCAAATACTTGGTCCCGGCGCTGCCTGTGCAGCTTTGGGCAGTTAACCTCATGAAAGTCCAGTTTCCTCTTTTTTAAGATGAGAGAACAGCTGTTTGTAAAGTTGTAGATTTTCATCAAGAATTGGTACTCAGTAGGTGTTTCTAAAACCGTAACCGTAATTATTGTTATTTTTGACTTCTAGCCTCTGCCTCCTCCAGAGCTCCCTGAAGTCCTCTCCCTCCTGTGAATCTTCCCTCCCTGAGCCTCGGCAGCCCTGGCTCCCCGCTAACTCTCCCGCCCCTGGCTGACCTCCACCGCTGCTTCGTCACCTGAGTCAGGAGGCGGTGGACGAGTCACTGGTGCAGAGAGTCCTTGGCTCAGGCCGAAGATTTCCATCTTAATCTCAGCATCTTTGTGTACAGAGATTTTGAGGCTTTAGATCCTGTACTGCTGAGGAAGGAGAGCGTGCGGCAGGGGAGGGGTGTGGCCCATTGGGGCCAAGGAGGTTCTCAGAGGCATCCAGCCGACTTTCCAGAATGAGGCAGGTAAAGATGGAGTCCAGGGGTGTAGGGAAAGGAGGGGCCTCCTCTTCGCCCACGATGTTCTGGCCCAGCTGCACCCTGGCCCATTGTCCTGAATGTGCGCACTATTGCCACGTAGACACCTGCCTTATTAGGTCTGTCCTGGCCGGTGTCACAGCTCAGGATGCCTACCAGGAGTCATCCTGAGTAGGCCCACACTCCATCCCTCCGAGGATCATGGCTGTCTTCACCCACCCTCCAGCAGACCATCTGAGTTCCAACATCAGCTTATTGACTATGATCTTAGGCGAGGCACTGAGCCTCCACCTGTTTTCCCATCCATGCAGGGGATACACAATTGGACTCCATATGGCATTTGGGGGGCACTGATGAGCTAATGCACGCACCACACAGTGCTGGGGTTTGGGTAATGACGGGAGTCTGCTTACAGCAGTCTTTGCTGTTAGAGGTCACCCAGACTAGGGAAGGTGGCGAGTAGGGTGGGGGCCCTGCCCAACAGGAGTCCTTCCCCTCAGGGTGTCTCTCTGAGCCCCACGGTACCATCCACTTGGTGGGCCAGTGGTAGGAGGTCACTGCAGGCCTTGGTGTAATTGTGAGTGCAGTGGGAATGGGGTCAAGAGGGAATGGAGGGGGAGTAGGGGCTGATCCCCCACAGCCCCTGCCTCTGTGGTCTTGCTGGGTGCAGGTCTGCCCTCCTGGGAGCCATGACAGACAGAGCGGGAGTCTCAGGATGGTGGGTGAACTGGCTGGCCGGCTGCTCTCAGTTCTCTGCACAGGAAAGCTGGCTGGGCCCTTTCTGCCCTTGCGCCTCAATGACCGGGCGCTCGTGCCAGGGACCCTTCCCTGGCCTCCAAACTAAGCCTGCAGGGTCTCGGCCTGGTGGGCCTTCCCTCCCCCTTTTTTTTAATCATCGATGACTAGATAGTAATTATCACGACTGATAGTTACTGGTGTACCTCTCATTTGTAGGGTGTTTTACTACTTTCATCTCTGCAAGGTTCACAACTCAGTGTGGAGTTTAAGTCAGCTGCCCAGCTTCGACCTGGTTCCACCTCTTACCAGCTGTGGGCCTTAGGGCACACCACTTAACCTCTCTGGGCCTGTTTCCCCACCGGTGAAAGTGAAAACGAGAACACCTCGTGTGTGTTCTGGGAGCAGCTGAGAGCGTGCTCGCAGGGCACAGTAGCCGTGCTCGGTGGGCAGGAGTGTGAGGGCCTCAGCCCTCCCAGCAGCCATGACACGGTGCGTGGCATCCATTCAGAGGACAGAAGGGGAAACCGAGGTCAAGTCAGTACTCTTGGGAGCGGCTAGGCCATCTATCCGGTTGCAGCATCCCCAGCCAGAGCAGTTGGGCAGCTAGGAAATGCCCGCCTACCTTAGAGAAGAGCCCAGTGTCCCCCATGCCTGGACTTCCCAGGACCACCCCCGCCAACCTGGTGCTCCCCTCCCCGCAGCACGGTCTCCCGACCTGTCACCTGGCAGGGCGTATAGCCATGGCTGATGCAGGGCCATGTCACCCCCCCCACACGCCCCCACTGACCTTGCTGACAGACGGGACCACCAGCACAGGGGGGGCGTGCCCCTGAGCCTGCTGGGCGAGGAGATGCAACTTGCCCAGTCTCACAAGGCTGGCACACCAGGAAGGCGCTAGGGGAAGGGGAGCCCAGAGCCCCGCACTGGCGGGAAGCAAGGGGAGAGAGTAAAGGGGATTGTAATCTCCCCTCCATCATTCCAGCTGCCTCCAGAATCAGACCACCTGGGCGGGAATCTCAGCCTACCATCTACCAGCTGCGTGGCTTTGGGTCTTGGCTTTCTCATCTGAGAAATGGGTGTCAGGTGAGGATCCCACGAGGTGGTGCCACAAAGCCCTCCGCGTGGCATCTGGTAAGGGCTTGATGAGGAGCAGCTGATTTCTTCTCATTTGCTGACCCTTCCCTTCCAGGCACAGCTCCTGTCCCTCCAGCTCCAGACTCCCCTGTTTAGCTCCCAGGTTATACTTCCGAAACACGGGGCTCTCTGAATGGGGACCCATTACTCAAATCACAGCAGGTCCAAGGCTGAGGCAGACTGGCTCCCAGGCAGACTGGCTTGTGCCCATCTCAGTGCCTCGGGAGGCGTCCTGGGGAAGGTCCCTTAGCTGGCCCCAGGCTGAGGGAGGGAGCGAGGATGGCCAGCATCAACCAGCAGGGGCCACCAGGGTCCCCTTGCTGATGTGCCCATGGCCATGCCACGTTCTGGGCACCCTGCTCCCCGATAACCATCCCCCAAGGACAGCGAAGTGCTTCCCCAGATGGATGGCCCTCAGCCAGGGGGAGAAAGCAGTCTGGAGCTCCCTCACGGCCCGAGTCCTGTGGGCCCACCCTGCCTGCCTGGCTCAGCCCGGCAGCAACCACCGGGGTGCGGCTACCTTCTCTCTCCTGGGAGGGAAGAGTGGAGGCGAGCCTCAGGCCTGCCCCTGGGGCTGCACCTTTGATGGTGTCCTCCCCCATGCCCCCTGCCCCCACTGTCCCTGTTAGCCTCAAAGATTAGGCTTTGGGGTTTCCAGGTTTTGTTCAGTTTCTTGTTCCTTCTGCAGTTCTAGACACTGAGCTGTATCTATTGGGATGGATGGTCTTCGGCCTGGGGATGAGCAGATGGCAGGGAGGGGACAGGAACCAGGTCCCAGGCACGCAAAGGTGGGCAGGGAGCTGCAAGGGGCCTAAGCTAGTTTCCAGATGCAGGTGTGGGGCGGGTCCTGGGTCTGTGGGCCCCTTGCCACAGCTGGGACACAGCCCCAGACTTTCCCCAGTGAGGATGGCTGTAACCACAGAAACAAGCACAGCAGAAGCTCTGCCAGGCCTGTCTGGGGGCTCCCAGCCCTTCCTGGGTTGAGGGCATGATGCCAGGTGCCCCAGGCTCCTGAGCCTTATTAGAGCCTAGGGCTAGCCCACCCAGACCCTGGGGGCATCTCCACTGCAGTGGGGCAAGATCTAGATTCGTTTTCTTTTATTTATTTTTTTAAAGATTTTATTTATTTGACAGAGAGAGACAGCGAGAGAGGGAACACAAGCAGGGGAAGTGGGAGAGGGAGAAGCAGGTTTCCCGCCGAGCAGGGAGCCCGATGCGGGGCTTGATCCCAGGACCCTGGGACCATGACCTGAGCTGAAGGCAGATGCTTAACGACTGAGCCACCCAGGCGCCCTAGATTTGTTTTCTATTGCTCTGTAGTAAATGACCACCAACATAGCAGCCTACAACCACCCAAATTTATTAAATCACAACTCTGTGGGCCAGAAGTCTGGGTGGGCTCCACCAGGCTCAAGGGCTTGGCCTGTGGGGCGGCCTGGTGGGGCTCTCATCTGGAGGCCAGGGGGAGCTGGGTCCCAGGCTCATTCAGCTCCTTGCTGTTGTAGCAGTGAGGGGCTTCCCTGCTGGCTGTCAGCTGGGGGCTGCCCTCAGCTCCTGGAGGCCGCTCCATCTTCAAAGCCAGCAATGGAGAAGCATCACCCTGGGGCTGAATCCCTCTCACACTTGGAAGCTCCCTGACTTCCTCCTGAGAAAGGGGGCCCAGAGGCCAGACCGGGCACCAGCTGGCTTGCCTGTCTCTGGGGACCCAGGCCCAGCCCCCCGCTGAAGCTGAGAAGGGTAAATATGAGAAGGAGGGGAGGGGGGCGGGAGGGATTGTGAGACAGCTCCCCCCTCCCCGCTCCCCCAAATGGGAGACTCCTGGAGGAGGGTTGGCGGCTAGGGCTTGGTGAGCCCTATGGAGGAGGCAGGGATGGACAGATAGATGACACCTTAGCTTTATAAGTCCTGTGAGCCTCAAGTTGGAAGGGGCAAGGTGTGGGGAATGGGCAGGTCCTCAGAGGGACCCCAGCCTCTGGCTCCAGGTCAGTGTTCCTGCATTAGAGGCTAAGGCGAGCCTGAATCCAGGGGCTGTAAGCGGCCACATTGGTGTAGACCCCTGGACGGTTGGGCAGGGCACAGCCCTTGCCCCAGCTCACCACGCCCACCAGGACCCAGCGCCCGGATCTCACGCAGGTCAGGGGTCCCCCAGAGTCACCCTGCAGGAGAAAGGCAAGCTTAGGTCTCAGCCCTTTGAAGATTTGGGATGGCAGTGCCAGGACCCCAGTCCCTAAGGCGGTGCCTCTGGGTTAGGGGACAGGATGTACGGCCCCTGGGTTCCAAGGAGGGAGGGCAGGTGCTGGACACAGGACCTAGACTCCAGGGGTCCAGGCAGCTTCCCGCACCTGACAGGCGTCTTTGCGGCCCTGGACGTAGCCGGCACACAGGTTTCCGGGCAGCACTATGTGCTCCGCGCCAGGCACGTCGGTGCCCACGTGGTAGAGGTGGTCACAGGTGCGCGCATCCAGCAGCGGCACCCTTACTCCCTGCAGAGGTCGCCAGTCTGGAAGTGGCACTGGCGGGGGGGCGGGGGGGGGAAGGGGGGCTTCTGAGAGCTGGGAGAGGCAGGGGCTGAGAAGCCTGACCCGCCGGGCCAGGCACGACTCGCTGGTCTGACTGGGAGGAAGAGGATTGGGTCCCCGGAGGTCGCGCTGAGCCCCGGACTGCGACAGCGCGGCGCTAGCCTTCCCGGTCAGAGGGAGGTGGAGAGGGATCCCGCGTCCCCCCCGCCGGGCCCCCGGGCCCCGCCCCCCCGCCTCACCTCCCGGCCGCAGGCTGCCCCAGCCGGTGACCCAGCACGGTGTGCCGGGGGGCGGGCGCGCCCCGGGCTCCGGCAGGCAGACGGGCTGGATGCGGGCGCTCAGGGGCACCGGGCGGCGCAGCTGCAGCAGCGCCAGGTCGCCGCGGGCGCGGTGCTCGGAGTAGTCCGGGGGCAGCAGCACCCTGCGCACGGGCGCCGAGAGCGCGCGGGGCGAGGCGGGGCCCAGGTGCAGCGCCCCGAGGCGCACGCGGTACTCGGACGGCAGCGTCGGCCTGCGCGACAGGGGGCGACGCTGCTCACGGCTCCCGGGCCCGCCACACCTGCCCCCTGTCCCTGGGCCCCGGGCCCCCCGCCCTTCCGCTGACCTGGGGAAACAGTGCGCTGCGGTCAGCACCCACTGGGGGGCGATGAGCGAGCCCCCGCACACGTGCGCCCCGCGGTGCTGGATGCTCGCCTGCCACGGCCACTGTCCGTCCCGGGCGTCCCGGCCTCCCACGATGCGACTCGACACCTGGGGCTGCCCGCAGGCTGCAGGGGACAAGGGGGGCGCGAGGGAGGGCGGAAGACTGGGGGCCTGGGATGTGGGTGGGGTCGGGGAGACTCAGGGCCAACGTCAGGGACTCTGAGGCTTCCTTACCTGCAGACTCCAGCGTCCCTGTTCCAGCAGCTCCGGCAGGAGGAAGCAGGGAAGGCACTGGATTATGGCCTTGGTGTCGGTTAACGGGCCAGGGGGAGGGATGTCAGAGATTAGGAAGGAGGGTGAAACACGTCGTACTGACCTGGTGCCAGGCTTTTGTGCAATCAACACGTTGGCCTGGTTACCCACTTTAACCCTCCCCAGGGCAGTGTGAGGTGGGGACTCACACCTCGGACACACACGGGCACATCGGAGCTTGGAGGGCCCACGGTCAGTGACTGGGGAGAAGGTGAACCGGTGAAGCCAAGGTTAGGGTGCCCCGGAGTGCTCTAGGGGAACCAGGCCAGAGAGCGGTATGATGGGGCATCTGGGAACCCCCCAGCCCCTGCCCCCCACTCACCCAGCAGCAGTAGGAGCAAGACCCAGAGGCAGGAAGGCCCCCTCATTGTGTCTTCAGGGCTGGGCCTGGTTAAGGGCAGCACAGCTCAGGGTGGGGACTCTGGTCAGAACCTGCAAGGAGACGAGAGGAGGGTCCTAGCCCAGGCCCCAGAGGCCCTCTGTCTTCCCTCAGCCCCCCGTTGGTCCTGGACCTATCCCCGGGGGCCCAGGTTCTATGCGCTTCCCTCTGCCCACACCCCAGGGACTATGGCTGTCCCCCCAACCCCTGCGAGATTTGAGCACCCTCGGCATCCACAGGAGCCCTGGAGTCTGGCCCCTGGCCACCACCTAGTTCCATTGCCTGCCGGCCTCCCCCTCCTGGCCTAGAGGCCCCTGCACCCTGCTCTCACCCGCGTGGCTTGTGCCCTCCCTGCTGACTGGGCAGGGGGAGGGCCTGGGGGCTTAAAGGGCCAGAGGGGGTGGGGGCCTCGCCAGGGGGTGATTAAGGAGCCAGGGCGGGGCCTCAAACAAAGATGCTTTGAGCAGCACTTTTGAGGTGGCAGGAAAGGGACAGCTGGGTTTGTCAAAGGACACCTGGCTTGGGCCACGGTGCTGAGAGCTGGGGGTGGGAGCCTGCACTCAGGCAGCCAAGGGCGGGGGCGGAGGGCTGCGGTCAGGCCAGGAAGCCCTGGAGAATCCTTGGCAGCTCATCTCTGAACCTGATCCCAGCTCCTGGCTCCTGTTAGTGCTGGTCACGGAGCTTGTGAACACTACTGTTCTGTCCAGAAATCCCAGCACGGCCGCCCCCACGGAGCCGCACCCAGATCCCGCTCTGCACTAATTCAAAGTGGGGGATGGCTGGTTGAAAGCCGCCAGCACTCCTTGCTTGACCAGAAGCAGAAGCGGACTTGACATTGGGGAATGGTCCTCTCTTGAATTCGGTGTGGCCAGGACAACGAGGCTGCTAGCCTTGGTGAAGCTGGTAGATGCTGGGAACAAGGGTCTGCAGAGGGGTGGGCCCGGACTGTGTCCACCACCCAGAAGGCTCTGGAGCTCCTTTCTGCCTGGTCAACTCTGCTCCGCCCCGGCCTCCTGGAGCGCCTTCCTGCCCGGCCATAACGCCGTCCCGGGCATGTCACTGTGTGCGGTGACATGTGATGGAGGAGGCCGGACTCACGGCTGCTCGACTCCTCTCTGTGAGGTGGGGTCTGAGTGTCTATCTTGGCCCTGGCTGCCAGAACAGAATGCCAGACTGAGCCACTGAAACAAACATTTCTCACAGTTCTGGAGGCTGCCGAGTCCAGGAACAAGGTGCTGGCATGGTGGGTCCCATTCTGAGACCTCTGTTCCTGGCACGAAGGCGGTTGCGGCCTCTTCCCTGCCTCCGGGGCGGGGGGAGAGGTGTTGGGACGCAGAGAGAGCTCTCTGACATCTCTTCTTATAGGGGCCTAGGGGATCAGAGCCTCACTCTCAGGACGCATCCTAACCCTGGCCCCTTCCATAAAGGGCCGAGCTCTACATATAGTCATGCTGGAGGGTGGGCTTCCAAACATGGGTTTTGGCGGGGACACGGACATCCAGCCCATAATGGGCCTTGAGGGCCAGAGCAGTGCCCAGCGTAGAGCATGCACGGTGAGCGAGTGAATGGGGTGAGCAGGGCAGCAGGCTGGGGGTGAGGGCAAGGGCTACGGGAGAGGGAACTTGGCACCCACCTCTCATGGGCATGGAGGGAGGGCAGCCCCAGGACTGACCCCTGCGGCCCCTGCTCAAGCCCGAGGTGTCTGGTACCAGGCTGTGACCCGCTCTCCCTGCAGCCCCCAGGCCCTGCGGGCGGGCTGATCTTCTGTAAGAGGCTGTTGTGAAGAAGAGCTGGGTCAGCCCAGGCCCCGCCAGGTAGCCTGGCTCACTCAAACGCGATGAAAGCGCAAGGAGAATAAAGAAGCTCCCTCCTGTCCTCCCAAGACTCCTGACCTTTTATGACCTGGGGTTCAGCTGCCCCCGGAGGCCTTGGTGGCAGTGGGGCCGCAGGTGTTCCCCTTGGGGCAGCTGGAGAGCCTGGTGGGAGAGTGACAGGGGACTCTGGGGACACACTGCCACCTCTGTGGGCAAACTCGAGGGCGGAGCTGGCCGGCTCTAATGTCCTCCCATAAATTATCTTTCTGACTCAACTAACCGGAGGGGGTCCTGTGGCTTGCCCCCCAAACCTGAATAGTGCGGACCGCTGGAGCAAGATTTAGGAGTTAGGGAGTGCTGCTGGGGTGACCGGGTGTCCAGGGAGCCCCCCGGGGCCGCAGAAGGCTCCGCAAGGCACAGACTCCAACATGCAAACGTGTTTATTAGCAAAGGAGCCAGGGAGCGGGGCCTGGCTTAGCAGACGGCCCCACTCTCCCGGGCTCTGCAGGGCTCAGGCCAGCTGCAGGAGGGAGGCAGGCCAGAGCAGAGGGAGGAGGAGCAGGGGCCGGCAGGGGGCTGGCCTGGGAACGGGGCTGCGGGCCAACAGCATCCGGATCCAGTTGAAATATACACTGACGTTGGTGTAGACACCAGGCCGGTTGGGCCTCCCGCAGCCTGATCCCCAGCTCACGATTCCAACCTGAATCCACAGCCCTTTCTTTTCACAGGCCAGGGGTCCACCTGAGTCACCCTGGGGAGCAGCGCGGGTGAGCCAGGCCTGGGGCGGGGCCCGAGGGGCCAGTGGAGAGGCGGGGACAGCAGGGGGTGCTGTGGAGCTGGGCAGACTGGGTGCAAATCCCACCCCCCACCCCGGAAGTGAACAAGCCTCAGTTTCTGCGTCTGCAAAGTGGGGCAATAGTCTCTAACTGCCCCCCCCCAATTTCCAGGTGAGGATCAAAGGAGGTACAATGAATGCAAAACAATGCTTGTCTCACAGGCTAGATAACTAAGGTCTGTTGTTTTCTCATGAATAAATGCTGAGGGTGGGTTGATGGGCATCATGAGGGATGCTCCCAGGTCCAAGGTTGGGAGGGGTGGTGCCTGGTTCCAGCAAGGCCCTTCTTAGGGCAGGGGCACTCACTTTGCAGGCGTCCCGGCTGCCATCCTCGGAGCCAGCACAAATCATGTCATTCAGGTCGTTACTGAGGAAGCTGGGCTGGTGTAACAGGTAGTCACACCAGGAGTTGTTTATGATGGAGACCGGCACTTCGTGGAGAATGTAAGGAGGTGGCAGAGCTGCCAGGGGTTGGGGTGACAGAAAGACAATGACTTAGCCCCTCCTCTGCCATCTGGGACAGGGGTGGGGTCCCTGGGACACCCAAGGTGCCTGGGACATTGCTCTTGATGACTCTTCTGCACTAGCCCAGCACCCTGCACATTATGGGTGATGAACAACATCACTGAAGGACCCAATGGATGGAGAGCTGAGCCTTGGTTTCTCTCTCTATAGAATGGGGATGACAGCCCCTGCCTGAGCCAGTGGGGTGGTCGCTTAGCCACAGCATGCACGGGGTGGGGGTGGGGCGATAACATACTAAGATGGTTTAGGATTAACATACTACGTCTGCAAGATTCAGGTTGAAAATGCCCCGGATTTGTTAAAAGATGTGAATCTATACCCCAAAGAAGCTGAACAATCTCCAAGTAGGATAAACACAAGGAGGTCCACACTGAGAAATATTTTCATCAAACTCTAAAAAAAAAAAAGGGAGAATTTTGTAAACAGCAAGAGAGAAGCTTCACATCAAGTGAAAGACCTTTAACAAGATTAACAGCCAAATGCTTTTCAGATACAGGGAGGCCAGGAGGCAAAGGGATGACATATTCCAACTGCTGGAAGAACAGAAGAGTCAACTGACAATTCTGTATCTTCTGTATCGGGCAAAACTATCCTTCAGAAAGTGAGGGAGAGGGGCGCCTGGGTGGCTCAGTTGGTTAAGCGACTGCCTTTGGCTCAGGTCATGATCCTGGAGTCCCGGGATCGAGTCCCGCATCGGGCTCCCTGCTCAGCAGGGAGTCTGCTTCTCCCTCTGACCCTCCCCCCTCTCATGCTCTATCTCATTGTCTCTCTCAGATAAATAAAATCTTTTTTTTTTAAGATTTTATTTATTTATATGACAGAGAGAGACAGCGAGAACAGGAACACAAGCAGGGGGAGTGGGAGAGGGAGAGGCAGGCTTCCCGCTGAGCAGGGAGCCCGATGCGGGGCTCGATCCCAGGACCCTGGGATCATGACCTGAGCCGAAGGCAGACGCTTAACGACTGAGCCACCCAGGCACCCATAAATAAAATCTTAAAAAAAAAAAAAAAAAGTGAGGGAGAGTTTAAGAGATTCTCAGATAAACAGATGCCCAGGGGGTACATCCCAAGTAGACCCACCTGACAAGAAATGCAAAAAGGAGATCTTCAGGCTGCAATCAAAGGACACTGTGTCCTTTCATAGAAAGAGAGAGACAGCGCTGGTAAAGACCACATGGGTAAACATGAGAACAAGTGTTCTTAGAGTTTTGGTTTGTCACTTCTTTTTTTCCTTTTATAATTAATGACACATGCACAAAACAACAATTATATATTTCTGTTCATGGCTGCACGATATGTAAACTTGACAATAAGAGCTTAAGGGGGGAATAGAGCTGTACAGGAACAGAATTTTTGTATACTATTGAAGCTAAGTTGGTATTAATTCAAAATAAATTGCTATAGGGGCATCACGTTGGGTGTAGAGACTACTTAAAAATTAAAAAAAAATCTTGAATAAAATAAAGTGAAATAAATTTAAGTTGTTAATTGTAATCCCCAGGGCAACCACTAAGAAAATATACAGAACAGGAAATGGGAAGGGAATCAACACAGTACACTAATAAAAATCAATGAAACACAAAAGGAGGAAATAAAAAAGATGCAGGATACAGGCGTAGATATTAACAGATACAAGATATAGAAAACAAATAGAATAGCGATAGAAGTAAATCCTTACTTGTCAGTAATTTTAATGGAAATGGATTAAACACTGCAAACAAGCAAAGGTTAGCAGAATAGATTACAAACACAAGATCCAACTACGTACTGTGTGCAAGACAATCATTTTAGATCCAAAGGCACACAGAGTTGGAAGTAAAAGGTTGGGGAAAAAGAGATTCCACACAAATAACAACCAGAGAAGAGCAGAGGTTGCTATTTTAATGTCAGACAAAACAGACTTTCAGTTAAAACCTGTTATGAGAATCAAAAAAGAACAATCTATATTGATAACAATGTCAAAATCATTAAGAAGATAAAATAATTACAAACATTGACACACCTACCAAGCCCCAAAATACATGAGGCAAAATTGACAGAACTAGTGGGAGAAACAGTTCTAACCACAGTTGGGGGCTCAAAACCCCACTTTGAATAATGAGTAGAACCACCAGAGAGGAGATCAACAAGAAAATAGGGGACCTGAGTAACTCTATAAAGTAACGAGACCTAACAGACATATACAGAACGACCTGCCCAGACAATGGCAGAACACACATCCCTCTCAGGTGCACGTGGGACACTCTCCAGGACAGATGGTATGTATGTCAGGCCACAAAATAAGCTGCAATAAATTAGAAAAGATTGAAATCATACACAACATTTCTCCAACCACAGGGGACTGAGGCTAGAAGCCAGTAACAGAAAACAAACAAAAATTCATGGATGTGTGGAAATTAAACAACATATTCTTTACCAATGGATAAAAGAAAAAAAAAATCACAAGGAAAATGAGAAAACACTTTGAAATGAATGCAGATGAAAATAAGACACACCAAAACTAATGGGATGCAGCACGGGCAGCCCTCAGAAGGAAACTTACAGCTGGAAATGCCAACATTAACACAGGAGAAAAATCTCAGACCAATCCTCTGATTTACAGCTTAAGGAAGTAGAAAAAGCAGAGCAGACTGAACTCAATGGTAGAAGACAGAAGGAAATCATAAAGAGAGGGACAGACAGAATCGAGCTAGGGGATAGAAGAACAGAGAAAATCAACAAAATCAGAACTTGGTTCTTTGAAAGATCAACAAAACTGATGACGAAAGTGAGGCCATTACTACTGACCTTACAGAAATAATGATGTCTGTAGGGGAATATGATCAGTTGTACCCCAACAAATTAGATCACAGCGATGAGATGCACAAAATCTCAGAAACATATAAACTACCAAAACTGAATCAGGAAGAAATAGAACGTCTGAACAGAGCAATAAGAGATTGAATGTGTAGTAGGAACCTCCCAACAAAGACAAACCTTGTACCAGATGCCTTCAATGGTGAATTCTACCAAACATCAGAAGAAATTAACACCAATCCTTCCTGAACTCTTCCAAAAAATACAAGAGGAAGGAACACTTCCTAACTCATTCCATGGGACGAGCATTATGGTGACACCAAATCCCAGACAAGGACGTCACAAGAAAAAGAAACAATAGACCAATATCCTTTATGAATATATATGCAAAAATCCTCAACAAAATGCTAGCAAACTGAATCCAACAGCATATTAAAAGAACTGTACATCATGACCAAGTGAAATTTATCCTGTGAATAAAAGGGTGGTTCCATATATGAAAATCCATCAATATAATGTACTGTATACGTTAATAAAATGAAGGGGAAAAAAAACATGGTCAACTTAGTAGATGCACACAAAGCATTTGGCAAAATCCAAAAACCCTTCATCATAAAAACACTCTATGAACTAAGAATAGAAGAAACTTCCTCAACATGATAAAGAATATATGTAAGAAACTCAAAGCTAACATCATACTGAATGGTGAAAGACTGAAAGCTTTCCCCCTAAGATCAGGAACAAGACAGTGATGCCAGTTTTTGCCATTTCTATTTAACATTTTACTGAAAGTTCTAGTCAGGGCAGTTAGCCAAGAAAAAGAAATAAAACACATCAAAATTGGGAAGAAAGAGGTAAAACTATCTCTATTCATGGATGATATGATCTTATATACAGAAAATCATCAAGAATACACAAAAGAGGACTACAGTTAATAAGTGAAGTCAGCAAAATTGTAGGGTCCAAGATCAAAACACAAGAGTCTGTTATACTACCACTGAAAAATTCTAAAAGGAACTTTAATACGAAATTTCATTTACAAAGCATCAAAAATAATAGGAATAAATTTAATTGAGGAGATGAAAGACTTACGCACAAAAAGACTACAAAACATTGCTGAAAGAAATTGAAGACCTAGGGGCACCTGGGTGGCTCAACGGGTTGAGCATCTGACTCGATTTCAGCTCGGGTCATGATCTCAGGGTCGCGAGATCTAGCCCTGCATCAGGCCTTGCACTCCACATGGAGTCGGCTTGGGATTCTCTCCCTCCTTCTCCCTCTGCCCCTCCCCCAGCTTGCACGCTCTCTCTCTCTCTAAAAAAAAAAAAGAAGAAATTGTTTTTAAAGATTTTATTTGAGAGAGACAGCGAGAGAGAGCACGAGCCGGGGGGAGGGGAAGAGGGAGAAGCAGGCTCCCCACTCAGCAGGGAGCCCCACATGGGGCTCCATCCCAGGACCCTGGGATCATGACCCAAGCTGAAGGCAGATGCTTAGCTGAATGAGCCACCCAGGAGCCCCAGGAGAAGAAATTAAAGACCTAAACAAATGGAAATATATCCTATGTTCATGGATTGGAGACATAATGAAGATGGCACTACTCCCCAAAGCAATCTACAAATTCAATGCAATCCCTCTTCAAATCCCAATGCTCTTTTTAGCAGAAATAGACAAGTTGACCCTCAAATTCATATGGAATACCAAGAGACCCCAAATAGCCAAAACAATATTGAACAAGTAGAACAAAGTTAGAAGATTTATACTTCCTGATTTCGAAACATATTATAAAGTTATAAGAATCAAACAATGAGGTGCTGGCATAAGGATGAACATACAGAACAAAGAAATACAATTGAGAGTCTAGAAATAAACCCACACATCTATGGTCAATCAATAAGGGTGCCAAGACAATGCAAGGGGGAAAGGAGTCTCTCTCTCTCTCTTTTTTTTTAATTTATTTATTTGACAGAGAGAGAGAGCAAATGAAGTGGGGAGCAGGAGAGGGAGAAGCGGGCTCCCCGATGAGCAGGGATCCTGATGCGGGGCTCCATCCCAGGAAGCTGGGATCACAACCCAAGCTGAAGGCAGACGCTTACCTGAATGAGCCACTCAGGTGCCTGAGAGGAGTCTCTTTAACAAATGGTGCTGGGACAACTGGGATATCTACATGCAAAAGAATGAAACTGGACCCCTACCTCACACCATATACAAAAATCAACTCAAAATGGGTGAGAGACATAAATGTAAGAGCTAAAACTATGAAACTCTTCAAGAAAACATGGAAGTACATCTTCATGACCTAGAATTTGGTGACAGGTTCTTAGATATGACATCAAAAGCACAAGCAACAAAAGAAAAAATAAATGATTTAAACATCAAAATTAAAAAATTTTTTTTGCATCAAAAGACACTATCAAGGAAGTGCAAAGAAATCTGCAGAATGGGAGAAAATATTTGCAAATCATATGTCTGATGAGGGTTTAGTATCCAGAACATATAAAGAACTATTACAACTCTACAACAAGGGCGCCTGGGTGGCTCAGTCAGTTGAGCGTCTGCCTTCAGCTCAGGTCATGATCCCAGGGTCCTGGGATTGAGCCCCATGTCGGGCTCCTTGCTCAGCAGGAAGCCTGTTTCTCCCTCTCCCTCTGCTGCTCCCGCTGCTTGTGCTCTGTCAAATAAATAAAATCTTATTTAATAATTAAAAAAACTAGGGGGTTCCTGGGTGGCTCAGTCGTTGAGCGTCTGCCTTTGGCTCAGGTCATGATCCCAGGGTTGTGGGATCGAGCCCCACATTGGGCTCCATGCTCGGCAGGAGGCCTGCTTCTCCCTCTCCCACTCCTGCTTGTGTTCTTACTCTCGCTATCTCTCTGTCAAATAAATAAATAAAATCTTTAAAAATAAATAAATAAATTCGACAACTCAACAACAAAGACAACTCAATTTAAAAATGGGTAAAGGCCTTGAATAGGCATTTCTCCAAGAAAGATCTACAAACAGCCAGCAAGCACGTGAAAAGATGCTCAATATCCCTAGTCATTTTAGGAAAATGCAAATCAAAACCCCAATGAGATGTCACTTCACATCCACTAGGATGGAGGGAAAAAAACAAGTGTTGAGGAGAATGGAGAAATTATAAGCCTCATTCGTTGTTGAGGGGAATGTAAAATGGTGCGGCTGCTGTGGAACATGTTTCTTGGTTCCTCAAAAAGTTAAACACGGAATTACCACGTGATTCAGCAATTGTGTGCCTAAATATATACACAAAAGAATTGAAAAGAGGTGTTCAAACAAAAATTTGTATGTTAATGTTTATAGCAGCTCTATTCACAATACCCAAAAGGTAGAAACAACACAAATGTCCACCAATGTAAGAATGGCTAAAGAAATTGTGGTATAGCCATACAATGAGATGTTATTCGGCCATAAGAAGGAATGAGATTCTGACACATACTATAACATAGATGAATCATGAAAATGTTACGCTAAGTGAAAGAAGCCGAACACAAAAGGTCAAATAGCGTATGAACCCATTTACAGGAAATACCAAGAATACGTAAATCCATAAAGACAAGGAGCTTCTTAGTGGTTGCCAAAGGCTGGAAGGAGAGGGTAAGGAGGAGTGACTGCTTAGTGATGGCAGGATTTCCTTGGGAAGCGATGACAATGTTTTGGAACTTGATAGAGTTGATGGTTATACACTGTGAATGAGCTAAATTAAATGCCACAGAATTATACACTTTAAAATGGTGAATTTTATGTTTTGTGAGTTAAATCTGAATTAAAAAACCCCCAAACACCTGAGGCCTTTCTGACAAGTCTAACCCCAAAACTTCCACGCCCTTGCAGTCTGGGGGGGTGCAGCCCCGGGCCCAGCTGGGCTCCCTCTCACTGCGGCTCCTGGCTCACAGTCTCTGAAAGGGAGAGGGAAGCGGCTGTGAGGACAGAAGTCTGTCCCTTCCAGGGGGAGCAGGAGCGGAGAGCAGGTGAGGAGACAGTGCTGAGTGGCCCCAACTGCGCACAGACCCAGGTGCGGATGCAACAGATGGTGGAGCGTGAGGCCCCCCCCGCCCTGCCCCCCTGCCCCCAGCCTCACCCTGATCTTCTTGGATGTCCCCCCAGCCGGTCACCCAGCAGTCAGTCCAGTTCTGGAACTCAGAAGAGGAGGTCAGAACACAGATGGGCTGGATGTACTTATTGTAGGTGACAGAGGAGGACAGCTTCAGCAGGGCGATGTCCTTGAGTGAAGTCCCACTAAACTGGGGATATATAATAATATCCTTCACCCTGTAACGATGGTAGAAGGTCCACAGTTTCCAGGAACTTGGCCTAGAAGACAGCTCACCAATTTGAACCGTCCATTTCGAGGGATCACTGTGCCTGGCAAGGGAGGAGAGAGCAAGGAGGGATCCTTAGAGAAGGGAGGCCCCCCTGAGCACACCTGGGGCCGACTCCCTGAGGTGGGACTGCCGCGGCTGCTACTAGGGCTCATCCTGGACACCATTACAGTTCCTCTCACGGACCAAAGCCTCCAGTGTAGAAATGATAACGCCCAGAGAAGATGGACCAAAGTCCTAGACTCTGGGGATGTGGGGGTGGGGCAGCAAGGTGCCTCCCCCTGGGGCCTGATCTGGCCAGTCACTCAGCCAGCCTGTCACCCCCCACAGCCGTCCTGAAAAAACAATGAACAGATGCACAGGACCAGAGCAGGTGGAAAACTCCACCACCACCTTCGCCACAGGCCAGGCTCTGTGCCCAGCACTTCCCCACCTCCTTCCACCCCCTGGTACGCCTCCACCGGACGTGGGATGAGGAAGGGGACGCCTGGTGCTGCCATCTGGGAAGAAAAGAAGACAGAAAACAACACGACACAAAAGTGTGTGCGAATGTTCTGAAGAACGTTCTAGAAGAAGGGGAACGAGGTTTTCCTCACGTGGCTGCAGCTGGGCCTGGGGCTCAGGAAAACACGAGGACTGCATCCGCATCCGGACCGCGCGCAGGACCCGGACACCCCCCAGCCCCCCCCCTCCCCCGCTCCGTCCCCTGGTGTGGGGACCGCCGGCCCCAGACTCACTTTAGGAAGCAGTGCGCGGCCGTGAGCACCCAGCGGCGGTTCAGCAGGCTCGCTCCGCAGCGGTGGCGTTTACCCCTGCGCAGGCTGACCTGCCACGGCCAGCGCCCCAGCTCCGAGTCCTTTCCGCCCACCACGCGCGGCTCGATTTTGTGGCGGCCACAGGGCCCTGGGACGGACAGACGGACACGCGGCTGAGCGGCAGGACCCCGCCCTCCTGCGCGAAGGGAAGGGGCTCCCCTTCGGGGACGGGGAAGGGCGCGCGTCGGGGGTCGCGCCGCAGGGGGACCAGGGGACCCCGGGACCCTCCCCACGTGGTCCGCGGACGCCCGCCCCTCCCCCCAGGGGCCCGGCAGTTACACGTGAGCAACGACGAGTTCTCGAAACCTGGGCGGAGGAGAGGAGAAGATGAGGCGCCCTCTGCGCTGCGGCTCAGGGGCCCCGCGCGGGAAAGCGCGCGTCCTGGGCGCCTTACCTGCAAACAGCTGGTCCTGATCCTGAAACTCTGGGGGGGGGGCGGGCGGGAGGGTGAGCTCCGCCGGGTCTGCGCGCGCCCCAGCCGCCCCCCCCCCCCAGCAGTCCGACGCCGGCCCGCGGCCCCCGCCTGAGCTCACCCTGCCTCCCGAGCTCCGCTCGCACCAGCAGCTGCACCAGCAGCAGCGCCCCGACGCGCGCGCCCATGGCCTCGTCTCCCGCCGCGTGGCGCCCCCTCTGCTTCCGCCCGCTCGGGGCCCGGCCGGGGCGCCCCCTGGGGGAGAGGGAGCGCCCGCCACGCCGGCCCACACCTTCCCCCCCCCCCCCCCGCCCCGCCCGGGGCTGGACCTCTCCGGGTGCGGGGGGAGGGGGGGGTCCTGCCGTCGGGGAACGTCGAACGTCGGACCTCAGGGCGCCGCCGGCTTGGAGCTTCGACTCGGCCGGGGTCCCCCAACCCCACCGTGCGCCCACACGGTCCTGCTTGTGGGCGACCCTGGGGTCCTGGCCGCCCCCGCCGCCCCCGCCCCGTTGCCCCCCAGTTGCCCCCCGTTCCTCCACGCACCCCGTCGTCCGGGAAGGGCCAAGGCTGGCCCACAGCCAGGGCTCCTGTGAGGACATGTTAACACGGCCTCCCTGAGCGCCCGTCGGGGGCCTGGCAGGATCGGGCTGCCGTGCAAGGCGATGGTCATTGACAGGAGCCAGGGAAATGGCCCGATTTTGACCACCCGGAGGGCTCTTCGCCTCGCCGTTTGCCTGCTGCTCCCAGCCGGCCGCACCCGACTGCACAGAGCCCACAGGCAGCTTTCCTTTTCCGTGGGCGGGGGTGCAGGGCACCACAGTCACCAAGCTCCAGGACAACTGAACTGGGGTCCACAGGCCGCCCTCAGAGTCGTGATTGCCTAGAAGGTCTCCCAGAACTCGAAGCTGTTACGCTCGTGGTTGGGGCCCGCTGCAGTGGTACCGGAAGCATCAGCCAACGCAAAAGGTAGTGAGGCCAGGCGAGACCGGGTGGAAGCTTCTAGCTTCCCCTTCACAGCGGAGTCAGACGGGCAGAGCTCCGTTCTCCCAGCAGTGACGGGTGACAACACTCGTGAGCTCTGCCAGCTGGGGACGCTCACCTGTGAGTGAGGTTTTATTACCGGCTCCGGCGGGTAAGCACCGAGCCCCTGTGCGGAGGCTTAGTGCGCAGACTTCCGCGCCTCCGGAGGTCGGGAGGATGCGGTGCGGCCCTGTCCGCGGCCCGCAGTCGCGCTATTAGCATTAACTAAGTGCAGGGGCACAAGGCTTCAGATCAAGCAAGACATTCCGAAGGCTCGGAGGTGATTTCCTAAGAGCTGGCGGAGGGCCAGTCCTTTCTCTGGCCCGTGCAGCGCGGGAGTGTCGTAGGTCTGTTCGCTGCCCTCTTACTGTTATTATCGCGCAACAACCAAGGACAAAGCACCGCTGGCGGGAAATCCATACGTGCACCAGGACGATCTATTTGAATAAAGTGAACTGTCTTCAAGGAAAACCAGAGATTACATGGAGCATTACATGGGACAGGAGACAACTTGGAGGATCCTAGCTGCTATCCTCAGAAAGCTCCTCGAGGGTGTTTGTAAACACGAAACAAGAATTGCCCAGGAAAAGAGCGATCAGAGAACAAGAAAGGGTTGAAAATGCCGCTGAGAGAAATCGTTTGAGGCAAGGGCTGAATAGTAAAATGGATGTAGCTAAAGGATGAACTGGCAAATTTTTTTTTTTTTAAAGATTTTATTTATTTATTTGACAGAGACACAGACAGCGAGAGCAGGAACACAAGCAGGGGGAGTGGGGAGGGAGAAGCAGGCTTCCCGCTGAGCCGGGAGCCCGATGTGGGGCTCGATCCCAGGACCCTGGGATCATGACCTGAGCCGAAGGCAGTCGCTTAACCAACTGAGCCACCCAGGCGCCCCTGAACTGGCAAATTTGAAGATAAAGTAGAGAAACGTGTTCAGAACTTAGAGCAAAAATTTACAAAGATTGCATGAGAGAAAATAGTGCTGACACGGGGGGGGGGGGGGGGGGGGGGGGGGGGGACACGAGGTCGGTTCCACAGTGACAGTCCTCTAAGCTGGGTGACAGACATAAGCGTTTCCTGTTCTCCTCTAATCTGTGTATACTTAAATTTTTCCATAGCAAAAAGTGTTTTAAGTAAAATAAAATCAAGGGTTGAGAACAAAGGCGGGGCAGGGCCCTGGATGGCCTGGCAAGTCAGCAGACCGCCAGCCAGGCCGTGCGTTCCCAGCAGTGTGAATTGGCCTAGCTTGGAAGGCTGCAGGGGAGCAGTCTCTCTGCCGCTCTGTACGTTCCTAACACGAGCTCAGCAGAAACAAGGGATGGAGAGAGCCCACACGGAGGAAGAGGAATGTGACATCCCTTCTGAGTCAAATGCTTTGCTGGGTGACCTCATCCACTTGGGCTGCTATGACAAAATACAATAAAGTGGTTGGGTGGCTTACAGATAACAAGCATTTCTTTCTCATGGTTTCTGGGCTGGAAGTCTGAAGTCAAGGTGTCTGGTGAGCCTGCTTCCTGGTTCACAGCTGCTACCTCCTCACTGTGCCCTCACACGGCAGAAGGGGTGAAGGAGCTCTCTGTGTCTCTGTTATGAGGGCACTGATCCCACTCGTGAGGGCTCCACCCTCCTGACCACATCACCTCCCAAAGGCCCCACCTCTGAACATATCACCCTGGGCTTCAACATACAGATTTCAACATATGAACTTGTCAGGGGTGGGGGGCACACATACTCTGACCACAGCACAAGGCTGTGCATTATCTTGTTTCTTCATTTCAGGGAGAGAGAGAGAGGGAGAGAGAGAGAGAGAGATCAGGGGAAGGAGTAGAGGGAGAGAGGCTCTGTACTGAGCGCAGAGCCCAATGCAGAGCTCGATTCCATGACCTCGAGATCATGACCTGAACTGAAATCAAGACCGCTCAACCGACTGAGCCACCCAGGTGCCCTTTTTTTTTTTTAAGATTTTATTTATTTATTTGAGCACGAGAGTAAGTGGGGGGAGGGGCTGAAGGAGAGGGAGAGAGAGAATCTCAAGCAAGTTCCATGCTCAGCATGAAGCCTGACCCGGGGCATGATCCTACAACCCTGAGATCATGACCTGAGCCAAAATCAAGAGTTGGACACAACTGACTGAGCCACCCAGGTGCCCCAGGGCTAGGAGTCTTAAGAATGAAATACAGGAATATTTTACATTGACACAAGTTACAAGCCACTGAAAAGATTATGCCCCCAACAACGGAGCTTTGAAATACATAAAGCAAAAAAAAAAAAAAAAAAGTTCTAAATAAATTCACATTTTTCTCAGAAATCAAGAGATCTGGTAGATGGAAAAGGCAGTAACACCAGAGTATTCACTGAACATGATTTTTTTTTCTTTTTTTTTTTTTAAAGATTTTATTTATTTATTCATGAGAGACAGAGACAGAGAGAGAGAGGCAGAGGGAGAAGCAGGCTCCCAAGGAGCAGGAAGCCCGATGCGGGACTCGATCCCAGGACCCTGAGATCATGACCTGAGCCGAAGGGAGACGCTTAACCATCTGAGCTACCCAGGCGCCCTGAACATGATTTTGACATAAATCAAGTATTTGCGGCTGCTCAGAGATCCACCATGCCCCCCAGGGATAATGAGCCCTTTGGAGGGGGAGGTGCCTGTAGGCTAGGTTGACCGGGGCATCAGAAAGGATGGGTACTGGGGCGCCTGGGTGGCTCAGTCGTTAAGCGGCTGCCTTCAGCTCAGGTCATGATCCCAGAGTCCTGGGATCGAGTCCCACATCGGGCTCCCTGCTCCATGGGAAGCCTGCTTCTCCCTCTCCCACTCCCCCTGCTTGTGTTCCTGCTCTCGCTGTCTCTGTCTCTGTCAAATAAATAAATAAAATGTTTAAAAAAAAAAAAAGGATGGGTACTTCTTGAGAAATGGATAAAACTTAGGAATCAGGGAAAGTGTCCAGGCTGCTCAGCTCTGCTTTCTTGGCCACACAGCTCCATGGAGGTAAGGCCGGCGCAGGGCAGTGGCTGTCCAGGTGTTCCACCTCCTTGAATAATGGGTCCCTTCTCACTCTCCAGGCATCTTGGCCCCACCTTAGGCCCTTCAGAGCCCCAGGGTGAAAACAAACAGCTGAGGGAGCAGAGTGGAGTGTGTCCTAGGGTCGGCAGTCCCCGCGCCCCCCCCCACCCCCTGCCTGGTGCACCAGGCACTGTGACACAGAGCACAAAGTAGAAATACCTGGCTTTGTCACCTGTCGGGCCTCGGGCAAGTCCTTCAACCACGGGAGTCTCACTTCCTCTGCTGTAAGATGGGGACCCTAATAGCCAGGAGGCCGGGGCACGGTTGACACAGGGCCGGCACACAATAAGTGTCCCAGATGTGGTGGGGGGAGTGGGTGCTATGATGCTGGGACCAGGGCAGGGGAGGGAAGGTCCTGAGGGTCTTGCCAAAGAGGTGGAGAAGGCCAAGGACCCTGGGCCCAGGAGCAGCATGGGAGCCACGTCTCAAGGACGTGGCGGGGAGGTGTCAGCCCCACCCTGGGGCAAGCCCAGCACTTGGGCTAAATGGCAATCATCTTCTGCTCCTCAGTGTCTGAGGACTCTGCCCCCAGAAGTGGTGGCTGGAGCAGACAATGGAGCTGGCCCTTACTGCCATGCTGCTCTCCCTCCTCCCTGTGGCCCTCCAGGAGAGCACCCCCGCTGTCCCAGCCAACCTCTCCCTGCCCAATGCCTGTGCCATAAGCCTGGATTCAGGTAGGACAGATACTGGGGTGGGGGGGACAGGCACCGCAGGAGAGAGAGCCTGAGTGCTGGGGGCAGATCAAGAGGGGTGTGTAATGCCTTCCCTGCCCCTTAATGCCCTGTGCCCAGGCAGGTCCTCTAAGGACCCCAGAGGTCGGGAGGGGGCTCTCCTTCGGACCCCCCAGACCTCCGCACCTTCACCGCCTCCACCGGCCAGGCGCAGATGATGCGGCGCGCACTGTGCGGCAGGCAGGAGCATCGGACCAGCGGCTCACAACTCCCCTCTTCCCACCGAGCCTGCAATAACCACCCAGGCCCCCAGCTCCCACTTCCCCCAACTCAGCTGCTGTGCAAACCGCCCCCCCCAGGGCCACCAAGTCCTTTCCTCGAGCGGAGGGCCCTACATCACAAGGAATTCCACCTTGTAGAGCCCGAGGAGGGACCAGGTGCCAACCCGTGAGCGGCAGGGATTAGGAGGGTGGGTCTGCGGGTCCGGGGAGCGAGACGGGACCACGCCAAGCCAGCCCATGGGCTCCCCCTGCAGTGTGTGGACGCCCACGCGCGTCAGGCCGCATCATGTCGGGGCAGGATGCCAAGCCGGGCCAGTGGCCGTGGCAGGTCAGCCTGAGGGAGGATGGACAGCACGTGTGTGGGGGTTCCCCGATCGCTGAGGACTGGGTGCTGGCAGCAGCCCACCGCTTCGACCAGTGAGTATCTTCCAGGGGCACAGGTGGGAGCCGGGGGTAGCCAGGACCGGCCCTTCACCCCCCACCAACACCCTCCCTTCCCCATTTAAACCACAGCCTTCGGCGCATCTTGCATTAGATGGGGGAGATATGCTCCTGGGGTGTCACTTATCCACCAGTCACTTATCCATTCCCACTGGCCACCTCCTAAGAAGTGATTCATTTCCCAGAGACCAAAGTCTCCCCTATGGGGATCTCTTGAGAAGCTGAGGCCTCCAGTCCACTGCTCAGCAGCTGGGCGGCAGTGACTGCCTCTCAAGCCTATTTCACACTCACCAGACAGGGCGGTGGGGTCCGTGTAGGGATGTCTAGAGGAATAAATGGGGTCCTTTTCGTTTCTGGCACGTGCTCTGCTTGCAAAGTGGTCCGTCTATAATGTTAGGACCCTCAAATCAAGATGGCCCCTGGCCCCCACCCATGAGACCCTGGGTCTCCTGACCCCTGGACTCTCCCACCTCCAGGAAGCAGCCCCTGTCTGCCTATGTCGTGCTGCTGGGCTCCCTCTCCTCCTACCCCCAGGCCGGGGAGCCCCAGGAGCTCCAAGCTGTGGCCCAGTTCATCATGCACCCACAGTACTCGGCGGAGAGCAACAGAGGGGACATCGCCCTGGTGCAGCTGGCCTCCCCTGTCACCTTCAGTGACCTCATCCTTCCAGTCTGCCTCCCCAAACCTGGAGACCCCCTGGGTCAAAGCACCTGGTGCTGGGTCACCGGCTGGGGGAACGTCGACTTGAGTCAACATAAGGACACCCGTGGGGGGGGCAGGGGAGGGGGCAGGTGGGGACCGGGGCTGTTAGGGCCTCCCTAGGGCCCTCTCTCCTCCGGCACCTGCCACCATACTCATAAAGGGTGGACGTGGAGGCTGCACACACTGGTGAGGGCACAGCAGAGGGGAGCCACAGAAATACTGCCACAACCACGAATGAGCAGCCTGCCACCCCAGACCCTCCCTCGGGCTCCCCAGTCTGCCCTCCCAGCATGCAGTACCCCAAGGAGGAATGCCAGCCCCAGCTGAGGGCTCTGGAATGCTGGCCCAGCCTGGGGCCCAGACCCTTCTGACGCGCCAGGGCTGGAGGCCCTTATCCGGCTGGAGGATTCGCCACACATCACCCCTGCCCTCGTGGCGCGGGAGCCAGGGCCCGACTGCCTGGCCTCCATGCGGGCTGGGTGACCCCCACCAGCCTCGCTGGGCTGTGGCTTCCCCCTGTGACAAGCAGAGACTCCAGTGCTAACCTCGTGCAGGGGATGAGGCATTGCAGGCGCGTTCCACAGGGCGGGGCAGGAGTGAGGTCTGGGAACACGGGGCGGTGGCCAGTTGTCACCGTCAGCACGACCGCCTGGCATCGGGGGCCCGGGCCGCCACGACAAACGGGCACAGGCCTGGGGGCTTCCAACCGCAGAAATGTAGGCTCTCACAGTTGAGGACAGTAAGGGTCTGAAGTCGAGGTGTTGGCCGGGCTGGGATCCTCCCTGCTCCTTTGAGCGTCAGGTGGCACCTGGTGGCAGTCCCTCGGCTGGTGGCTGCAAGCCCCAGCCTGCCCCCATCTTCACACGGCCTCTCCCCTGTGTCTCTGTGTGTCCCCTGCCACCCTCCCACCCCCGGGGCCTGGGAAGGCAGCCACGCCCGAGGGGAGCTCCACAGCTCCGCGCATGCCCCACCAGACAGAGGAAGGGGACAGCTCTTCCTCGGGTTTTGAATATTCAACACAGGCTCACCTTGCCCCCCACCCCCGGGCTCCTGTGTCAGGGTTTCCTGACACCAACGCAGGCCCGCCGAGGAGTGGCATGCGGAAATGACAAGGAACGGCTTCTTGTCATCAGTCCCGCTGAGCGCGGGAGTGCAGGGACAGGCGGGCGGAGGGCCAGCAGGTGGCCGCTTGCCGTCTGAGCACTGCCCCCACCCTTCACCCTGAAGGAGCTGCAGCTGCCCCTCCTTGACGCCCAGACCTGTGACGCCTACTACCACGAGAACTCGGACATGCCCATCGAGCTGCCCATCATCCTTGAGGATATGCTCTGTGCTGGCTTCAAGAGTGGCCAGAAAGACGCCTGCGGGGTGAGCAAGCCATCCCAGTGGCGGCGGGGGGGGGGGGGGGGGGCGGGATCTCCCACTCCCCAGCACCCCCGCCCCCCGCCCGGGTGGAGGAGGGCAACGTTGCTTTAAATACCAGAGTCAAGGGCGCCTGGGTGGCTCAGTTGGTTAAACGACTGCCTTTGGCTCAGGTCATGATCCTGGGGTCCTGGGATCGAGTCCCGCATCGGGCTCCCTGCTCAGCGGGGAGTCTGCTTCTCCCTCTGACCCTCCCCCCCTCATGCTCTCTCTATGTCATTCTCTCTCAAATAAATAAATAAAATCTTTAAAAAAAAAAAATAAATACCAGAGTCAATTCAAATAGAAAAGCATGTTCTCACACCCTGCCTCCCTTTAAATGTATCATATCAATATTATCAGAATGTGAAAAACTTCAAAAGTGCTTAAGCAAACTGTGACCATATCCCCATCCCTAAAGCTTTTCTTTGGGGGCCAGAAATGTCTTTTTTTTCTTTCCCAAAAAGAACCTCAGGGCCTCTGAGCAGATTGTCCTGAGGAGCTGGTCACTTCTGGGCTGAGTTGGTGTCGTCTTTCCTTGCCTGCTTTTATAAGCAAAAGACGCTTTATCTCACGCGCCCTCTTAGTATTGTTTTATCACAGACTTTTTCATCCAAAACGAAGCCAACAGCAGCATTATTAGCAACACAGAAATGCCCCCCTGAGCCCTTACTCTGACATGCACGGTCGTATTTAGAGAACATAGCATTCCCCTGGCACTGCTTCTCCCATCTGCCAGAGATTTTGCCCCAAATTCCCAGACCTCTGTTGCCTTCCAGAAACATCCAACCCACCAATCCTCCATCCACTAGACCTAGCTGGCAGTGTTGAAGGGAGGTTGGTGGGCCTGGGGAGACCCCTGGGAACTTCCTTTCCCTCGTGGGCCCTACGCTTCCAGACTCCTCCTTTCTCCCTAGGGTGACTCCGGGGGCCCCCTGGTCTGCAACCTTGATGGAGTCTGGACCCAGGCAGGCATCGTGAGCTGGGGGTCTGACTGCGGCCTCCCCAAAAGGCCGGGAGTCTACATCAACGTCAGCATGTACACCACGTGGGTTGCCAGCACCATCCAGAGCTCAGACCTAGACATGGAAAACTCCTCTCCACGCCTTGCTGGGCTCTTCGTCCCCACCGTGCTGTTGGTTCTGGGGCTGCTGGGGGACACGCTTGCGTCCCTGGGGCTTGCCTAACCGGGCAGACAGCCCTGCAGACTCGGCCTCTGCAATGTAAACGGAGGCCTTTTCTCTGCTGTCTGCCAGCGTCTGGCAGGAGACCCCTCCCCAAACCCCCCTGGATGGCTGCCTTCCACCACCCTCCCCAGCCTCCACCCTCCGGGACCTTCTCTGGCCCCTCCCCTCCCCCCATCTCCCCCACTTCAGACCCCACGGCCCTCAGCCCAGCCCCGCCTTTCTCGTGTCCCCCATAGGCCTTAAGCTGCCCTCACCTTCCCTGTCAACCTGGGAACCCCTGGGGACAGAGCCTGGTTGTCCTGCTCCTCACCCACCATCCAAGTCTGAGTTCCAGGGTGCACGCACGTTCGGGGATTCCTCTGGGGCTTTGGGGGACTCTTGGAACTGGGGTTTCCAGCCCCCGGTGCTGTGCTGGTGCCTTTGCAGTCCTGTCTTATCTGAGAGGCAATAAACACAAGCTGGCCAGCGGAAGGACATTCCTCCCTGTGCCTCCGGGCCCCAGAGAGGGTCCAGGACGACATCTCCCATTTGCCGGAGCTTTTCCCCCAGGGTACCCCTGGATGCTCACAGCAGCTCTGAGAGGCGCACGGTACTATTATTTCCGGTTTTTCAGACAGGGAAACTGAGGCCGAGGGCATCAAGCTCCAGGGCTTGTGAGCCCACTCGCTCTGGCAGCCCTGTCCCTAGGCTCAGTGGGTGGCAGAGCAACACATCTTGGGGTCAGGGCAGGGCTGGGGGCGAATCCATCCACCCCAGGCACGAGCCTTGAAGGCTCAGAGTCAGGCTGAACTTGCTGTCCCCCTCGCTCCCTCTTTCCCAAGGCTGCCTCTCCAGGGGAGCCTGGGACCCAATGGAAATATGTGGCAGTGGGAGCGGGAGGACCGGGCACATGGCTGGGACCTCGGGCAGGGGCGGGGCAGGCGGGTTGTTTACATCCTGGGCAGGAGATGGGAGGACAGGAAGGCAGGCTGAGCCCGTTCTGGTGGGAGCCTCAACCTCCGTCCTAGGACAGCGCCCACCCCGGCCCATGCCTGGTTCTCCCGCCCACAGGTGAGCCGAGTGGTCCCACCCTTCAGTGCCCCCACTTACCCCCCCCCTTACCCCCCCCCGGGCAGCATGCGGAGAACCCTTCACCCTCGGCAGCCCCCACCCACCCCTCCAGCGCTTTCTGCACAGCGTCCCCTGTCCCTGCTGCCGAGCCCATTGGAACCCCGCACCCCTCTCCGGAGCCCTCTCTGGATGCACAGGGCCTGCGTGTCCCTGTCAGGGCTGTCTCCTGATGGCCAGAGAGCCAGCCCTGGGCCTCTCCAGGACGGGGAGCAGCTGTGCACGTAGGATGGGAGGCTGTGGCGAAGGACGGCCCGAGCCCCGAGCCCCGGGTGTTAGAGCAGGCCCCCTGCAGTGCCTGCCCCGGGGGCGGCAGGGAGAGGAGCCTGAGCCGGATCATCTGGCACCCACAGCTACGGGCTGATCATCAGGGTCATGGCTGCCGTCACCACGGCCCCGAGGCCCCAGACGCTGCCCGTATCCAACACGTGCCAGCCGGGCACACCAGGGAGGAGTGCGAGCCCCTCATGCAGGTGCAACCACGGCTGCTGCTCGTCTTCTCCAGGTGCTTCCCCTATGGGCACCTCGGGGGGTGGCAGCGAGTGTGGCAGCATGCATGGGGGAGGGAGAGGAGGACGTGCCTTCCCCTCGCCTACCCGGAGGGGTCTCCGGGACCTCCCTGAGTCTTACACACCCTGCCTCGTGATCCCCAAGGAGTACGGAGGGGACACCTGATGAAGCGCATGGTCAGGGCCACTCCTGGGCCACTGACGTCCCCACTGTTGCTCCTCCACGCCACTGCTCCCGGGCCAGGAGACCTGGAGGCCCTCTCGGGCAGCAACAACAGGGACCTGGAGAACCAGAGCCGCTCCGGGGAGACGCTCCGCCAGTCCGCATCCCTCCTTTTCTACCTCTTCTCCTTCTACCCCTCCCTTCCTTGGCTCTCCGTCAACCCTTCAGTTCCACATACACCAAGCCTGTCACACACAGGCCCTGGAGGCCGACAGCCAGAAGCACATGTGACCAAACGTCATTTTGCATATTGCTAACTTCTAGGAAGAAAATACAGGGGGAGCAGTGAGATGGACAGTCAGGGGGGCGGGAGGGGGGCGTGGAGCTCGCTGCAGATGGGAAGGGAGCAGAGAAAGCTTGGCTGAGGGGTGACGTTAACACCAAGATCTGAAGGCCACCAAGAAGCCTGCCATGTGACCATCCGGGAGAGGAGTCTGCAGGGACAGGCCACCCCAGGCTGGAGCAAGCTTGGAGTTCACTAGGAAAAGACAGCTGGGGAGGGGGCAGGATTTTGGGGGAGGTGGTCAGAGGGGCTGTTGAGGGCTGGGGGGAGCCTGGACCTGCGGCTGGAGCGATCCTCTGGGCTCTCCGTGCAGCACCAGCAGGCCGTCGGGGGCACCCAACTTGGGCAATGTGCCACGCTGGGCCCCAGCCACAGGGAGCTCACAGGAGACTGGCCAGTTACAAGTGCTGTGGTACCAAGGGCCACAGAGGCGGAGCATGTTAGCGAAAATCTTGCTCCCTTGCCGTGCCTGGGGACCCAGGCCCTACCCAGCCATGTCCTCCCACAGGGAACTGTTCTGTCCCTGAGTCCACCCGGCTGAGCCCGTGCCCGCCGCCCCTCACTCTGCAGGTGACTTGATGGGGGGCACACCAGCATGCAAAGTCAACGGGGTGAGGTGACAGCCCAGCTTCAATCCCTGGGGAAATTTCCGTGGTCACCCAGCACCCAGAATCTCTCACTAGCGGCGCCCTTGATGTGCCTGGCCAAGGGCACCACAGGGAGCTCTCCTCCCGGTCCTCCAGGGAGGGGTGCTGACTCTGCCTGCTCCCGTCTCCAGCACCTGACCCCTTGGTCACTCGCCACCAGGCCCAGCTGAACTTGGGCTAGGCCCAAGACCAGGGCTCCCACAGAGTGGACACCTAGGGACACCCCTGCCTATCCAGACTGGCCCCCTCCCCTGCTGGAGGGGCCCCAGAAGCCAATGCTGGCAAACTCACGACTTTCTGAATCCCACCACATCCCTGGCAGTGCTCAGGACACAGACAGGGGCACCAACAAGGCACAGTCCTTCCAGAAGCCCCATTGAGAGCGTCACTGGTCACAGGGACTCTGGGATGGATAACCTCGTGTTGTCTCTCTCATTTAGGCCATTTTTCCCCCCAAGGACCCCAGGCAAGAAAGAAAGTTTGCAAAAGGCAGTTTCAACCTCCAAAATTTAAATTGGAGGAGGATGAGGAGGGCTGGGGCTTGCCACCAGGGGACAGCCTGGGTTGGCAGCGACTAGCCTGGCTGTGGACTCAGGGAGGGACGAGACCCGAGACCACCATTTCCCCAAGAAAAGAAGAAAGGGATCTTTTTTTCTTGGCTCAGACCCATCCTGCCAGGCCCCCGACGGGCGCTCAGGGAGGCCGTGTTAACGTGTTCTCACGGGAGTCCCGGCTGTGGGCCAGCCTTGGCCCTTCCCGGACGACGGGGTGCGTGGAGGAACGGGGGGCAACTGGGGGGCAACGGGGCGGGGGCGGCCAGGACCCCAGGGTCGCCCACAAGCAGGACCGTGTGGGCGCACGGTGGGGTTGGGGGACCCCGGCCGAGTCGAAGCTCCAAGCCGGCGGCGCCCTGAGGTCCGACGTTCGACGTTCCCCGACGGCAGGACCCCCCCCTCCCCCCGCACCCGGAGAGGTCCAGCCCCGGGCGGGGCGGGGGGGGGGGAAGGTGTGGGCCGGCGTGGCGGGCGCTCCCTCTCCCCCAGGGGGCGCCCCGGCCGGGCCCCGAGCGGGCGGAAGCAGAGGGGGCGCCACGCGGCGGGAGACGAGGCCATGGGCGCGCGCGTCGGGGCGCTGCTGCTGGTGCAGCTGCTGGTGCGAGCGGAGCTCGGGAGGCAGGGTGAGCTCAGGCGGGGGCCGCGGGCCGGCGTCGGACTGCTGGGGGGGGGCGGCTGGGGCGCGCGCAGACCCGGCGGAGCTCACCCTCCCGCCCGCCCCCCCCCAGAGTTTCAGGATCAGGACCAGCTGTTTGCAGGTAAGGCGCCCAGGACGCGCGCTTTCCCGCGCGGGGCCCCTGAGCCGCAGCGCAGAGGGCGCCTCATCTTCTCCTCTCCTCCGCCCAGGTTTCGAGAACTCGTCGTTGCTCACGTGTAACTGCCGGGCCCCTGGGGGGAGGGGCGGGCGCCCGCGGACCACGTGGGGAGGGTCCCGGGGTCCCCGGGTCCCCCTGCGGCGCGACCCCCGACGCGCGCCCTTCCCCGTCCCCGAAGGGGAGCCCCTTCCCTTCGCGCAGGAGGGCGGGGTCCTGCCGCTCAGCCGTGTGTCCGTCTGTCCGTCCCAGGGCCCTGTGGCCAACGAACCGTTTCGACGCGCGTGGTGGGCGGAAAGGACTCGGAGCTGGGGCGCTGGCCGTGGCAGGGCAGCCTGCGTTTATGGGGCTCCCACCACTGCGGAGCGAGCCTGCTGAACCGCCGCTGGGTGCTCACGGCCGCGCACTGCTTCGAAAAGTGAGTCTGGGGGCCGGCGGCCCACTGATTGGCCGGCTGGGTCTTGTGCGCCCTCCGGGTTTGGATTCTCCTGAGCTCCAGGCCCAGCTGCAGCCACGTGAGGAAAACTTCGTTCCCCTTCTTCCAGAACGTTTTTCAGAACATTCGCACGCACTTTTGTGTCGTGTTGTTTTCTGTCTTCTTTTCTCCCCAGATGGCAGCACCAGGCGTCCCCTTCCTCATCCCACGTCCGGGTGGAGGCGTACCAGGGGGTGGAAGGAGGTGGGGAAATGCTGGGCACAAAGCCTGCAGGGCCTGTGGCGAAGGTGGTGGTGGAGTTTTCCACCTGCTCTGGTCCTGTGCATCTGTTCATTGTTTTTTTAGGATGGCTGTGGGGGGTGACAGGCTGGCTGAGTGACTGGCCAGATCAGGCCCCAGGGGGAGGCACCCTGCTGCCCCCAGTCCCCAAGACATCAGGTGTGTTCCGGCCGGGCCTCCTCTAAAGACCCCTGCCTGCTCTATCGTCCCTGCCAGGCACAGTGATCCCTTCGAGTGGTCGGTCCAGTTCGGGGAGCTGTCTGCCTCGCCGTCTCTCTGGAATCTACAGGCCTACTACAACCGGTACAGTGTGGAGGAGATCATTTTGAGCCCCATGTACCTGGGAGCTTCATCCTATGACATCGCCCTGCTGAAGCTGTCCTCCTCTGTCACCTACAATAAGTACATCCAGCCCATCTGTGTTCTGACCTCCTCTTCCGAGTTCCAGAACCGGACCGACTGCTGGGTGACCGGCTGGGGGGACATCCAAGAAGATCAGGGTGAGGCTGGGGGCAGGGGGGCGGGGCGGGGGGGGCCTCACGCTCCACCATCTGTTGCATCCGCACCTGGGTCTGTGCGCAGCTGGGGCCACTCAGCACTGTCTCCTCACCTGCTCTCCGCTCCTGCTCCCCCTGGAAGGGACAGACTTCTGTCCTCACAGCTGCTTCCCTCTCCCTTCCAGAGACTGTGAGCCAGGAGCCCCAATGAGAGGGAGCCCAGCTGGGCCCGGGGCTGCACCCCCCAGACTGCAGTGGTGCTGGGGTTGTGGGAGGGCCTCAGAAGGCCTTGGGCCAAGCCTTCTTTCCACCTCAGCACGGGTGCTCACCTAGCCCCCAGCCATCCCGACCCTGGCTCTCCCCACCTTCTCCGCCTACCTGTCTTGCTTCCTGCCTGGAGCACTGAGCCCATTACTCTGTCCTGGCAATTTCAAGCCATCCATAATCCTTGGCTCCCCACCCCGCTGTCTGGGGGTCCTTGGGTCAGCATGAAGTGCCACCTGCATATCTCTCGCCGTGAATTCCCCGAAACTGCTGGGCACAGCCTCCCCAGAGGTGCCCTGGGCCTGGACTGCCCCACACACTGCCCCCTGGCCCGGCCCACTCCTGCAGCACCCCTTCCCACAGCAGCAACAGCGGAGAAAGCTCCCGGCATGCGTGCTCTGTGCCTGGCTCTGTTCTGGGCTCTCGAGACTGAGGAATGAGCAGGGTGAGGTCTGTCTTCCTTCTGGACCTCACCTCTGAATGAGGCTGGGAACATTTTTATACCGGTTTTATAGATGAGGAAAATGAGAGAGGCGGGGAAATTGCCCGAAGGCCCCTGAAAGAGTCAGTGGAGAGGCCAGGGCTCACTGGTCGAGAGGGTAATGTGTCCTTAAGGTCACACATCTGGAATTGGCGGGGGGGGGGGGTAGAGAAATCAATACTAAATCAACACTAGCCCTGCCTTCCTCTAGATTTGGGGTCCTTTCCATTTCCTGCAAGGAGCTGGATAAAGTGTCCCTACCACACAACTCTCCTGGCCCAAAGGGCCGAATGGGTGTGAACCAAGGGGCCCAGTCAGCAGACTCCCTGACCCCGGGCCAACAGGTAGTCCCGTCCAGCCCCAAGCTCCCCCTCATTCCGGCAGGTAGGAGGTGACGTTTGGACCCCACCGTCGTGCGGGTGTAAAGCTTAGCTCGGCCACGTGCTGGCTCGGAGACCTGGGGCAAGGCATCTCGCGGCGCTGTGCCTCGGCCGCCTCGTGGGTAGCTGGGGGTCATGATCGCTCCCACCTGCTAGGGCGGCTCGGAGGTTTGAAGCGGTTCATGCGGGAGGGTGGCAGGGTGCGGGGCTGACAGGAGGCTCTACCCTCACGGCGGCTCTGGGTGTTAGCCTTGTGGCCGGCCCCTGGCTCAGCTGTGGCTCGGCCTGAGGAGTTGAACGGATTTGGGTTCACAGCAGGCTCGGGCACTTCCCTGGTGCTCTGCGGGGCCCCGGGGGTGGGGTGGGGTGGGGGGAGGGACGGGAAGGACAGTCCTCCCCTGAATCTTTCCTTACCTGAAAGAGGGTCGTGGTGGCACTGTGTCCTCCGAGGGCCCCGGAGCCCTGAGAGCTCATCCTGCCGCTCTGGAAGCCCCTGGCTGGGTGAGGAGAGGAAAGCCGCGGGCTGCCCCAGCTACTCAGGCCACTGAGCCTCCCGCGGCTCAGCTGTGCGGGCCCCGCCCCCTGGGCATGTGCTGGGGCTGCTGGCTGGCTCAGGAGGACTGCCCTCTGCCTGCTGGGGTGGGGGGGGGAATGCCCGATCTCAGGAATGGGCTCTGGCAGCCTGCCATCACCCACAGTGTGCTGGGTGCTGGCCCCAGGGACCCTCTCCCCCAGCCCGTGGCCTGTTCCTCCCGACCAGATGACAGAGGAGAGGCTCAGGGGGCCATCTTTCTCTGCCCCCCACTGCAGTGCTGCCATCCCCCTACATCCTCCAGGAAGTGCAGGTCGGCATCATAAACACTGCCATCTGTAACTACCTCTACACACAGCCTGCTTTCCGCCTTGACATCTGGGGAGACATGATTTGTGCCGGCCATGTCCAAGGTGGCAAGGACGCCTGCTTTGTGAGTGTCCCTCCCCAGCCCAACCAGGGGCTTCTGGGGCCTGGCAGCCCCCACCCCAGCCCCAGGCCTGAGAGTCACCTGTATCCCTGTACCTCATTTGGTCCTTGTGTCCACCCCAGAGGGTAGACACTATTGCCCCACTTTGCAGATGCAGAAACTGAGGCTTGTTCACTTCCGGGGTGGGGGGTGGGATTTGCACCCAGTCTGCCCAGCTCCACAGCACCCCCTGCTGTCCCCGCCTCTCCACTGGTCCCTCGGGCCCCGCCCCAGGCCTGGCTCACCCGCGCTGCTCCCCAGGGTGACTCAGGTGGACCCCTGGCCTGTGAAAAGAAAGGGCTGTGGATTCAGGTTGGAATCGTGAGCTGGGGATCAGGCTGCGGGAGGCCCAACCGGCCTGGTGTTTACACCAACGTCAGTAGGCACTTCAACTGGATCCGGAGGCTGTTGGCCCGCAGCCCCAGCGTTCCCAGGCCAGCCCCCTGCCGGCCCCTGCTCCTCCTCCCTCTGCTCTGGCCTGCCTTCCTCCTGCAGCTGGCCTGAGCCCTGCAGAGCCCGGGAGAGTGGGGCCGTCTGCTAAGCCAGGCCCCGCTCCCTGGGTTCCTTTGCTAATAAACACGTTTGCATGTTGGAGTCTGTGCCTTGCGGAGCCTTCTGCGGCCCCGGGGGGCTCCCTGGACACCCGGTCACCCCAGCAGCACTCCCTAACTCCTAAATCTTGCTCCAGCGGTCCGCACTATTCAGGTTTGGGGGGCAAGCCACAGGACCCCCTCCGGTTAGTTGAGTCAGAAAGATAATTTATGGGAGGACATTAGTAGCCCCTGGGGAGACGAACGGGGGTGCCGGGAGGAAACGTCCTGAACCCCCCGGTGCTCGGGGCCCCCCACCAGACACTCCTGGTCTGACCTCCGTCCCTGAGGCCGACCTGGGACCAGAACTGGGGTGTAGGAAGTTGATTTGGGAGGTGATACCAGGAAGCCCCAGTGAAGAGGTTCCCGCTGTGGGCAACGGAGGCACAGTCCCGCTGGAGCCCGTGAGAAACCACAGCGGCACCTCGGCACCCGCGAAGCAAACCTCCCTGCTCACCCGTGATCCTGGGAGGAAGGCTGGAACGGGGTTCTGCTTCCCCAAACGGGGGAGTGGTCAGACGCTGGTGGGCTGCCACAAACAAGACCAAAGTCCTTCCCGCCAGGCAGGAGGCTCCGTCTGCTCCCTCTCACCAGCTCCCTCAGAGGCCACCGCTGTGTCAGATGCGGCGCCCCATTTGTTTCCTTCCTGCCCTCCCCCATGCCACACGCAGCAGGGCCAGCGGCTTCCTGGTGCTCCTGGGCTCCTGGCCAGGCTGGGCACCCCACCCCTGCAGGGACCCTACCACCTCCTGTTGCCCCTCACCCCTCGTGAGGCTCCCCCACACTTACATGGCGCCTGTGTGACCGGCTCTGGCCTGACTTGGGGTCCTTGCAGGTGCCGTTTCCTTGGTCTAGAATGTTCCCCCTTCTCCTGGTTGAGCCCTACTCTCCTCCAGGCCTCATCTGAGACATCGCTCCCTCCACTCTGTCATCTGCTCATCACACCCATTAGGGTCCTTCAGGCCGGCTCTCCCTTTGTCACTAACTGGCCGTGGCCGTACCTTCCTGCATGGGCGGTCCCGGAGCCTGTGCTGGCCCAGCAATGACCACGCAGCCCTGTGCCCTTCACGGTGGAGACACCCCACAGCCCCACCCAGGATCAGTGACGGGCTCCGGGAAGTCTGGCCACCCCCTCCTGTGGCACAGGCCACGCTGGACGTTTCCGGGCCCAGGGTGGGAGTCCTAGGGGACCATCGACACTCCGCCCCGGGGGATCATCATGGTGCAGCGCTGGGTCCCTGGTTCCTTCACCCCGTGGTGTCCCCCACCCTTGCTCTCCTGAGATAGGCCGGAGATGGTAAGTGCTCTCAGCCATCCTGGGAAGGGAACTGGCAGCTTCAGGCGGGCCACTCGGGGCTCATCACCCCTCCACCCCCTGTCCCTGCTCCCTTCGGCGTTCACGCTCCCAGCTGTCTTCCGTGGAGGACACGACCCTGCCACAGAGAGTGGCCCTGTGCGCCTGGGCTCACGTGCCCTGCACCAGCTGCTGCTGGGACCCGGTCACTGACCAGTGGGCCTGAGCCGGTGGCCAGTGAAATTGCTTGTCCCTCCAGAGCTGGATCAGGGCGTGTCACCATGCTGTGGACAGCTGGAGTTGCTCTGACTGCTGGGGAGGACGTGCATGGTGGGGACATGGCAGGCCTGTCGGGTGAGGAAGATGGAGGCTGGGTGGGGAGTCGCCAGACCGTGAGTGACCAATGTCCCATCGCATGTTTTCCCAGCAGCCACGAGAGGGGCCTTCCCTTGTGATGAGTTCATGGAGACAGTAAAACCTACAACTTTCATCTTCGAGGACATCTGTACTTTGGAGTCAAGATTTTTTTTCTTTTTTCCTTTCCTTTTTCTTTTCTTTTCCTTCCTTCCTTCCTTTCGTAGGCTCCACGACCAGTGTGGAGCCCAATGTGGGGCTTGAACTCACAACCCTGAGATCAAGACCTGAGCTGAGACCAAGAGTCGGACACTTAATCAACTGAGCCACCCAGGAGCCCCTGGAGTCAAAACTTTTTAAGCATAGTTTTTATAGAGTAAATGTTAGCATATTAGACTCGTGATTATTTTTCACTTATATTGTGGGTGGTGCCAACAATGTATTTTTCCTTCTCCTTTCTTTTTCTTATTCTCCAAAAAGTTGTAGAAGCCAGAGCAGGTATTTTAGGTAGCCACTAAGATTTATTACTTCCCTTATGTAAACAAGAATAATTATGGAGAAAGTGAAGTATTTCTGACGGGTTCTGATTGTAATCACAGTCCAGAGCTTCGTGTATCTCATAGTGTGTGCAGAGTCGGGTGCGACTAGGGACACCCCAGAGCATCAACACTTGTCACCCCCAGGTGATGGCCATCTAGGCGATTACCATCGCTTTTAGCCTTTTCCAGATTTCCTTCGCTACCCCTTTCCTATTGTGCTGTAATCAGAAAACAAAACCAGTAAGTGTATTTAAAAACCAAACAAGAATCCGGTTGGTTGGGTGTGTGGACAAGTGACGTTTTCTCAAGCATATGGAGGCTCTGTGGATGCAGATTCAAGCCTCCTGCCTGCCACTTGCACGGACAAACGCAACAATAGAATGCTATCAAGATTCTGGAATAGGAGCTAGAAGGTGGTGCTGCAGGGTCTTCCAAGATTATCTGAGAAAAGGTCATTTCGGTTTTTGAATTCTAGACCCGCTAACAGCCAGTCAAGCGGGAGGGCAACATGATGTCATTCTCAGGCAGGACGGCTTACGAAGGTGACCTCCCGCCTGCCCTTCCTGAGGGAGGTCCCTGCGGTGGGGAACAGAACCGAGCCCAAGGTTGTCAGCGTCCAGATCTCCAGAGACTGTATGTCACTCTGTATGGCAAAAGACACTCTGCAGACGTGGCTGAGCCAGCGGCGTGACATGGGGAGATTATCCTGGACTGCCCGGGTGCAACTGGTGTCATCCCAGGGGTCCTGAAACCTGGAAGGAATCAGAAGCAGCAGTAAGAGCGGTGGCCTAGGACGAGGGCGGATGAGGGGACGGATGCAAGGAAGAATAAATAAGAGATGGCAAAATGGTAGAAATAAGGCATTGAAGTCCCGTTTCTACTCCCGGAAAGAAGAGAAAAAGGACAATCAGGAGAGTTAGGGGTGAGGGCAGCAAACCCAAGGTCCAAAATTAGCCAGCGTTCCCCAAACTGACCTGACCATGGAACCCTCGTTTTGGGGGAATTTCAGAAGAGACTTGTAAGACACTGCCCCACGTCTCCAGGGCTAAGCCGGGGCCTGGAAGTTCCCTCAGTCCCTCCCTGATCTGATACCCTTCATCTCCTGGGGTGGATTTTTCTTCAGTAAAATCTCAGGTCTCTCAGCACCTGTCTCTGCTATGTGCCCCCTCTGACACAAGGGGGCACTGCTGAGCTGCGGGCTCCCCGCCCAAGCTGCCCAGGGGCTCCTCTAGAGGGGAGTGGAGGGCACAGGTGCTTGGTTCCTCAATGGATGTTTGCTAAATAAGCAGGTACCTGAACATGCAGGTGAGTTAAAGGGGCCTGAAACAATGTTTATTTCCCCATACTTATTTGAATGGGATGAGGACCCCGGCCCGCCCACCGCCTCCCCGTTGCCATTAGCCCCGTTCTGTGTCTGCGGGATCCCTTCTCTACACCCAGGCGGTCTCTCCCTTATGGAGTCTTATGGCCAGGTGCAGAGCCGCGCATCCACAGGTCTGCCCACCGCGCAGGCTGGTCTCCTTTGCATGCAAGAAGCAGGTGGTCGCTTGAAGAATTTGCACACACCCTGCCCGGGGCGGCTTATTCCCAGCCTGACAGATATTGCTGCTCCGGACAGCTGTTTAAGATAATGGGCGAAGTGGTTCTGTTGCAGAGCCAGACTTGTTTGTATCGTAAAAATAGCCTCACGATGGTGATTCTAAAAATAATGCATTCTCCTTAGAAAATACAAGTCCGCAAAAGGAGCATAAAGAAGAAACTGTTAAAGATCACCAGAACCCAACTTTGAACCAATTTCTGAACACTGGACATTTAGGTTGTTGACAAATGTCATTACAAATGACATTTTTGGGGCGCCTGGGTGGCTCCGTTGGTTAAGCATCCGACTTATCTTGATCCCAGCTCAGGTCTTGATCTCAGGATCGTGAATTCGAGCCCCAGGTTGAGCTCTGCACTGGGCGTGCAGCCTACTTAAAAAAAAAAAACAACGACATCTTTCTGTAATCTTATAAATCTCGGCACCTGTTCCTAATCATTTTTTCGGCTAATGTTGCTATGGGTGCAGTGCTTTAGTCAAATGGGCCATGTTTTCAAAGGAGTTTAAACCACGAGGAGGACTCCAGTACACTCCTCCAGCAAAGGAAGAGGGACCCACCTCCCACCCTGTTTTGACCCTGAGGGTGTCCACTTTTATATCCTTTATAAACTTACAGGTTAAAAAAAACACTTCTCAGAGGTGTGGGGGGCTCAGTCAGTTAGGCGTCTGCCTTCGGCTTAGGTCATGATCCCGGGGTCCTGGGATGGGGTCCCCATCTGGCTCCCTGGTCAGCGGGGAGCCTGTTTCTCCCTCTCCCTCAGCCTTCTGCTCCCCCTGCTTGTGCTCTCTGTCAAATAAAATCTTAAAAAAACCAAACAAAATGCTTCTCAGTTTGTAAAAGTGGTACAGTCTTACCAAAAAATAAAAGTCAAAGCAATACAAAAAAGGACAGGGGAGGAAGAGGAAAATGTCCTAAATCCCCTTACCTGGAAGTAACTGTAGTTTTGTTTGAATATTGTTTCAGAAGTCTGTTTGGAAAGGCAGGTTCTAGGACAGGCGCGTGGAAGGATGGGTAGGGTGTGGGTCAGTGTGGGGGCCCGGACACACGTGCCTCCGAACTCCAGGGAACAAGGAGACGTTTACAAAGGGAATCCTTCTCTAAGAGTGTTGGACCCCAGCTATGCGGCGGGCTTCTCAAAGCAGAGAGGCATGAGATGATGAGGCTGGGGCCTCAGTGGGCTTGGAGGTGGGGTTCCGGACACTTGGAGGTGGGACACGGTAGCTCTGGGGTTCAGGAGAGGCTCCCAGCCGAGCCTCGGGCTGGCTGGGTAATGCCCTGTAGTGGGTTAAATTGTGGCACCCCCCAAAGGATATGTCCTCTCAGAACCTCTGACGGGGCCTTATTTGGACTAAGGGTCTTTGCAGATGTAATTAAGGTAGTGATCTCGAGGAGCTCCTGGATAGGACGGGCCATAAATGCAACACCGGCTGTCCTTACAGAGACAGGAAAAGAGAAGCCACAGACACGGGGAGCGGTGCAGGTGAGGGAGGAGGAAAGACTGCAGGGGTGTAGCTACGAGCTGAGAAGCGCCCAGGCCAGCAGACAGCCACCAGAGACTGGAAGAAGCAAGAAAATGTTCTCCTTTAGAGACTTTGGGCTGAATACAGATTTATTTATTTGAGCAAGCGAGCATGAGCGGAGGGCGGAGCAGTGGGAGAGGGAGAAGCAGGCTCCCCGCCGAGCAGGGAGCCCGATGCGGGGCTCGATCCCAGGACCCTGAGATCATGACCTGAGCCGAAGGTAGACACTCAACCGACTGAGCCACCCAAGTGCCCCGTGGGATTTTAATTACATAAAAGATTAGACAAAATGTGTGGTTGGGTGTCCTGATTTGCCAAAATAGGTGTTGCATTTCTCTGGGGAGAAGTGGGGGAAAATGCTTAGCTTAGAGCGAGGCATCAATGAGAACTCCAGGCCCTCTTGTCTGTTGTGCCACAGGCTTCAGAGCACACAGGGGTCTCCCGAAAGCCCACATCCAGCGAGCAGGGAGACCTGACCCAGCCCCTCACCTCTGCTGGGAGAAGGCCGCATTGTTCCAGCTCCTGGCAGAGTGAGGTCTGGGCCAAGCCCATGGTGGGATTATGGCCTCGCAAATCCCCTCCTGGGGAGCCCTCATCCTAAGGGACAAAGGGCCTGTGTTGAGTCTCCCCAGGGCCAGCACTGGGCCGGGGAGGATGAGGGGGCAGGGCTCCTGAAAGGGCCCCCCTTGCAGGTGTGCCTGAGTGTACGCCCATGAAGGTCGTGTGCAAGGCCCTGTGTGTCGGGGCAGCTGGGCAGCCGTGCGTCCTCGAGGATGCATCTGTGTGCGTGCACGTGTGTGTAGGTGCCTCTGCTATAACCATACTCCTGCCCTCCGAAGATGCACCTCGTGTGTGCTTTTGGGCACGTCCTGGCACCCCTGTCATCTAGGCAGCAACTGGCTCTTCTTGCAGCCAGCCCCCCCAGGTAGTGCTCCCCGGGGTTCTGCCTATCCCCAGGTAGTGCCCCCCGGGGTTCTGCCTACCCCCAGGTAGTGCCCCCCGGGGTTCTGCCCCCCCAGGTAGTGCTCCCCGGGGTTCTGCCTATCCCCAGGTAGTGCCCCCCGGGGTTCTGCCTACCCCCAGGTAGTGCCCCCCGGGGTTCTGCCCCCCCAGGTAGTACTCCCCGGGGTTCTGCCTACCCCCAGGTAGTGCTCTCCGGAGTCCTACTCCCCCCAAGGTAGTCCTCCCCGGGGTTCTACCTATCCCCAGGTAGTGCTCCCCAGGGTTCTACCCCTCTCCCCCAGGTAGTGTTCCCTGGAGTTCTGGTTCACACAGACCCTCCTTCTGGGTGCCAAGCCTGGCCAGCCTGGCACTAGGAAGAAGGCACCTGAGTTGGCAGCAAGACCCGCAAAAGTGCCCAGCAGTTTGAGGGGGTCAGGAACAGAGCCCACTTTGTGCAGCCTCCAGGCCCTTCCTCCAGAGCCGCGCCTGTCAAGGCCTCTGCCACCTCCACCCCACAGGAGGCTCTGGGGCCTCTGGAGGGGTTCGGCTGCCCCTGTCCCTTCCCTCAGGGCTTCTGGGAGGGGCTAGGAGCATTGGGAGGCCAGGTGGGGAGCCCTTAGCTTTCAACATGAGTCAGTGGTGGGTCCCTGAGCCCTATGGGGCCTCTCCAGAGAGACCAGCGCAGGCCAGGAAGGAAGGGCCACGTCCAAAGCAGCTCTGTGCTCTCCCCACGGAGGGCTGGCTGGTAAATGCTGTAGATGGGCTGCCTCTCTTCCAGAGTGGGGACCAGGGAGCCTCCAGGATCGCTTACTTTGTGGGTGAAGGGCCAGAGGATACACGGGGCAGGTTTTCTGGGTCACAAAGTGTCATAATTGCTCAGCTCTGTGGGGTGACGTGAATGGGTCTGGCTGTGTGCCTGGAACACTATCTATGGGCAATGCCATCGGAGTTTCACAGGATTTTCATGTGTCACAAAGTGCTATTCTTTTGAATTGTTTCTAACCACTGAGAACTGTAAAAAGTGTTCTCAGCTCCCAGGCTGTGCTACAATGGGTGGGAGTGGGGTGCTCCCCGGGGTTCTGCTAACCCCTGGCCCAGATACCTCGGCGGGATGTAGACAGGGCCTCCGCCCCATCCCCAGTCCCCCAACACTGCCATCCCAGTGAAACCAGTAGGTGAGCCAGTGCTTCCAGAGTGGGTCTGTGCGCACAGGAGGCCGTTCTCTGCACCCTCTTCTTGTGACCAGATGGGACCTTCCTGAACACCCAGCCTGGCTCCTGGGCCGTGCATCCCTCCTTCCTCGCGCCCTCAGAGCGTTCCCTGGCGCTGCCGACACCGCCCCCCAAATGGACAAGGGTGCTGTTTCCGATCTTTTGCAATTTCGAAGGACACGGCCCAGAACCACCTTGCCCACCTGGCAGCACGGGTGAGACCCGGGTGCTCAGGCCCTTGCAGGAGAAGGATCCCTGAATTCTCAGAACACCCAAGAGGAGGCTCTATCCCAGCTCGCGGACAAAAGATGACCCAGCCATCTGTTGGGGTGGTGGGAGCTCCCTGGACAGCACGCCTCACACGCAGGGAAGCCAAGATTTGGACCCAGTCTGGCTCCAGCGGCAGCACCGGCAGGGGCCTCAGATCTGCAGCCCGTGAAAAGTACCCCGTTACCTCCCACGTAAGTCTGACACCTAGGCCTGACCCCAGGAGCCCCCAGAAGCACTGGCCTAGAGAATCGCTCTCTCTCCGACCCTCTGTGCCTGGTCATGCCCCGGCCAACCCCGGGGAGCACTACCGTTGAGGCCGGCCCGTCCCACCTACATCTGCTCTGGGCACAAAGATTGTCATTGTCTTCCAAGTGACACAGCACGGGGCGCCAACCCCTGGGTGTCTCTTAAACCTGGCGCCGGGCACACAGTCCAGCTCTCTCTGAGGGTCGGCCTGAGCTCCTGGAAGCCCACAAGACACCAAGCTCCACACAGGCCTGAATAAGGTCCTGGGCCCGGTTGTGCACAAGGCAGGAGCCCTTGTGGGCACCTGGCCTGTAGCTCCCCGGTGGGTGGAGGCCTGTCTGGCCAAGCTGGGGGGACTCCCAGCAACCCCCCATTCTAGTCCAGGTGCTGAGGAGAGAGACCTGGAGGTGGCAGAGAAACGCTTGTCACTGTCCTGTTTTGTGTAGGCCATGAGCCCAAGACAATAAACACAGTGCGCCTGGGAGCCTCCCCCAGGATGCCTCTGGGATTCCCCCAGAAAGAGCCGACCGCAATTCCTTCCTGTTGCCCTAGTGGCCCTACTTCCTTCCTTCTGGATGGGGGCCCACGGGGATGGGGTGGGTATAAAGGGCCGGGCGGAGAGCACCCAGGCACAAGACGCTGCGCTGCCAGGACTGGGCGACGGACTCTCGTGGACAGGTACGGGCGGCGCTCCCCTCCCACGAAGGGGCCTGGCGAGGTCCGACGGGGGCCCCCTCAGAGTCAGTGGCCTGCCCTCTCCCTCCAGGAGCCTTGGGACTCACCATCCAAAGGCCATGCTGCTGTGGCTGACTCTCGCCCTCCTGTGGAGCACCACCTGCTGGGCAAAGCGTAAGTCTGGCTGGGTCTGCCCCCCACCCCGGGGGGCCATGCTCACCCCGGCCCTCCTGGCCCGTCCCCCCAGGGTGCCACACTCACCCCTCCCAGCCCGTCCCCCAGGGGGCCATGCTCACCCCTGCCCCAGCCTGTTCCCCGGAGGGGCACGCTCACCCCTCACCACAGACCGACTCCAGTCCTGGGACCGCGCCGGCTGCCTGGAGGGCCACGTCTAGTTTGGGGCAGGGATACACTCCACCTCAGCCTGTGGTGCTCTTCTCTTCCCCACCCGGTCCCCTCGTCCATCTAGAGATGTATGGGGAAGGAGGAGGCAAATATTTCAGCACCTCCAGCGACTGTGAAATCACCGGAATCCGGGTGGCTGTGGGTCTCCTGGGCCTGGTGAAGAGGTGAGTAGGAGCGGGGCCCGGAGCCCTGTCACCACAGCCTCAGGAACTGGGGGGTTTCGCACCTCGTCCCCTTGTACCTGCGCTGGTCTCCCAATGACCCTGGGAGTTCTGGAGCCACCAGCCACCACCTTCCTGTTTGTCCCTGTCCTTCCTTGCGTGTCCTCCCTGGCCCACCAGCCCCTTCCGTTCTGTCCGCAAGTCCTGCCTGGCTTCCTGGGCTGACCTAAAAAGAGGGGTAGGTGATGCTTCTCCCTCCTCTCTCCCTTCAACGCCAAACAGCCTCTCAGTCCCAGATGCCCGATGGGGAACCCAGGGGGTGGTCTGTCCAGGGGAGGGTCAGAGGAAAGGCAGTGAGGTCAAAAAGGACTGCAGGCAGAACACCAGTCAGCAGACATGTGTGGAGGCAGAGAGCCGGGCCGCAGCTCCAGGCCTGGGCGGACCCGTGCTCTACACGCCCAGGGTCCTGGGGAGCACAGCAGGTGCCTCAGGGGACACAGTGTGGCCAGGGCCGGGGGGAGGAGGCGTGGGGGGGGAACAGGGAAGCCCCGATGAGCAGAGCTAGTGGAACTCCCCCAGGTAACTGTGGGGGTCGCTTGCTTCTAAGGCCTGTGACCTGGTCTTGCCGGTAGCTGGGGTTCAAAGTCCAAGCTGGGCTGGGGACAGCTCCCCACTGTGCGCAGTGAGAGCGGCCGGCACCACCTGAGGGTCCCCTTACAAATGATCTCGCTGCCTGCCCCCCCAAACCACTCCCACTTTTCAGATAAGGAAACTGAGGCCCGGAACGGCTGGGTAATGAGCCCAAGCTCACAGAGCCCAAAAACATCAGAGCGGGGGTCTGAGAGCAGCACCTCTGTCCACGGGGTGGGGCCGCTGACCTGTCATGACACGATTGCTGTCCTTGCAGGGGGATCGAGCGCCCGGGGAGTGGTGGGTCAGCCCGGCTCTGGGCCTCCAACTCTTCCCGTGTCCCAGTATCCAGGTGAGATGTGGCGTGTCCTGGAGCACAGAGTTCGGCGCCTCAGGTGGGACTACCCAGGAATTCATCCTGCAGCCAGGAGAACACATCCAAATGATCTATGGCTCCTACAGGGTGTTTATCCGGTCCCTGATCATATCCACAGATCAAGGGCGCTATGCCACGTTTGGGAAGGAAAGTGGCAACACCTTCATCGTCTCCCCCAGTGAGGACGGGAAGGTGCTCACGGGAATCTGTGGCCAGCATAAGCTTTTAGGCCTTTCGGGCCTCTGCTTTGAGTGGGACTACCCTCCAGAGGATGAGGAGTGGACCACTGAACCAAACAGTACTAGAGACACGCAGTGCTCCAGCTGAGCCAAGGGGGCTGAGAATAGCTGACTCTGGGCCTCAAATTGGAATCTGCCAATAAATAAAGCTTCTGCAAGAATGGTGTGTCCAGGTGTGGTTCTTGGGTCCAGGGTGTGACCAAAGCTTTCCCAGCTGGGGTGGGGAGGGGAGACAAGGCCTCTGGGGTGGAGGTGCAGGGTAAGGAAGGAGCAGGTCCCATGCCCCAGGCCTCAGGGATTCTGCCTGGGCAGATCTTGCATCTTTGAGGAGTCTGGGCTCCCAGGTCACCCTCCACCCCGCCCTTCCCCCAAGCCCATCCAGCTGGCCTCTGACAGCCCAGGCTCAGCCCCGGTCTTCTCTGAGTATGTGACAGGCCTCAGGGAAGCCCAGCCACTCACTTCCTCGCTCGCTCAGCACACATCTGCCAGGGCCTGGATTCCCCGGGGAACTCATGGTTAAAAGAGGCCAGGTGCGGGGCGCCTGGGTGGCTCAGTTGGTTGAGCGACTGCCTTCAGCTCAGGTCATGATCTTGGAGTCCCGGGATCGAGTCCCGCATCGGGCTCCCTGCTCGGCGGGGAGTCTGCTTCTCCCTCTGACCCTCCCCCCTCTCATGTGCTCTCTCTCTCTCTCTCTCAAATAAATAAATAAAATCTTTAAAAAATAAAAAAAAATAAAAAAATAAAAAAAGAGGCCAGGTGTCCAGCTGAAGGGCGCCCTGTAGTGGGTGGAAGCAGAAGCAGGGGGTGGCCTCTCCATTGACGAGGACACATGTAGGGCATCGTGTGTGGGCACCTGCATAGAGGCAGGGCGATGGGGCTGTGCTGCAGGGAAGCCTTTCTGAAGGAGGCAGCATATGGGCCTGAAGGTGGAGGGAGACCTGGTCCGGTAGAGACAAGGGAAGGAGGGCATTCTGGGCAGAGCGACCAGCATGGGCAAAGGCGAGGGCCAGAGGCAGCTGAAGACAGGACTCCGGGAGGTGTGATTTGTGATAGCAGCCTGGGGAATTAATGCAGACCCGAGACCTTGCCCGTTCTTTGTAGCCCCATCCCGAGCCTGGAATCTGAGTCCCAGGCACCTCCAGCGATGAGGCTTGCAAACATCAGGGGCAGTGGCCGCGGGAAGATGCATTCTGCACCCTGCCACCGAGCATGCACACAGCCAAACGCTGGCTACTGGTGCGGGGTGCTGGGTCTGGCTGCACCTGAACCACCCCCCTGTGGGCATGGGCCTTCAGTGGCTCCTATCTGGAAAATGAGCAAACTGAGGCACAGAGAGCCCAGCGGGTTGGCCTGGGTCACACACAGCAGCAAGCGGGAAGGCTGGGGTTTGCTTGGGCTGGGAACCCCAGACACATGCTGACATTTTTCTCTGTTTTGCTTCTTATCCTTTAAATGCTGGTTGGGACCCATTTTGTGGTTTTCACCTGGGGTCCATGGGCAACTTTCAGAGAATCCACGAACTTGGCTGGGGGGAAAAAAGTCACCTGTTTATTTTCATTGTTTTCTACTGGAAATTTTGTGTTTCCTTCACATGTGAGTGTGACCTCACCCAGCTCATCAGCAGTGCCCGTGACCTTGACGATGACAGTTGTCCCGAATATCTTGAAATTCACACTTGTCCCAACTTCAAAATTATGGGTGTTTTCAGACGTGCCACGTGATCTGTCGTAGTAAAGGGTATTTGGAGAACACATGTGAGGACACATTGTGATGAGCGCATCTGGCTGTTTTCCTCCGGCGTCGTGGAGAAGCTGGGGGGCTGCTCTCCTGGGCCCAAGGGCGAGCTCCAGTGTATCACTTCTTGCCCCTGGGCTGCTAACAGGAAAATCTGTTTTCAGTATGAGACTCCTGACCACTTTCACAGGCTGGCAGCTTCAAGGGGGGACGCCACCTCCCAATGCCCCCCACCCCGTATGGCCATGAGGATGGTCAGAAATGGGACAGTGTCAGCTTGAAGAGGGAGAGCAGTCATTGCCTTGTGGCCAGGATCAGACAGGAAGAGAGGAGGATGGGTGGGGAACCAAGGAAGAGGAGGAAGAGGTGGGAAGGGGCCAGCTCAGGGCAGTCGTGCCCACTGATTGCAAAGCACAGTCCCTGGCTTGTGAGCCGGCTCCCAGGAAGTGCTGCATGGTCCCCCGGCGAGCACCGCGTGCCTCTTCCTCACGGAGCCCTGCCTGGGCGGCCCGCACCCCGGTGCTGTGGAGACTTGCATAGTGTACCACAGGGGGCCAGAACCGGAGCGAGGGGGCTTGGGGGCACCCAGGGCCCACTCCCCTTGGTGACAGGGACCATGCGGGTTCAGTTGTGTGAACCCTTATTTAACAAGCACTCAGCAGCGCTCTGGCCGGGCCTTTCGTACCAGCCCAGGGTCACCTGATCTCTGGGCCGGGGGACCCAGGCCCCTGTCAGAACCCAGCAGGTGGCCTCCTTGAGTGGCCATCCGCACGTGGGTCATGGGTCATCGTTGGCTGTCTGGTCACTAGGGCGGGACCCTGAGGTCACAGCTCCTTCGGGCCAGTCCCCACGTGAAGCTGGTTCCGAGAGGCAGGAGAAACTGCGTGGGGCCGTCAGTGGGGCGGATGGGAGCTGCGTTCTGGAGTCTGAGGCTGGGTGCCCGGGGGGTGGCCTGGTGCCCTGGGGGTGCTCCAGCGCAGCTGCCCGGGGCAGGCGCCTGGCGGCCCCCGCGGTAACGTGCTTGCCTATCTATAGCACCAACACCGGCCTGTGGCCTCTGGAGGCCCCGTATTGTGGGGTGTGGGGAGCCCCAAACCTCTGCTGGATGCCCGGAAGGAGGCGGGCTTCCCAAACCACCATCTCCCTCAACACCTGCCTGGCGTCCATGCCCCCCCCAGCTAGGAAGTCCTTCCTGCTGTCTACCCAGCTTCGTCCCTCAGAAGTGGTCAGCTCTTCCCCTTGTGGAACAGCACTCCAGTGGCTGGGGCACCCTCACTCAAAAAGCACACGTCGGTCTCCTGGACAGGCGCTCCGTCCACCTGTCCTCAGACCTGAGCTCAGGACTGCTCCCTCCCCCTCCGTACCAGCTGCTGGGACAGGCCTCATGGACAAGGCCTCATGCCTTACCGCGGAGTAAGACTCGAAACGGGGGGGGAGGGGGGGGGCAGCTTTCCCACTGGGCCCTCCACCTGCAGGGGGTGCCCGCTCACCACTACCCCTCCCCCAGTGCACCTGGGTGAGGCTGAGGCAGCCACACGGAGCCCGGTGGACCACAGATGGGCCTTGGCCCAAGATGCAGCAGTTATTCTTAGCCGGAGACGGGCAAGTCAGGCCCTGCGTGTGCCCCGTGTTGTCACGTGTCCCCAGGAGCCACGGGGCAGCTGTGTCCAGCTTCAGCCTTCACTCTCGAGTGGGAGAGGAAGACCGATGAACGCAGAACAGCAGAAAAGAGACAGAGATGGCCTGATGGTCTTCCAGCCAAGCTCCAGGCTGCTCCTAACCCCAGCTCATTCCTGCTCTCAAGGAGGGCTGCCAGATAAACAAATTTCAGGATTTCAGATAAACAATTTTTTACTGAAGTAAATATCAAACATTGCATTTTTTTAAAGTATAACTACATCCTAAATGCTGGGGCTCCCCCAGCCCTCAACAGCCCTGGGCACGTGGGGAGGAAGAAAGCAGACAGGCCCTGCCTGAGATGGGCGCCTCAAGGGGGCAAGACGCCGAAGCACCTGCCTAGAGCAGAAGAACATGCAAGGAGGCCCCACTCCTTCTGCCTTTGGGTGGACTTGCCTAAGTTCTTTTTAGGTTCCCTCTAAAAGCGGTCCCCTTCCCGCTGCACCATCCAGGGACTCATAAAACACCTGCCGTCCCAGCACTCACTCGGGCATCACATCCCTGCTTTATTCCCATCTTATAGCTGAAGAATCAGCCGCAGATGCATTTAGCACCTTGCCCGAGGTCACTCAGGGAGTTAGCGGCCAAGGCCAGACTCAATCCCAGGGACAAGTTCTGAGCATGACCCTTGTTGTCGCTGCTGCCCATTACCACCCAACCCCCGCCATAGAGATGCTAGAGGAGGGACACCTGCCACCCGGCTCTGGGCGCCCCCGGGCTCCTCATTACTCCCATCCAGCTTCTGCCCCTTCCCTGGCCCTGGTTCTCCCGAAGGTCTCCCAGCTTGCGGCCACGTGCACCATTAGCTTGATCCAATGCGCCCGCCCAGGGGCACAACCCATTCATCCCCATGGGATGTGCCGGGCACTCCCACCCTGGCACTTCTAGCTGAGGGGAAGGGGCAGCCAACCCGGGGAGGCGGCCGGGGTGATGAGCAGCTCCCCCCAAGGCCTGGGAGAGACTCCCCTTGGGCTGCTGGGATGCCAGGGGTGGGGGCAGAGGGCAGGGCCTCCAGAACCACCAGCTAAGCCCTCAGGCGAGCAGCTCTTGGGGAAAGGGCACCAGGAGGAGGCAGACAAAGGGCTTGTGGTTCCACAGGCCGAGGCCCAAGCTGGAAACCCTTTTGTGGGTTTGGCTGCCCTTTCAGGTCCCTTCCTTCCGCCTCCCTGAGGCAGCTTCCTGGAAGGAAGGAGGGAGGGCCAGGAGCGGGTCTGACCAAGGCCAGGGCCTATACCTGCGATCAGGCGGCCTGAGCTTTCTTTGTCACCATGGGCTGATCACCGAGCCGAGTGCTGGGCCACCATCTCGTCTGCTCCTACTGAGAATAAGCGATGTTTGCCCCATTTTACAGATGAGCCAACTAGGACTCCAGGGCGGGGAACTAATAGGTGGGGCCCTCCACACAGTGGAGCAGGGATCCCCAGGCAAACATGGGCCCAGGCCTGAACAGAGCCCCAAACCTGTGCTCATGGGTGAGGAGCCGGAAACCCACAGCCAGCTAGCACGTCCCTACCGGCCAGATGTCAGGGTCCTCAGCGAGGGGTTCGCATGCCGTTTCCAGGGTCTTGTGTCAGTCAGGAGGCTGCAGGGACCCATCCAAGAGAACCAGCTGATCACAGGGATTCCTCTGGTGACAGAGGGTGATTTGGTAAGAAGCTGTGTTTTATAGACGGGCAGCTCCTACAGGCCGGGCAGGCCCGCCCTGCCCCTGGGGAGACTCTCCGTCATGGGGGACTCAGTTTTATGGAGAGGGCCACGGATTTTCCCAAGGCTAGGACCAACCCCCTTTGCTTAGAGCAGTGGTTCCCTCCTGGGGTCAGTGGTGCCCCTAGGGGACCTCTGCCCATGTAAGAAGACATTTTGGGTTGTCACAACTGGGTAGGTGTCCAGACCTTGAGGGGATAGAGGCAAGAGACATTGGTACATATCCAATGCACAGGACAGCCCCCGCATACACATGCGCAAAACCTAACTCTCTGGCCCCAAAGTGCAGTAGGCCAAGGTTGAGAACCACGGGCTATGTGCTGTGGTCTGTCCTGCACCCCGCTCTCTGAGGGGCACACCTCTCCCTTTCACCCCACATGAGTCTGATGGGGGTCCAGAGTGGGGTCCATCTCCCTGGAGTTCCAAACCTCAGAGCCGGAGGTCTGAGCCCCCACCCCGGCGTGCCTTTGGGCACAGAGTATCGTCTCTGGGCTCCCGCTCCCTGACCCCGGACCCCATCGTTCTGGGGCTTTCCAGCAAAGGAGGTGTTCTGTGATGTTTTCCATATCAGTTCACTGCTGTACGAGGCTGGCGGATATTTTTATCGTGGTAAGATACACATAGGGTTTGCCCTTTAAGCCATTTTATTTTATTTTATTTTTAAAGATTTTATTTATTTGACAGAGGAAGACACAGCGAGAGCGGGAACACAAGCAGGGGGAGTGGGAGAGGGAGAAGCAGGCTTCCCGCCGAGCAGGGAGCCCGACGTGGGGCTCTATCCCAGGACCCCAGGATCATGACCTGAGCCGAAGGCAGACGCCCAACGGCTGAGCCACCCAGGCGCCCCTAAGCCATTTTAAAATATAGACCGCCGCGACATTTAGCGCCTGAGCAGTGCCGTGCAGTCAGTGCCACCATCTAGCCCCAGACGTTCCTCATCACTGCGACGGAAGCCCCGGACCCCAAACCCACTAGGCGTTCACTCCCAATACTTCCTCACTGGTCTGACTGACCTTAGACACGCTGCACAGAGAAGTCTGCTTCCTGCTATCGTGTCCGTTCACGGTTTTGTCTAGTTAGGTCATGGCCCCACAACAGTGTTGAGGGTCAGCTGCACTCTTTTTGAGTTTTCCTGTTTTGGTTTCCCACTCCGTTTTCTGGAGGTACACTGTCCACACTGTAAAAGGCATCTATGTTCATAGTGAAGTTTGATAAAAATTTGACAAACATCCACTGGTGTAACTACCACTACACTCAAAATGAAGGAAGTTTCTGTCACCCCTGCAGGGCCCCTGGAGTCCATCTCCTCCCAAACCCGGTTCCAGAGAATCCCTGATCTGTTTTTTGGTCACTATAAATTGGTGTTGTCTTTTCTAAAATTTCAAATAAACGAAATCAGATGGTATGTGCTCCTCTGAGTCTGGCTTCCTTCGCCCAGCGTTAGGGTTCGGAGGTTCGTCTGTGTGATCTGTACTTCACCAGTTCCTTCCCCTTCTACTGCTGAGCAGTGGTTATCTATCCGTGGACCGGCCAATGAACACTGGGGCTGTTTGTCTGAGCTATTAGGAATAAAGATTCTGTGAACGTGCGTGCATGAATTTTTGTGACATATCTGTCTCCATTTGTCCTGGGCAAACGTCTCACCATGGGATCGATGACTCACACCGTCAGTGTAGGTTTAAGTTCAGAAGAAATGGCGAGACAGCTTTCCAAGGTTCTGAATTCCCGACAGCTGTGCCCGAGCCCTCCAGGGACTCCACACCCGTGCCAACACCTGGCAATGTCAGCCTCCGACAGGCCATCGGTCACTGCCACTACTGGGCGTCTTTCTGCATCTGTTACCTGCTCCCTTGGCTTCCTCTGGGCTGTCTCACACCAAACCTTTGCCCAGTTGTTTGGTATTTTATACTGGCCTTCCTTTTCCTTCTGGCTGTTATCTTGGTGTGTGAGGGGAAGAGAGGATCTAGTGACTCGCTGACAACTCAGTAAAGGAGAGCTCCAGCCCATTCCCAGCTCCATTTGCTCTGGCCTGGGCTCACGCTTCGGGGCAGAAGTGCACGCCGGTGTGCCTGTTCTGGGGAAGAGGATTTTCTCTGAGGCCTTAACTTTCTCATTGGAAGTTTGGAATGTCCCTGCTACCGTGATGCAAAAGTCCTTCGATGAAGAGACTAAAGACATTTCAGATGCTCCCAAAATGGCAAAAAACTGGCAGCCAGGGGAGAGGGAATAGAAATCGTAATCAACTCTTCCATGAAATGTAATTGTATAATATTTTTTCCTGTTACCAAAGTCATCCACGTACACTGCAGGAATTAGGGAATAGAGAGCTATACTGAAAAGAAGTCCCGTTACCCAGAGGTATCCACTGTCAGCATTTCGATGTATCTACTTCCAGTGTTCGTTTTATTTATTTACTTTTAAGTTTTTAAAAATTTATTCATTAGAGAGAGACACAGTGAGCACAAGCAGGGGGGCTACAGTGGAAGAGGGAGAAGCAGTCTCCCCACTGAGCAGGGAGCCCGGTGCAGGACTCGGTCCTGGGACCTGGAGATCATGACCTGAGCCAAAGGCAGACGCTTAGCTGACTGAGCCACCCAGGCGCCCCAACTTCCAGGGTTTTAAAATGCATTTAGGCAGGGGTGCCTGGCTGGCTCAGTCAGAGGAGCGTGTGATGCTTAATCTCAGGGTTATGGGTTCAAGCCCCACATTGGATCTAAAGATTACTAAAAAATAGGGGCGCCTGGGTGGCTCAGTCGTTAAGCGTCTGCCTTCGGCTCAGGTCATGATCCCAGGGTCCTGGGATCGAGCCCCACATCGGGCTCCCTGCTTGGCGGGAAGCCTGCTTCTCCCTCTCCCACTCCCCCTGCTTGTGTTCCCTCTCTCGTTGTGTCTCTCTCTGTCAAATAAAGAAATAAAATCTTTTAAAAAAAAAGATTACTGAAAAATAAACTTAAAAAAAAATAAAATGGATTTAGGCATGTAAAAGGGTTAAGTTTGATAAATAGGACACCTGGCTACAGAAGCTGGCATTAGGAAAGCGAGAACCTGTCTGAGGACGAGAGGGTTCCAGAAAGAAAAGTTGCCAGGGGCAACTTGAAACAGGACAGGAGAGCCGAGAGAAACAGCCCCAGGTGTTTGCAGGGGGTCGTGTGTGAGCTGAGGCTCCGCGGGGCAGGGTCAGGGTGCACCGGTCTCCATGGTGATGAGCAATTCTGTGCTGAAGGCCACCGGCCTCCAAGTGCAGCTCGTGCTGTGTGCACGCTTGTCAGTATGGATCTTTCTCCCGGAACAAGGGGGTGGACGGATGCATGGAGGAATGCTAACATCCGTCACGCACCTGCTTGGGGCCAGGCCTGATGCTCAGTGGCTTCACAAGCCTTTCCTCATTCAACCCCGGCACACACCTGCGGGGTGGGCACTACGTTCCCGTTTTTCTGGGGGACCCCGCGCCCCACGTGCCCAGGGCTTCAGCACTCCACGGCACGGGGTTCTCGCAGGCTGGTTTCCACTACCTATGAATTTCTTCTCAGTGACTCACGACAAGTTCAGAGATGAGGTCCATGCCAGACCTGAACGCAGGGGCCAGCTGAAGGGACTGTTTAACCTGCACCCGGTTCCTGCTCCTCAGAGTTGGCCTTTGTGCTGAAGTCAGCCTTCAGGAACATTCGAGTAAATATAACTACTTCCTTAACCATGTACCGGCTCAACCCCAGCAGACGCTATGTGTTGGCCACCAACTGTTTCTTCTTACACAACACGGAGCTGTGCGGCTCGTGGCCCTACCTTGTCTCTGGGAGGTGTCACTAGCCCCAGGGCCTGCCAGAGTCCACGGACTAATCAGTCACGGGTGGGGAGTGCCCCTGAGAGACATTCAGCTGTGCAGGGGTATGCACGGGCAACTAGGGGCTAAGGAGGTAATGAATATCCTCCATGCTAGCCTCCCACCCCACCTCCTCAGGGCAGGGGGCCCCCCCACCCCCGCACCAGGCGCCAGGTCCCACACCCCTCCCCCACACCAGGCACCAGGACCCACACCCCTCCCCCACACCAGGCACCAGGACCCACACCCCTCCCCCACACCAGGCACAAGAGAACCTCCTTTGTCTGCTGCAGTCAGTGGAGGTCGGGTGGAGCGTTTTAATCAGAAAGGTCAGTCTTCCAAATCCTCCCCACATACCACCTCTGGGGGGGCCCAAGGGACAGAAGACAAAGAGGCTTGTGTCTGTGCTGCAGTCGTGGCCGGCTGGGAAAATCTCCCCGTGAATTTGGCTGCTGGTTCGGGCTCCTTCCCTCTCACTGGCCTTGGCAGAGGTGGGAGGCTGGGAGGGGAGGGGGCTCGGGAGTCGCTCCTGGGGGCAGGAGCTGAGTAGTCTCACTGCCTACTGCTCTGAATGTTTGGGCTCCCCGAGCACACACAGACCTGTCCAGTGCACACACATGTGCACGCGCGCGCACACACACACACATGCACGCACGCAGTGGACACGCGCAGATGGACATGGGGCAGGAGGCCCCGGGGACAGGGCTGCATGGCACCACGGCCCAGGGCAGCGAGTTGTGGCTCCTGGGTGGTTGGGCTCACGCTGGGAAACGGCCATCATCAAATGTGAAGCACAGAGGCTGAGGAAGTGAGGGGCTTTGTTTACCTGTAATTCGTCCTGTCCTCTCCTCACTGCTTTCTGGAAGGGTCCTCGTGAAGAGTGACGAGCTGGAGAGTTTAGCAAAAGAGCACAGGGAAGTGATGAGCGAGAGAAAGTTGTGGGACTCTGCAGGGCCCAGGAGGCAGAGGGGAGGGGGCGGGGGAGGGACAGCAGAGGAGAGGCTCTGAGGGCCACTCCACAGGGCCAGGGAACATTCCCGAGCACCCGGGGTGTGTGGCTGAGGCAGCAAGCCTTCTGGGCAGCGGGTGGTTCTCAGCTCCCAGGAGGCTGCTGGGGCTGGTCTGGCCCCCGGAGGGCCGATGCCTCAGGACCATCCCGTCTGCCCTGTCGTCTCCCTCCACCAGGGCTCACGACTCCTGTAAGCCCCGAGCTCCTGACATTGAACTCCTCCCTGGAATGTTCCAGCCAGCCACCTCCAGGGAGGGGAGGGGCATGGGGGACACCGTGGCTGCCCAACCCCCCACCCCGAAGTGGGCCAACTGGACTGAAAGCAGGTCCCCCAGGCCTCACAGAGGCTGAGGGAGGTTACTGTGACAGAGGGTGCGCGAATGCCCAAACACTGAGCCAGCTCCCACAGGTATGGTCGTGTCCCTGCTTCGGACACAGGGCCAGAGGGCACTGGCCCTCAAGCTGGTTAATGGTTGCCAGGGCCCCTGGGGGCTGCCCCTGTTTTGCTGGCAGGGAGGGTGGGAGGTGGCGGGCGTGCCACAGGCCAGAGCTGGGAGATCCAGTGCTAAGTGGCCAGCTGGTGGCCATGGTGACTGGGGCAGGGGGACAGAGATGGAAAATCGGGGGCTCCAAGGGGCCGGGGGCCCTTGGTTCAGCTGAGTCACTGTTGGGCGGACTACATAACTTATCCAGCTCCTGGGACACTTACGAGAGCACGGATCATGTTAAGAAACAAAATCCCGGGCGCCTGGGTGGCTCAGTTGGTTAAGCGACTGCCTTCGGCTCAGGTCATGATCCTGGAGTCCCTGGATCGAGTCCCGCATCGGGCTCCCTGCTCGGCAGGGAGTCTGCTTCTCCCTCTGACCCTCCTCCCTCTCATGCTCTCTGTCTCTCATTCTCTCTGTCTCAGATAAATAAATAAAATCTTTAAAAAAAAAAAAAAAGAAACAAAATCCCACGGAGTAAATGTGAAGACTGGATTGGCTTTATCAGCGATGCATGGGTCTGGCCGTGGGGAGCTCTGCGTTGTACAAAATGGAGATTGTTCCCAAGAAGGGGGGCGGGCAAGGAGTGAACAGCAGAAGGAAAGAGAGGATGGCTCCAGGCAAGGCCGCTTTCCCTCCAGGGCAGGACAAGGGTCTAAGGTGGCTTACCATACCTTCTTTGGGGGATGGCCAGGCTTGTGGGGACAGATGACCTCAATGGTTCCGGCCAGAAAGGCCCCCCCCCCCCCCCACCGCTTAAGACTGTGTTTCTGGGGGAGGCAAACAGGTCAGGGGTTAAACTCCAGGTGGGAGACTTGGCCTAAGTGACACAATTTGGGGCCTGTGATTTCTTTTTAACGATAATCCCAGCAGGACAGGCGTCACCCTAGACTGTCCCAAGCTGCCAGGACACGCTGTGACCGCTCCTGAGCAGGTGCAGGAGAAATGCTTCTCAGACTCCCTGGGGGTAAAGGACGACTTGTTCGCGGTCTACTGTGGTCATTCGCGGTCCTGACCTGCTCGGGCCGCTGTCAGCAATCCCACAACTGGGGGGCAGGACACTCAGTTGTGTTCCCTCTGTTCTGGCTGACGGGAGTCAGAGATGAAGGCATCAGGGAGGGCTGCTCTCTCCCTGGCCCTCAGGCAGCCTCTGGTCCCCTGTGCTCACATGGTCCAATCCATCCATAAGCTGGGAAAGTGCGTGTTTCCCTGAGCTCTGTGAGCCGCGCTAGCGGACTGGAAGGGCTGGAGGGGAGGGACGGAGGAGGGACCCTCCACTCTGGCTGTGATCAAAAGCACAGGACTGGGGACTGGCATCTGGGGTGGGAGTGGGCTGAGCCCCTCACCTGTGGGGCTGACGCTGTCCCTGGATGGACGGTGTCAGAACTGAGCTGAATTCTGGGCATCCAGTGGTATCTGAGGAGCCCCGCCCCCCACCATGCTGGAATCGGCTCTGGGAACCTTAAAAAGACCATAAGCATATACTTTTGTAAAATACAATAATACAACTGTAAAACACAATAAAAATGAATAACTAAAAAATGGGAGGAGGAAGAAGACATAACACACATATCTACATTTTCTACAAAAATAAAAAGAGATTCTACAATATGTAATTGCTCTGTCAAAAGATTTACAGCCAGAATAAAGAAGTCCTACCATTCAATAATCAGACCAAAAATTTTTAAGTGCGAAAGGTCTGAATAGGCAAATCACAAGAGAAAAAATACGAGGGGCACATGAATCTAGGAGCAGGCGCCACACGCCATGAGTCATCAGACAAGCGCAAAGTGGGACCACCTGAGATACCACAGCAGCCCTCCCCCCTCCCCGGCCGCCCCGGCCCCCCAGCTAGGAGGGCTCTCATCAGGAGGTGAGGATTGGAGATGCTGGGACCCTTACCTTTCATGATGCTGGCAGGTAGATCAGACGATAACAATCACTTGGGAAAGGAGTTGGTGGTTTCTTTAAAAGTTAAATTTGCAGGGGCACCCGGGTCAGTCGGTTAAGCATCTGCCTTCGGCTCAGATCATGATCCTGGGGTCCTAGGATCGAGCCCACATCATGCTCCCTGCTTCTCCCTCTGCCTCTCCCTGTCTCGTGCTCTCTCTCAAATAAATAAATAAAATCTTAAAAAAAAAAAGTGAAACATACACAGTTTATTCCACTCCTGGGTGTTGGTTGGCTCAACAGAAATGAAAATATGTCCACATAAAAACTTCCAAGTGTTCACAGCAGCTTGATGGGTAATAGCCAAAACCCAGAAACAACCCGAATGCCCATCAACACGAGAATGGGTGAAGGCTCTCAGCGCTGCGGTCTCCCGGGAACACACAGGAACACCACCAGCAATGAAGACACGCCACAGCCCGGGCGGCCCCCAAGACATCCCACTGAGGCTGAAGAAGCCAGGTACAAGACAGCACATGCTGGATGATTCCATTTACCTAAAACGCTAGGAAGCACAGAAGGGAGATCAGTGGTCACTTGGGGACCGGGAGGTGGGACAGGGGAGCTGACCAGGAAGGGGCACAGGAGGATTTGGGGGTGACTGAAACGCCCTGCAACGTAGTATGTTAAATAGTAATAAATGTCCTGGAAAAAAGAGAGCAAAGAAAGAAGCAAAAGGGGAGGGAGGGAACACTGCTCTTGTAAACAGGATGGTGACTTAGCATCTGAGTGCAGTTCCCTAGGAAGTGAGGGCAGGAGCCTGCAGTCATGTGGCAGAAGAGGAGGCTGCAGGTGCAAAGGCCCTGAGGCAGGAGCGTGCCTGTGGTGTTCCGGGGCACAGCTGGGAGCCCTGCGGCTGCAGCTCCCCAGCAAGAAGGGGGAGGGGGCGGGGAGGCCAGAAGGACGACGTCATTCCCTCTGAGTAAAGTAAGCCAGCAGAGGGTTCTGAATGGGAGTGGGACACGTTACTTAGGTTTGGAGAGAGCCAGTCTTGCGGCTGCTGAAGCAAGAGCAGAAGCAGGGAGCCAAGCGAGGAGGCCACTACTGAAATGCAGGATCGTGTGGAGGGCGGCTGGGCCCGGCATAGGAACAAGTGGACACATCTGGACATATTTCCAAGACGCAGTAAAACCAACAGGTCTGCTGATGGCTTGAATGTAGACCATGAGGGAAAGCGAGGAGGCAAGGAGGCCTCCACATGTTTGTGTTGTTTTTAAATCATTTTGATGGAGGTATAATTACACACAGGAAAATTCAGCGACCGTGAGCTTCCCCAGCACAGCCTGCAGCAGCCACCCATCTGCTCTCTGTCCCTGTGGCTCTGGAGCCTGACTGGTCCCCTCAGCGTGCTGCACTGGGCGTCCGCGGGCCTTGCGTGCCGTCTGCTCCTCTCGCTTGCTGAGCAGAATTCTCCCGAACAGGCGCCCACAGTGTGTTTTTCCAACTGCCAGCCGGAGGGCACATGGGTTTCCAGTGCATTTGCTGATTCGGAATAAAGCTGCTATAAATGTCTGCGTGCAGGGTCCCTGTAGGTTTTCTTCCCTCTTGGGTAAATTTTAGGAGTCGGTCAGCTGCACGGGAAACGGTCACCCGGTTTGCGCAGAGGCCACCCCATGCCGCGTTCCCACCGGCGCCCGGGGCCCCCGCCAGCATGTGGGGGTGTCCGTCCTCTGGGGTTTTCACACTGAGCTGTTGGAAGGACGGGCTCCTGCCTTTGGCTGGGATGGGAAATTCTGACAGAGGGGATAATAGGATTCACTTGGGGTCTTGGTAAGGTTGAGGGGCCCAGGGGCCATCTGGGGAGAGCTCGGGGAGTCACCTGTATGGATGGTCGCGGAGCTTCGAAACCAGGGGTACAAGCCAGGTGTGAACGCCCGCAGGTGAAGAAGGGCGGAAGCACTGCGGCAGCCATCGTGCAGACGCTGGGGGACCAGGAGGAGCCTGCAAAGCGGACTTTGCTCTGTGAAAGGGACGACCCTCTCCGTAAGGTTGGAGAGCGCTGAGCCTCTGAAAACTCATTTGTCCTGGCTTGCCTATGCATGACTGACAGGAAATCAGACACACAGCCCGAGGGGACGTGTCCATGAGGAACCTTGTGACCTTCTGAGCACAACCACCTGGGTGCAGGGGGCAAGGTGCGGCTCGGAGCTGGGAGAGGCCATTCTCTCCTCCTCCGTGTGGAACCCCAGACTCCCAGGGCCATCTGGGGAACTTGGGGAGGGTGCACTTGGCATGGACGCTGGTGAGCTCGCCAGGGCACCGTCAGCCGGGGCAATGGTGAGACTCCTTCAGGTGCCTTGGTGGGTGGCAGGACTGATGAGGAGACTTGAAGCAGGAAAGAGAGACAAGGAAAAGACTTATTCTTGGATAAATTCTTACATCCTGGGGACCCCTGAAACTAAGTGGGGGGACCGTCTGCAGGTCCAGAATTCTTGTGGGCAGGGATGAGCTCAAAGCCTTCGAACTTTAGATAATTCAAATGTGCAGGGCACCTAGCCAGCTCAGTTGGTGGACTGTGCAACTCTTGATCTCAGGGTTGTAAGTTCGAGCCCCATATTGAACGTAGAGATTACTTAAAAATAAAATCTTGGGGCGCCTAGGTGGCTCAGTCAGTTAAGCGTCTGCCTTCGGCTCAGGACATGAATCCGGAGTCCTGGGATCCAATCCCACATCAGGCTCCTTGCCCGGGGGGGGGGGGTCTGCTTCTCCCTCTACCCCTGCCCCTCCCCTCCACTCATGCTCTCTCTCTAATAAAATCTTCTTAAAAAATAATTAAAAATAAAAATAAAATCTTTGAAAAAAACTCCAGTGTGATTGATGAAATCTGACATGACCATTTTCACAATAACAAAAAGACTTTTCTGTAAAAAAAAAAAAAAAAAGGGTTTTCTATAAATCTAAAACTATTCTAAAACAGAGGTTTGAAGCAGGTATATCACTTAGGAATGCAATTAGCTGCAAGTAAAAGAAGATCGACCAACAGCAGCTTAGAAGCACAGACACATGGAGGGAGGCAGCTGTTGGAGACTGGAGAGTGGGCCCGCCACATCCTCACACTCACAGCTCCTGAAGCTTTGCTGTCACTCCGCCCAGCAGCTTGTCACTTCATGGTGATAAGATGGCTGCTGATGTTTAAGCATCACATCGACATCCAAAACTAGAAGGTAGAGGATGGGAAAGGCTGCTAGCTGAATAGGTCCCTTTTATCAGGAAAAAGCTGTCTTCCCAAGAAACCACCCACCAGACATCTGCTTCCCTCTCCTGGGCCAACACTCAGTCCCACAGGCTCTTGCAACTCTGCGGGAGATTGTGGAAGTGAGCGTTTCACTTTTCCAGTCTCGATGGTGGAGGAAGCAAGGGAGAGGTGTGGGCTTACCAGGCACAGGAGGTTGCCACCACAGAAGAGCCGGGCTCAGTGTATGTGTGTGCTCACTTGCTCTGGACGCGGGGGCAGCTCTGTGGAGTCCCAGGTGTGGGGGTGGACGTCTCCTCAAGGGTTAAAGATCTGAGGAGAGAGCATGTGGAGGGACAGACCAAGTAGCCTGCAGCTAAGGCAGCTCGTGCTGGAATGACACTTGTCACCTTGGGGAGCTCTGGGAAGGGCTGTTCCGTGTGGGAGGCTGCAGCAGGTGGAGACTCCTGCCCACTGGGCCCCTGGGACTTCTCCTGAGGAGACCACCTGCAGGCCCAGGGGCTCTGTGGTCCCTGGCGGCAGGTGGTGTCCGTGGAACCAAAGTAGTGAGTCGCCCACCCGGACTGGTCCAGATTTGGGGTGTGTTCCTGGGCCCGGCTCAAACCTGGGAGCAAAGGGGCTTCTCTGCTGGTGTGGGGCTGACTCCCTTGCCACCTCCTGGACTCCCCCAGCCCTGAGGAAGGAGTCATTGCATATCCTGTTGCAGTGGGGACCCAGGTGCTGGTTCCCCACTCTGGGGCCCAGCCTGCCCTCAGCCTCCTCCAGGAGGGTGCGCTCAGGAGCTCCCCAGAGGCCCACCGTCCAACTCAGAGAGAACCCGCCCCCACCTGAGTGTCCCAGGAACATCACCATCACCACCCTGGCAGATCTCCATATCGGAGGACAGAGGGAGGAGGCAGCGCAGCAAGCCAGGGAGGGGGGGCTGAAGGTGGGAGAGGGGGCAGGGGGAGTGGCAGGTAAGGAGGGGCCTGGGTCACGAAGGGGAGGGCCAGGATTTGGATGTGGCGCTCACCTGAGTCACCATTCACTCCCCAGGCTGGTTCCCAGATGAGCAGGAGGCCAGTGTGGTGTTTGTTTTTTTATAAAACCAACCCCAAGGCATCTACTGTGATCTGGTAACGACAGGATGGTCATCAAAACAACAGGAGCAAATGTTTCTGAAGCTACTCCCCATAAAGGGTGCCAAGCAGCAAGCCAGCCAAAACCCTGTGCCGCCTTCTCAAAAACTCGCTTCACAGACAATTTCTAGCTGGAGACACTTTGTAAATAGTCCTTCAGCGTGACTGGACCTAGCTGTTTTCTTGACTTTCTTTTAGAAGCAATCTCTTTGTATGAACCACCATCAGGTTCAGACTCCTGAAACCAACCACAGAGCCCTCAGTCCGCACATTGCACCGGCTGCAGGGAACCCCAGGTAGGTGAGGAGGGGGTCCCAGACGTGGGGGGCTGGAGGGGCGGGTCCAAGAGGCTGCAGAGGAGGGGGAGGGGGCGGGGCAGTCCTGGGGGAAGGGGGGTGTTAGCTGGCAGACCCTCCATGGCCCGGGACTGGCTCCCACCCCCTGTGGGCCCAGGCCAGGTGACTCAAGCCCATCATGTCGCAGGCCTAGAGACCTGCCATCTCATTGTTTTGCTCTGTCTTTGCAGGACGACTCACAGAATCAGCAGTGAGTCACTCCTGCGTCAGCTCCTGGGGGTGCAGAGGACTTGGCTGCCTCGGCCCGAATCCGGGAAACCTGGTTCTCAGGGGAGGGAGGGAGGGGACACCCACTGTCATATGGGCGGGTTTCTCCTAGCTAGCCCGGTTTGGGAAACCCAACAGGCAGGTTGGGGGCCTCCTGCCTCCTCTCTATGTGGCCTCCCGGTGGGAGGGGGGCATAGGAAAGAAGTGCAAAGGCCAGGGGTCAGAATGACGAAACACAGGTGGACAGGACAGCTAGGTCCCTGGCAGGACCATCAGACAAACTCACACCCGCCTGCCCCCATTTTAATCCCAAGTGTACCCCTGCCTCCCAATGTCCCCATACTCGGAAAAACAGGAACGGGGGAATAAATAATTTATTGAAATTGTAATAAATAAGATATGGGGGCAAGGCTACAAACAACTGTAAAAATCGTCACCAGGGATATATACACACAGAAAACAAAGGCGCTCCCGCGGGCGGGGCAGTGCCGGCATGCGGGCGCCCCCCGGAGGCAGGTGGCTCACTTACAACGGCGGGAAGGGCGCACGGGAAAGGCGCACCGTCGGGTGGCTGGGGCCCGCAGCCGCCCGTCTCCCCAGATCCCTAACGCACGCGGCCCCGGGATGGCCCGGCGCCCCGAGTGGGCCCGTTCCCCTGTGAGTGCCCGCGGAGCTGCACCCCCTGCACGATCCTCATCACCCAGGAGCGGTGGGCAGCCAGGCTGATGTAAACGCCGGGCCGGTCGCGCTCCGCACAGCCCTCGCCCCAGCTGATGATGCCCGCCAGCAGCCAGGTGCCCTCGACCTGGCACATGAGGGGGCCCCCGGAGTCACCCTGCGGAGAGAAGGCAAGGTCAGGGACCCACGTGGCTCAGGGCTGGACAGAGCCCAGGACCCAACACAGCAGGTGGCAAGGGTTCCCTCGGGGGGCAGATTTCTCTGTCCTGGAGGACAGGCCCGCGGGCTCACTGCTGGTGAGGAGCACTCTGTGCCACACCTTCGCACTCACGGCCCCCGAGCCACACTGGCATCCTGGGTAGCAGAGTAGGAACTGCAACCAGGACCTTACAGTGTCCGAGCCCGGGTGCGGACCATCACAGCACCCGCTGTCCGCCGCCACAGTGATGGGGCTGGAGCTGGTTCTGGGACTCCTCAGGAGAAGGCAAGCTCCCAGAGAGCGGGGTCCGGCACACCCAAGATGCTCAGTAGATGTTTGGTGTACGGCCAGAAGGATGGAGGCCCGGTTCTGTAGGCATCTGGGGGACTCGTGGGTCCCAGCTGTCTTGGGGAGGTGAGCAGCGGGCAGTGATGGGAAGAAGGTGGGGTGCTCACCAGACAGGCATCTCGCTGCCCCTCCAGGTAGCCAGCACACAGCATGTCCTCGGTGATGGCCCTCTGCCCCGCTCCCCGCCAGTACAGGAGGCTGCAGACTTCTGAGTCGATGATGGGAACCTCCAGCTTCTGCAGGGTCTGGGGATGGGGCAGGGGCACTGGGGGCAGGGAGCAGAGGATCAGGCTTGGGAAACCCTCTCTTCATGTCCCGATGGCCCCCTCCACACCCCCTCTGAGGCAGTTCTCAAAGGCTAATGGCTCAACCCTGTTAGGCTCTCCCAAATGCCTTTGGAAAGCCCGAATTCCAAGACTCCACCTCTGGACCTACTGAATCTGAACAGAAGTGTGCATCCTGAGATCCTGAATCTTTAGAGCTTTCTGATGCCCACAAAATGGTTAGAACCACTGGTCCTAGCTTGTCCTGCCTCAGGCACCGCTTTGTCCAGTACGGAGACTGGAACAGGGAAGTGTTCAATAAATGATCACCCCATGCTGGAGGTTATCAGGACCTGAGGAGTCCCCCAAACCCTAGGGGGATTGCAGACTCTGGGGTTGGTCTGTAGACCGCCCCCCCCAGCCCATAATTCCAGTTCTCGAAGGATCCCTGCAGCATGACTATGGGGAGGCTGCCTGTAACCTCGGACTCAGGGGGATCCCCAGGCACCTGGGGTCATTTCTCTTAATTCTTTTGAAATGTGGTTAATCATTTTTCTTAAACTTTTTCCTCCTAACCCCCCCCCCCCATTATCTATCATCTTTTTTTGCTTCTCTGCCTCTTACTTTATCTGCCTTGTGTCTCTAGATGATGTTTTCCAGACCTGGTCTGACAATTTTATTTTCACGTCCTTCTGGAAATTTCACCTGCAATTATGGCACGCTGCCACCAGGAGGTGCCTGTTCTCCCCCAGTCAGCCTGGCCCCACACATGCTCCTTCCAGCCTTTCCTCCATCACCTAATAGCCTCGTCCATCTGGCTGCTGCCACCTCAGAACATCATCACAGATCCCTTTTAACTAGAAGAGACCTACAAGCGTCCATCTAGCTTCCTGAGACTTCCCACCTCTGGGCTGCAGTTCACTTTTTGTGTCTGTTGTCAGAAAAGTCTTTTTCCTTTTGCTATGCCTCTGGCCTCTACCCTCTGCTGTCCACTGTACCTGTGTCTCCAGGAGCCTGCTAGCCTCTGTCCCCCGCCACCCCCAGCCACCCGGTAAGGGAGAAGCCGCACCTCCATCATGGATGCTCCCCCAGCCTGCAATCCAGCAGCGCATGTTGGGAGAGAGACGGACGGAGGCATCAGGCAGGCAGATGGGCAGGATTCGCTCAGAGAAGTGGAGGGAGTGCTCAAGGCGCACCAGGGCGATGTCCGCACGGGAGCCCTCTTCCCAGGAGTACACAGGGTGGGACTGCACCCAGGCGATACCCACCTCCTGGGACCTCGGGCCAGGGTTCCCCAGCTGCCAGGCCCCCAGCAGCACAGAGAACTGGGATGGCTTGTTCAGAGTGCTGGCAGGAAGAGGAAAGGGGGTAGGGTCAGTCAGGAACCCTGGGGGCGGGGTGCTGGGAAGGGTCAGGGAGTGTCTGGGGGACAACATGCTTATGGAGGCCCACGAGAAGCAGCAGGGTCTCTCCTCTCCTGAGAGGCCCTGAGACTGGACAGAGACCAGGAGGCTGGGGCTGAGTGGGGAGCCCGGGGTCTGGGGCAGGAGGCCTGGGGTATCAAGTGCAGGACCGGTGTGCATACCCCTTGAAGCAGTGGGCGGCGGTGACTACCCAGCGGCTGGTGAGCAGGGAGCCTGCACAGTGGTGGGTCCCGTTCTTCTGGATGCTCACGACCCAGGGCCACTCGGCATCGGTGCTGTCCTCACCACCCACGATCCGGTTCAGCTGCTGGGGCTTCCCACAGGCTGGGGGTGCTGGCGGAGGAGGGTCACGTTTCGTCACCCCCAGGGCCCAAGCCTCCCGCCCAGCGCCATGCTGTTCTTCCCTGGTCCTCCCCTCAGGCTGGCCTTCCTTCTGCACGCCTCTCACCTGCTGCTGCCCTGCCCTGCACCCCTCTCCTACTGAGTCTCCGCTCTACCTTCCAGGCCCCCTTGGCTGCCTGCTTTCCGCTCCTGCCCGACCACCCCGACCACCCCTTCTGACCTGCCCCCCGCCCAGACAGACACAGACTTCCCCCGCCCCCACCGCTCAGGGCGGGCCCCACTCACCAGGTATCTTGGCAGCATGGAGGGAGGCTGAGGGCAAGGGAAGGAAGGGTCAGGCCAGTGGAGAGAAGCCCCCCAGTGTCCAGGGCAGCTCCCCAGACCCCCATCGTGGGGCATTTCCTGGAGCCTGGGCAGGGCTGACAGAAACCTTGGGCTCCGTCTCTAAGCTGCGGCCTTACCCTCCCACCAGCTGTGCTCCATCCCACCCGCCTGGCGGAGGACGAAGGGCGGCTAGCTCCTGGGTGCCTCTCACGGAGGAGTTGGGGAGCACACGCCTGACCCTCTCAGGCTCCCCCCCACACCCAAGTCTGTGGCCCAAGACCCTCTCAACCCCAAGCCCAAGGCCTGGAACAGAAGCGTGTGGACCTGAGAGCAGGGAGTGGGGAGGAGGGGGAGGACGAGGAGGAGGGGGCAGCAAGGGGAGGGCTGAGGCTGTTCAGGTCTGTCCAGCGCCTGCCTCAGTGCGTCCTGCAGTCCTGCTGGCAGCCACAGGACATGGCAGAGAGGAGCAAGCAGCACAGAAGGCAAGGGGGAGAGGCACAGAGACCGGGTGCAGGCAGGGCCGGGAGAGAGGGCGGGAAGGTGCTGAGTAGGGAGAAGGGAAGGGGTGGCCTGGGCGGGGGGGCAGAGGAAGGAGGGGCGGCAGGTCCTCAGGACTCACCTGCAGAAGCCAGAAGCAGCAGGGGGGTTAAGATCCTGAGAGAGCCCCCACCCTGGGCTGGGGGAGTTCTGGAAACTACCATAGCCAATGGGGGCACGGGCACAGATGGGAGAGCAGTCCTGCCTGTGACAGGAGTGTGCAGAGTTCCCTACAGGTCACCCCAGGTTTTATCCTGGGAGGTGGAATGCCGTTGGACCAGTCCCCCAAGTAAGTGAGTGGCTCAGTCCCTGCCACCCCGGGCTGTAGGTCACAGGAGGGCTGGGACTGCTGGGAGGAAATGAGCCGTTAAGGGGACTGGGGGCTCTAGCGGAGACCCCTCCCTCTGCCCTGGAGGAGTAGACTCAGGGCTCTGGTTTAGGGGCTCAGGACCCTGGCTCTAGCTGTGGGCCCAGGATCTACCCCCTGGAGGAACAGGACCCAGACCCAGAGATCTAGGCCAATGGCCTTGACATTGACTAGGAAAGGTCCCCAGTTTGGGAGGGGAAGGGAAAGTCTGGGTCTGCAGCAGCTGGAGGCTAGGGTATGGGGTCTTGCTAAGGTCCCAGGGTCTTGGGGAAAAGGGGGTTGCCCAGAGGCTCAGTAACGGCTCCTTCCTCCAGGGCCACCGTGACTCAGCCAGGAGATCTGACTGAGCCCTGGGCTCTGGGATCCCGTTAACTCACTTCCCAGAAAGCTGTGAATCAGGCCCCCAGTGGCCGCCTGTCATGTGGGTCCTGTCACTCGGTGGTAAACAACTCACCCCTCACCTGGACTTCAGGGAAGCTCAGGTGGGGCCAGCCCGGTGCCCAGGTGGCTGACTGACGTGGCTGCCTGGGCAGGGCTGGGGTGCCATCCCCCACGCCCAGCCTGGCCCCTGCACTCCGGTCAGAGGGCAGCGGGGCTCCACTGGAGCAGGGAGCCTGGGGATGCACCAGATGAGACCTTGTGACCCGGGGTCCCCACGAGTTCCTCCCTGACTCAGCTCCCTGCTCCTGTGATGCCCCCACCCCAAGCAGGGGGCACAGGCTCACTGTGGATCTCTGTCCTTTTGTTCATTTGATCAACAAGCCAGGTGCTGGGAAGGGGTGCGAAACAGCGGGAGCATATGGTGTGCCCTGCATCGCTGCATCTCAGCCTCAAATCCCCTTACCACCACCGTTCCCACTCTGCAGCTGAGGAAACTGGGGCCTGGGGGGAGGGGTGGAGCTGGGGGGAGGGGTGGAGCATGGATTTGAACCTCAATCCAGAGGCAGGTGACTGGACCGGACACAGTAGATCGAGAGGGTTCTTGGTCCAGAGGATGGATGGTTTTCACCCAAGATCCTAGGTGCGGGGGAGCAGGGAGTCTCAGGGGCCCAAGGAGGCACCTGACTCTGGTGGGGCCGCCAGTGAAGGCTGCCCAGAAATGGAGGACCTCAAAACAGAGGCCTGGAGGACAAGTGGGAGTGGGCCTTGCAGAGACTCAGGAAAGAGGGCTCCTTGCAGAAGAGGAGGAGTCTGGGGCTGGGAGGGGTGGGGCCCTCCAGACTGACCCTCAGTGCATCCCGCTGGGTACACCACCTTGGCCTCTCTGGAGCTCCCCAGCTTGGCCAACATGCTCTGCCCCCACAGCCTGTGGGGGGCTCCTGAGGCTGCTGCCTCCCCCCGAGGCCGGAAGGGTGGCGGGAGTCAGCAACGCACCACCTACCCTGGAGACTGCGACACCAAAAAGGATCACTGGTGTTTTACTGGCCCCCCACGCCAAACCTGCTTTGGTGGGAAGGGCAGGAGACAGCCGGGGGTTAAACTGCAGTCAGAACCACCCCTCCGCATCAGGGCAAGCCCCCTGTCGCACCCTGCCCGCCGAACAGCCCCCAGCTGATGCGCTATTCCCAGCACTGGGAGGAGGGGGCTGCTGGAGAGCACCCTCACACAGAGGCCAAGGTGAGGGGCTGGTTCTGTGGGTGCTCCCCTCCCCACCTGCCCCCGATCCTGGGTCACCCCTATACTCCATGGCTAGCCTCAGGCTCCCCCAACCCACTTCCTCCCTGCAACTACAGTGGTTGGCCTCCCCAGCTCATTTGATAAGCATTTATTGGGCAACTGCTGTATGCCAGGCCCTGTGCTGGACAGTGGGACACAGTGGTGGGTAAGACACAGGTCCTATCCTCAGGCAGCACGCATCTCCCCGGGGCTGGGCGGCGGAGCAGGTGACGATGGTGAGGAGTCAGGGACAAGGGCAGAGGGGAGTCTGGAGGATTCTGCCGGGCCAAACTGGTCCAGACTGCTGCCTCCCCAGTGTCCTCTGTGTAACAGCCTTTCCTGGCACCTGGGTCACTGCCCAGGTGACCCAAGGGGCAGGCATGTGTTCTGAGATGTCACTGTCCCCAGGACAGGGTGGCTAGGACCTGGCAGGTGCCACAGGAAATCCTGAAAAGCCAATGAAGACCCTGGCACGGGCCCTAAGCAAAGCCCTAGAGACCGGCTCCCCAGTTCCCAGAGAGTGGGGACCTTGGCGTGATCCAACGTTCAACAAAAGATTTACGGAGCGCCTACTGTATGCTGGAGCCATGCCAGGCGTGCTGGCTGGGCACCTCGTCACCTGGGCACGTAACCCTGCTGGTCATGTGGCCGTGGCACCATCTCAGGGCCACCGACGATGTGCAGCAAGGTGCGCAGGATGCATGGGGCTGCAGAGCTGGCCATGCTCCCCCCGAAGCAGGGGCCCACCAACACCATTTCAGACAGGGCAGATGTCGGCACTGGGCTATCCATTCATCCCCAACCCCAATCTGCCAGTGCCTGCCGCGTGCTGGACGCTGCTGTACCAGCTGGAGATACAGCAGCAAGCAAACCGAAAGCAACCCTGGCCCTTGTGTCAGGGACGCCGGAGGAAAGCCAGGATAAACTATAGGAAGAAATCTTTTAGTCTGATGGGTGATGAAGTCCCGGGGAAGCCAAACCAGGAAGGGGATGGGGCCGGGGGCGGGGGGAGGGTGGTCATCGGTCAGGAACTCAGGACAGTGCTCAGGACAGTGCTCACTCTCCGGCTGAATCTTACAGGTGCAGTTGGAGGTCATCCCAGCCCCCAGAACGGTACCAGCAAAGGCTCCGTTGGGTGGGACTGGCAGATTCGAGCTGTGGCAAAGGGGAGGCACGGGGCGGGGGGGGGCCACTCTGTGGAGGTGACACTGACCTGGGCTCCAGGGAACCAGATGGGGAGAGGTGGGGAGGCTGTTCCAGGGACCAACCAGCTCGTGGGCACAGGGGCGGGCGCTCGGGGGTGCGGGGGGCAGCTGACGGCTCTCAGCAGAGGGTGCTGGGACACACGTGGCCCTCGTGCCTGAGCCCCCGCCCCAACATGTCCTGCACCCCACATTCACAGCAGCAGGACCCACAGAGCCCCAAAGTGGACGCAGCCCAATGTCCATCTGTGGATGAATGGATAAACACAGTGTGGCCCGTTCACCCACCCAACGGAGTATTATCCCATTACCCAGCCATAAAAAGGAATGAAGCACCGGATGCCTGCCACAGTGTGGGGGAAGCCGGAGGACACTGTGCTGTGACAAGAGCCGGACGCCAAAGGACAAATACTGCAGGATTCCACTTGTAGGAGGTCCCCGAGGTCACAGAGCCACAGCCCCAGGAAGTGGAAGAGGGGGTGCTGGGGGCCAGGGAGGGGCCCAGAGTTAGGGTTCGGCGGGGACACGGTCCTTCAGGAAGATGGAAAAGGTCTGCAGGCGAAGGCGGGCTGTCTGCACGTATTTAATGCCACCGAGCCATGCCCTTAGCAGTGACGGAAACAGTAATACTGTAATTAAAAGAATGGGGAAGAAAATCTGAATGTCCCCCCTCTTGTGAACACTGGGCCGCAGAGAGGAGTGGCCAGCGCCCTGGTTGCCCCCAGGAAGCAGCGGCCCCGCCGCCCCGCCATGGGAGCGAGCAGAGCACTCACAGGAGCAGCTAAACGGGAGCTCCTTCCTCCACCCTGGGCCTCAGTTTATCCATCGGTGAAGAGGACTGGTCAGCCCTCCGCCCTGCCTGTCACAAGCGCGGGAGCCACAGCTGCTCAGGTGTGAGCGCCGGCTGAGCAACACCAGGCCGCGCATCTGCAGGCAAGGTTTTCTGGAACCATTCGTCCCTGGCTGGCTGGCTGGCCCTGGAGACGCTCAAGGACACGGCTCACTGGCTGGTGTTCCATCATTGGCGATGTCCTTCCTCTGGTCTAACCACACTCCTGAACTCTCCTAGGAACCCATATGTCTCCAACCCTGTCCCAGGTCCCACCCAGAGCCCCCTCTCTACCCCAGCCCAGCCCCCACAGCCTGGGCCTCCCATTTTCCTCTGCCTCTGCCCAGGCTCCTCACGGTCTCCCCAGTTCTGCCCATCCCCGTCCTGGCCATAGAGCTCTGCCCCTGCTCCCTTCCATGCATGGCGTCTTGGGATACTCGGTAGTTCCACCAAAGCCTCAAGTGTCAAGCATGCCGAATCCTCTCCCCATCTTCTGGCTCTCCAAACCTGGCCTGTGTGGTCTGGGCATGCCCACACCCACGTCCCACCTAAAACTCGGGAATAAAGCTTTCTCCACCTTATAACAGCATTGTCTGTCCTCGCGACATCTCCATGAAGTGGAGGCTGAACACCCCCTGTTGCCCAGCCTTCCTCTCTCTCTCTGTCAGGGGTCCCCAATTCCCCACACCCTTCCTCACTCCCACACTTCCTAAATGCAGAGCCCCAGCTACCTGACTCTTTGAATGCTAGACTTCCAGGGTCCAGGTGTTGATTATATGAGTCAGGTATCTTTGTGCTGGCTGATGTCTTCCTGGAATAGAAAGCATTGTTAGCTCTTGTGGTCCACTAAGACCTTCAGACATCTTCCAGGCTACACTTACAGCTGCTCCCCCATCCCTTACTGATCTACTCTCTTCTGCTACGGCTCATCTCTAAGTCAGCTTGCTCCAGAGTTTTCCTTCCATGCCTTAGAGCACTCTCCTAAGTTTTGTTCACAACAGTTTCCTCCTTCAGAAAAGTTGGCTGTATGCTGGGTTTCTTAGGCCTAATCACGTTTTCTCAGTGACTCCCACTTTTCTCATGGAAAAATAATCCATCAGTCTGGGCTGCGAATCATTGGGGAGGAAGGTAGTCAGTCCTCCTACAGAAGTGTCACTGGGCTTGTCCACTCTGGGGGCCAGAACCCCTTACCTCCACTCCCTAGTCTATATACCACTTCTCTGGTTGGGGGAGAATCCTTTCTTTTGCCCCCCACACACCACCACCATGACAAGAATTTCTTCCATGTGTCTGGCTAAGCTGACGGATCACAGGTAAAATCGGAGCCCCCTTTGCTCTGTTTACCTTTAGAACAGCACGTTTACTAGAGGGATGTGTTCCCAAGGGCTCTGACTGGCCAGCAAGAGCCGATCGTTGTTTGCAGGAAGTCTTCAAGTGGTTGACATCACATTAGTATTCTGAAATCAGGTGTGCATGGGACAATTTACACCACCAAAATCAGCAAAGGCCACAAAAAGGCCTTTCCCCCGAGACGGCCCACTGCGAAGCTCTGACCCGCATGCCGAGTATCACCCACATGACCTGCCTATGCTAGAGCCAGACTCCCCAGCACTCAGCCATGTCTCCTTCCACCTTGGATGGACTGGAGCCTACTCTAACCACAACACTGACATCGGTCTGGAAGGGCTGCGCTTCTCTGCGACCAGGAAGCAGAGGGGAGCTCCGGGCTGGGAAGGGCCAGGGCCAGGCCCAGAGGAGCCTGCTGGGAAGAAGGGCAGAGGGCAACGGGCAAGCTGGCTGAGCTGACTCGGCTGATTACCCATCACCAGGTTGGGCAGCTCCCAGCACTCTTGGTGACATATCAGTGACTCACAGACCAAGGAGAGGGGGCAGGACCTCAGTCTTGAGGTCAGAAGTCATGGCCAAGGGCTCATGGAAAGGAAGTGAATGCTGCATAGGATCAGCCACGTCTGAGGGCAGGTGCAGAATGAGGGGCCCCAGTCCAGTTCCCAAGGGGAGCTGGTCCCAGAGCTGGGAGCTGCAGGTCCCCCCAGCCTTCCTTCAGGGCTTCCTACGGAGATGTGACCCAGCCCCCCAGGTGACCTGCACAGATGAGTCATGCCTACAGAGAGGAAGCATGGAAAACCAGCCCCAGCCTCCCCCGCAGGGTGGAGAGCCACCTCCAACCACGTTCCTCCTCCTCCTCACCCCTCTAGGGCAACGGGTGACTGCTGGTTACTGCTAATGAATGGCTTCTGGGTTAAGTCGGTGTGGTTTCTCCAGCCAGGAAGACAGACAGCTCTGGGGCATAGGGCGGCGGCTGGGATGGGGACCCCTGTCTGTGCTGGGAGTCGGGGGAGGGGGAGGCCCAGAGCACCTAGTAAGGTATGAGGCACCCACTTCTACTATCACTGCCCATCCTTTAAGCCCATCTGGGTGCTGAGGACTTGGGACTCCTGATGGGCATCTCCAACTAAGCCTGTCTGGGTGCTGAGGACTTGGGGCTCCTGAGGGGCATCTCCAACTAAGCCTGTCTGGGTGCTGAGGACTTGGGGCTCCTGAGGGGCATCTCCAACTAGGAGACCTTGACATTCCCTCGAACCCTGACACCCCCAGGCCCCCACCTCAGAAAAGAGCACTACCATCCACCTGGGGGATCCAGCCCTAAGGCGAGCCATCCCACATTCATCCTGTGCCTCCCCACCCATATCCAACTGAAAAGGAAAAACTACTCTGTACACGCAGAATGATTTTTGACAACAGAAGTGTGGGATTTTGCTCACCAAGCAGTTCTCCAATTTTCTGTGGACACCAACTGGGTGTCCTCTGATTTAACTCAATTCACACACCAACTGGACTTGGCGCAGACCCTACAGGGTAAGGGCTCAGCCTCACAAGATCCCCTGGACTTCACGTGCCAATCCAGTAGTAGGTCCTCAGGTCACCCACACTTCTGTCCGACATGGCTAGAAGTCCAGGCTTCCCAGGACCCCTCCTCAGGTTCAATAATTTGTTAGAATGGCTCACAGAACTCAAGGAACACTTATGTTTACCAATTTATTATATAATAAAGGATACAGGTGAACAGCCAGATGAAAAGGCACATAGGGCAAAATCAGGAAGGATCCTGAATGCAGGAGCTACCGTGTTGTGGAGTTGGGGTGCGCCATGCTCCCAGCATGTGGATGTGTTCACCAACCTGGAAGCTTCCTGAACCCCATACTTTAGGGATTTTCATGGAGGCTCATCACATGGGCGTGAACGATGATTCACTGCATCTCCAGCCCCTTCCCGTCCCCTGGAGGCTTGGTCTTTCTGGTGACCGGCCTCCATCCTAGAGCTATCCAGAACCCACCAAGAGTTACCTCCTCAAACAAAAGACACCCCTGCCACCCGGGAAATCCCAAGGGATTTAGGAGCTCTGGGTCAGGCACTGGGGGCAGAGACCAGAGTGTGTATTTGTAGCAGGATCGCACATCGCAGGGCATCCATTTCAAAGACATCCACCTGGAATAAACGTATCACCAGCTGCACGACAAAGCTACCAGTTACAACTAGACAAGGAGCCAGTCCATTACCCTTGTGGAAAGCCCTGGGTGAGCTAGATAATTGGCCCTTTGAATGACTCCACTTCTCCCTTCCCGCACCCTAATTCCCACTCTTTGTTTAAATTCACCAGTAAACAGTGAGACCCCAGCCTTCTCTGGCTTGGACTCTAGTAAAGGTAGAGCCCTGGTCGGCGCTCTTCCCTGACTCCCCAAGACCTCACTGGGTGGTCCTAAGGCGTACCATGTCCCCTTCAGGGCTTGTGAGTAACAAATCTGGGTTTTTTTTGTTTTGTTTGTTTTTCCAGTTTCCTGATGGTTGTTGCTGAGGTGCATCTTGCAATCAATCATAGGAACCACAAAGGCCTAACCAGCCACAATGTGTCTGGGCGGCGGGGGGGCTGTCAATGGGGGGGGGGTGGGGATTCCAGCCATGAGCTGGGCATCCAGGCCCTTCTCCCCGGCCGCACAGCTCATCAGCTCTGCCCTGGACGCGGCAATGGCCTCCTCGCCAGTCTCCTCCCATAGCAACCAGAGATGTTTAACAAAACTCAAGTTAGAGCAGGACACTTCCTCCTTTAAAACTCTGCCAGTGCCCACTGTGCTTGGAAGGAGCTCCAGACTCCTCCCTCAGGCTCTGTACGATGGGCCCCCTGCAGTCCTCTCCCTCACATTCTCACCTCCTGGCTCACTCCTGTCCAGTCACATGACACTGCATGGGCCCTCCCTGTCCTCGAAGCCCTTTGCCCTCTGAGGGCCTCCATATGTGCTCTTCCATCTACCTGGAAGGCCCTAACCCCATCTTCAGAGTCCGCACCTTCTCCCACGGCTTAGTTCAAGTGGCATTCTCTCCCGACTCTTCTACTCGGCCCCGCGGGTACAAGTGCGGAAGATCTGCCCTGGGCAAACAAGATCACAGGAGATCCCTGATGGCAGTGCTGGCGCCTCCAGAGATGATCTGATCTTACGGGGTGTGTGCCTTTCTCTGTCTCTGATGAGGCTATTTACAACTCTGTAGGGACAGAACTTAACTGGCAGAAAACAGACAGTAAGGCCAGTAATTCTTGTCTCTAGAAAAGCAGGTCACGTCCCACCAATGCAAATGGGTTGCTTCCTCAGTGTCCTGACAGCTTTGCCAGTTTCCGTTAGTGGGCAAATTCATTTCAGCAATCCTTCCCGGACTATAAATGTATGCTGCTTTGAGCCCTCTTTTGAACAAGGTAATATCTTACTGGTTCCCTCCTTAACTGATAAAAAAATCTGAGATGATCTTAGGAAAATCATTTTACCTTTTGGTGAAAAAATTCAATGTCAGCCTGTACATTTCTCTTATTAAAGTTACTATATGTTTGTTAGAAACTAGCTTGGTGAACGATCAGTTCCATGAGGACAGGAACTTCTTTTGCTTGTTGGGAAAAACCGTGAAAGACTTTGAGACGTGCAAAGAAGCTAACAGGCTGTGCTTCCAGCAGGAGGCTGAGCACAGAGAGCAGGTCCTCTGGAGCTACCCAATTCTACAGGGTCTCTGTGCTGTTGTCTTCAACTAGGCTATTTTACCACTACATTTTCCCCTCCAACCTGTGAAAAAGAGGATTCTCAATATCATGTTTTCTTGCTCTGTAGGATACTGACCAGTTCTGCATCCAGTTTTCAGATTTCAGCACTCCTGATTTCCTATATGTGTCCTCTTCAGATTCCCTTTTAAACCAGTTTTGACAACCTCTTGGTTTCCTCATTCATTAATGAGTTAAAATTTTTGACACATGCCCATTTTGTATTTATTTGAAAGTCATGCCTTTACCTTTCTGAAAATTACATTAAAAAAAAAAAAAAAAAGATTTTAGGAATGCCTCAGTGGCCCAGTCGGTTAAGTGTCTGCCTTCCGCTCAGGTCATGATCCCAGGGCCCTGGGATCCAGCCTCACATCGGGCTCCCTGCTCAGCCAGGAGCCTGCTTTTCCCTCTCCTTCTGCCACCGCCCCCACCCCACCCCCGCTTGTGATCTCTCTCTCTCTGTGTCAAATAAATAAATAAATAAAAATAAAAAGATTTTATTTTTAAATAATCTCTATGCCCAATGTGGGGCTTAAACCCACAACCCTGAGATCAATAGTCACATGCTCCACCAACTGAGCCAGCCAGGTGCCCTTTGAAAATTACATTTTTAATGTCTATTATATCCCCAGTGCTTGGCATGTAATGGCAATTTTGTTGCATAAATTAATTAAATGAAATAGTTTACAAATTTGTATTTAATTAATAAAGCAGGTTGCAAATTCTATTTTTTCCTTTTTATATTATTTCAATCATGCTATTATATTAATCTGCTTTTAAAATTTAACATATTTTGGTATCCCATGTCAGTAAACTGTTCATTCATAACACAATTGTTAATGCCATGTAATATTCCACTGTATAATTTACCCAGGGCTGTGTCCTCTGATACTGGACATTCTTTTTACTGTCGTATATAATACTTCAGTAAACAACCTTGTTCATAAATCCTTAAAAAACATCTGATTAGTTCCTCAAGTTATGTTCCTAGTAGGGAAATCACTAGGTTATAAACTTATTTGATATGTATTGTCAAACTACTCTCTTTTCTAAAAACACTTTTCTAGAGTTGTGTAGTGATTTCTTTTTTTCCCTTCTTTACCATGGAAAAATAGAATGCAAATATCTTCCCTCATATCCTGGCAGGGTTTGAAGGCTCAGTCTTCCTTGCCCTTAAGGAAAGAACTAGCTCTCCAGTTGCTAATGATGTGATGTCAAGGCTGAATTCACCAGCAAGGTGTTGTGAAAGAGGGGAGTACTGGTATGGAGAGAGAGAGGAGACAGGAAATGTGTCAGCTAGGAACAGGAAAGGGTAAAGATTTCACCAAGTCTAAGATGGGAGGGCCTGCAAACCTAGCAAAGTTCCATGAGGGTGCCGCTCAAATGTCCAGGAGCATCCCCCAGAAGCCGAGGCTTCACTGGCATTCAGGTGTCAGGGCCTGGAGTGGAGCTCCACACTTCCCTAAGCAGGCAGATTTTCAGCCAGGACGCTGATAGGGCCCAAACTGAGTATCAACTACGGATTGGTAAATAGCCACTTCCCTAAGGCCCCAGTTGCCCCTAAATGGCCAGCTGCTCCAGCCCTCCCATAGACCTTCCCAAACTCTAGCAACTGGAAAGTTTATGCCTGGGGGCGTCTGGGTGGCTCAGTCAGTGGCACAGCCAACTCCTGACCTGATTTCTGCTCAGGTCATGATCTCAGGGTCCTGGGATAGAACCCCATGAGACCCATGTCAAGCTCCCTGCTCAGCGGGGAGTCTACTTGAGGGACACTCTCTCCCTTTCCCTCTGTCCCTCCCCCTGCTCTCTCTCTCAAATAAATAAATAAATAAATCTTAAAAAAAAAAAGTTAATGCTTGTTGAGGCAGGGGGCCTCCAAACCTCTCCAGCAAGCCTGTTCTGATTGTTTGGAACTAGTTATTGAATATGTTTAAGGTTGCCCCTGCACCTGTCCTGGGGGGACAGGGGTGGGGAGCAGTGCAGGAAAGGGAGGAAACTAGACTGAGCTGGTAGAGTGGTTAATATCCCATCCATTTCTCCTGCTGTCTCCCAACCTGGTTAACCCTCCCAGTCCTTCCCAACTTGCTAACTCTGGGCACTCAGTCTGTTCTAGACCCACAGTATGCAGAGCAGCCCCACCGTGATGGCTGACACTGCTCCAGGATCAAGTGGATTTCAGTTCCAACAACAGCTGGCTACCATACTCAACACATGGCCTCACTTCCTCCTGGCTCTGCTCAAAGCATCCTCTTCCCCACTGTACTGATGAGGAAACGAGCTCAGAGAGGGGAGCAGCAGGGAAGTACAAGGCCAGGAGTCAAATGCTGTGGGGCCATTTTAAGATCTTAAGCCCTGACCATATGGCATCAATCACATGCACAGGCACCTCTCTCTACAGAGTAAATGCAACGGACGGGTAACTATAGGCTTTGAGTTGCAGCTGGCTGGTGAACAGTAACACTTTCGAGATATTATTAAGGATCTATTCATTTCAATTTGGCAGCTCTCTTTTCCTATTTGAGAATAAGAATTGTTTTTCAGGACTCCGCCATTTTTATGAGTCCCATGGTGCTGCAATACTGAAAGGCTAGCACAGGCTGAAACCCTGGTCTTCTAAGGGCATGCCCAGCTCCTCCCCCTTCCCCTGCAATACGATCCCCATTCTACAGACAAGCAAACCCTATACAGATTCCTCTGGGTGCAAATAATCAAGGACCGTGACTCACATCACATCCAGTGAGGCAAAATAACGTGACTATTATTGGGACTTTACCATGCCAGTAACACCTGTCCAGGGAAACAAAAGGTGCAAATAACCTGACTCTCCCACTTTACAAAAATGCATTTAAAACCGCACAACTTTCGGGGCGCCTGGATGGCTCAGTCGGTTAAGCCTCTGCTTTCGGCTCAGGTCATGATCTCAGGATCCTGGGATCGAGCCCTGCGTGGGGCTCCCCGCTCAGTAGGTAGTCTGTTTCTGCTTCTGTCTCCCTCTGCCCCCCCGCCCGGCTCGTGCTCTCTCTCTCAAATAAATAAAACTTAAAAAAAAAAAAAAAAAAAAAAACACGCACAACTTTCAACAGGTGGCATTAAAAAACAGTTGAAGCTCCAAGACTGAAACCCTCACCTCACTGGGACCACAAATCCTTAACTATTTTGCCTAACAATCCTCAACTATGTAGCCCGAGACTTACCCAATCCTAATTAAATCCTGCATCCAAAAGCCCTCCTGAAACTGGTCCCAAACCTCAATACCTCAGCTGTGCCCTCCCACCTCCTCTCGACTCAATTCTTCCTGAACAAGACAAGCAACAGGTTGTTTCGACGCTGTTGTCAGCAACTGACTCGGTGGCAGCCGCGCTGGCGCGAACGTCTCTGCAGCGGGGACCACTGCGTGCCAGCAAGGAAGAAAAGCGGCGTCTGCTGCAGAAAGCGAGGTCCAGCAGCGTGCAGTGCCGTGCCCACGGTCACGCGAACGGGCCTGCGCCCCGGGAGAAGAAGGCAACCCCCTGGCCCCGGCCTTCCCGCCCGCAGGCCCTGCCCTCATCCGCGCCCGAGCCCGCACCGGCAGCCTCCTTGCCTCATCCCCTGGGCGCCGCTGCCTCAGGGTGACTCAGGGGGAAGCTCTGGTCGCTCGTCCCTCCGCACTAATCCAGCCGGACTCAGGACGCGGGAAAACACAAGGCGACTCCGCGGTGACTAATGGACTCCTAGCAACGGATGTCGCGCACTCTGACCGGCTCCCCAGCGGGCGGAAGTGCGGCCACCGCGCGGGGGGTGCCGGGAAGGCGGCCGGCCTACTTCCGGCCGCAGAGGCTGCTGGGTGGGGGGGTGTGCGCGCGGGGCCGCTACACGGGGAGCGGCGGGCAGAGAGCAAGGGGACCCAGGCCGGAGTTGGAGGGAGGGAGGGAGGGGGGCCCCCCCGGACTCGGAGCTGAGGCCTCTGCCCGGCGGCCGCGTGCCTCCGCTGGGCCAGGAGGCCCCCCCAGCTCTTACCTGCCCCGGTTCAAGAAGTAGGGAGCGCAGCCGAGGGCGTGTTGGCACCGGTTAGTGCTGAGTCCCTAGAGCCCCCGGGTAAACTTTCAGAATTTTGCACGCTGGCTGTCAAATGTGCATGATCTTTAAAAGCCATTATTTAAAAACAATTCTGTAGACCTACAACTAAATAAGTTACGTTAAAACAAAGCAAATAAAAACCTCTCTTCCTAATTATTGTGCTACTTTTTACTATGCCCTATGTTCTAGAGATTTATTGTGTGTATTATGTCCGCACCGTGTGCTTGGGGACATTTACTTCCAACCCTATATTCAGTGACCAGCCGGGAGGCGAACGTTCACACCCCAAGCTTCTAGGATGGGCTGGTCGGGGAACAACCCGAAGTGGGCAGTTGGGAGGGCTGTTGTAAACTAAAAGTCCATTGGAGTAAACCGGGCGTTCTAAATATGGGGGCTTCTCATTGGCTGGGCTGTGACAGTCTCTCATTGGCTGGGCTGTTGCCAGGGCAGGAGAAAACCTTCCTCCTGCGGGGGGAGGGGGGGTGGGGGGGGCTAGGAAAGTAGCGTCCACCCGCTAGGTGTGACTCCCTGTTGGCTCGGCTGTTCCTGAGCGACAGGGCTGAGAGTGCCTCCTGCTGGCGTCCTGACGGCATTCTAAAGGAGGTTTCCTTTTTTATCAATTTTCATAATAAAAATTGGCAGACTCTAGAAATCACCACACCCCCACCCCACTCCCCCCAGAGCTATTGTTAACCATTCCCCCACACACCACTTGAGTCAGACAATGGCCAGGGTAGACATTCAAGAAAATAAGGCCCAGGACTTTTTTGGACCAGCATAGGGACGGAATCAGCCTCCTCTTTATTGAGGCCTCATGCAGGTCCTGACCATGGTGCTCAGTGCATATTTGAGAAAGGGAGGGAGGAAATTATGTGCTACCCTGGGCTGTCAGTTTACTTAAGGTCAGCTTGCCTAACCCTGACCCTGACTGTGACTCTCACCTGACCTTTCTCTAATTGTCCCAACAGCCTTCGCTGCACCCATGCAAGGCCTTGAATACCAACACTCAAAAGAATTTCCCTGGTGAATGTCAGCCAGGAAAGGATTTTGAATTGGGGTGATAGAACCCGAACCTTGCTTTTGGGTGAGAATCAGGCCCGTATGGAGGAGAGGATGAGGAGAGGAACGAATAGACACCAGGAGACCAGCCTATTCTTTGGGGACTTTGTTCAGTACCCACTGTGTCGGACCTGTGGGGGGGAGGGGGCTGCAGAAATGAGCGTGAGCCACAATGCATGGCCCCAGGGAGTTCAATCTAATGGGGCAAGAGATAGTAAAACAGACAATTACTATGAGTGTGATAAGTGCATTGAAAAACGCAGATCAAAGTGCCAAGGGTGACTCATTCCTTCTGGAGGAGGCAAGGAAGCTGTAACCCAGCCCGGACAAGTGGGGCTTGTAGGCAGACGGAAGTTGTCCGAAGAAGGAAGAGGGTGGAGCTTGCAGGCTAACAAACTGTCCTGGCAAAAAAGCCCTTGTTTGCGGAGGGCCTAGGAGATTGGGCTGGAACAGAGAGGCTAAAGCGGGGCGGGGCATGGGAGATGGCTGGGGAGGCTGGGAGGGAATGCTCGGCTGTGGGGGGCAAGGAGCCAGGCCCCACAGAGTGGGGTCAGGCGTGTTCTCTATTATTCTCCAGCCATGAGCTCTGTATCTGCAGTGACACTCAACTTTTCAGCTCTATCTCCCACCTTCCTTACGTGCTCCCACCAGAAAGGAATACTGCTAGCAGCCTGACTCCATACCTGGTACCCCTGCTCTTACGCCCCAAACTCTCTTCAAACACATATATGCTCTTTCTTTCTCTCTCATTCACACACTCTATTTTGTAAATTTTACCCAAATTTATTGCCTAGTTGAATGTATGACTCAAAATCATTCCATAGGACAAATTATAAAAATAAAACTGCCTTTGAATAGCATTTACATTTAAATGTTTTAATCTGAGTGCCTGGGTGGCTCAGTCGGTTAAGCATCTTCCTTCGGCTTGGGTCATGATCCCAGGGTCCTGGGATGGAGTCCCGCATTGGGCTCCCTGCTCAGCAGGGAGTCTGCTTCTCCTCTTCCTCTCCCCCCTGCTCGTGATCTCTCTCTCATGCTCTCAAATAAATAAAATCTTTAAAAAAAATAATGTTTTAGGGGCGCCTGCATGGCTCAGTCGTTAAGCATCTGCCTTCGGCTCAGGTCATGATTCCAGGGTCCTGGGATCGAGCCCCGCATCGGGCTCCCTGCTCCGCAGGAAGCCTGCTTCTCCTTCTCCCACTCCCCCTGCTTATGTTCCCTCTCTCGCTGTGTCTCTCTCTGTCAAATAAATAAATAAAATCTTTAAAAATAATGTTTTAATCTTTATGACATTTGCATTCTGTTTCTGTATTCCAGAGTTGTAAACACATTCTATATTTTCTTTCAATATGTTTATAGTTTAGGGTTTCAAAAACATTTTTGTGAATGATCGAAAGTACAGAGATACTATATATTAGCTAGCTTTTTTCAATGATGTTTACTGAATAATCATTTCATTCCCCACTGATTTGAAATGACACTGAAATAAAATACATCTGTGCATATCTGTTAGGATATACACAATATATACAGAAAGATCAGGGATACAGAAAGACTGTATGATCACACTTATATGTGAAATCTGAAAAAGTCATATTCACAAGAGCAGAGTGGTGCTTGCTGGGGCTGTGGGGTGGGGGAAATGGAGAGACTGGTCAAAGGGTACAAACTTCTGATTATAAGATGAATAAGTTCTAGGGATCTAATGTATAGCCCAGTCACTGTAGTTAATAATAGTGTATTGTATGCTTAAAATTTGCTAAGAGATTACACCTCAAGTGTTCTCACAACACACACAAAAAAGGTTACTACAGCAGGTGATGGATGTGTTAATTAACTTGATTGTGGTAATCATGTCACAATGTATACATATATGAAACCACATTGTACACCTTAAATATACACAATTTTTATTTGTTAATTATACTTCAATAAAGCTGGATGAATAAACAGATAAATATTTATAAGAGAGAAAAAGAGAAAGGATGAACATACCAAATGGTTTAGCAAAAGTGAATCTATTTTACACATTTTGCAAGGTAAATTCATCAGCAGAGCAATAGGTCTGGTTGTTCTGTCCCTGAGTAGGTCTTCTAGAGATATCAGAGAAAACAATTGCCCTTGTTTATGGAATCTGAGAAAATCTTGAGAATCGTGTGGTGGACGTAGGTGACAGGTTACATGATGTCTGCCATTATCCTGGTAGAACATGCTCAGGTCACCCAGGTGTGCACCATTTCCCTCATTAGAATTTCTCAACACCACCCCCCCAAAAGAAAATCCCACAAGCTCTTAAAATACCCCATTTGACCATGAGGCTTTGGTCTTTTGTTGACGCAATGTGATTTGTTGGATGCCTGTTCAGGATAATGGTTCTGTGGCGATATCTAAGCACCCGAGTATCAAAAAGTGCAAAAAGGGGGCACCTGGGTGGCTCAGTCGTTAAGCATCTGCCTTCAGCTCAGGTCATGATCCCAGGGTCCTGAGATCGAGCCCTGCATCGGGTTCTCTGCTTGGCGGGAGGCCTGCTTCTCCCTCTCCCACTCCCTCTGCTTGTGTTCCTGCTCTCGTTTTCTCTCTCTCTGTCAAATAAATAAATAAAATCTTAAAAAAAAAAAGTTTAAAAAAAAGTGCAGGGCGCCTGGGTGGCTCAGTTGGTTAAGCGACTGCCTTTGGCTCAGGTCATGATCCTGGAGTCCCGGGATCGAGTCCCGCATCGGGCTCCCTGCTCAGCGGGGAGTCTGCTTCTCCCTCTGACCCTCCTCCCTCTCGTGGTCTCTGTCTCTCATTCTCTCTTTCAAATAAATAAATAAAATCTTATTTAAAAAAAAGTGCAAAAAATTTTGTCTGAGAACAATCACAAGTATTGTGAGAAACAGGTGGAGCATATTTTGTATTCAATGCTTTAGGCAAACAAGGCCTAACTAGAAGAATAAGTGTCAAGGGTCAGATTGGTTAACTTTCTCAAGTGGCTTTTTAAAACTGATGGTTGGTTTTACCTCTTATTTGGGTCAGAGTCAGAGATAAATTACAGGTACACAACTTTTTAAAAAAGATCTTATTTATTTATTTGAGAGAGAGAGAGTGCACACGAGCAGGGGAAAGGGCAGAGGGAGAGGGAGAAGCAGACTCCCTGCTGAGAGTGGAGCCCATGGGGCCTCGATCCCAAGACCCTGGGATCATGACCTGAGCTAAAGGTAGATGTTTTACTCACTGAGCCACCCAGGCGCCCCAGGTACACAAATTTTAAATAATTTTTAGCCAGAGTGGAAATTCTTGTACAAACCAGTGAAGTCCAGAGTGTTGGGTGTCTTCTGAGAATTTAACACATAAGGCTCCTAATAAGGTATTGGTTACCTGGGAGTTTGGGTTAAATGCATGAGATGCCCCAAATAACAAATGCCAAAAAGTGGAAATTATTAGCTTTTCACAGTCTACATAAAGTTCTTGGTGTACCACTTCATTTAAAATGTACAAACTTTGTAATTATGCAGGCTCATTTTCCTCACCTTGTACTTTATAGTTGTCATATGCATTATATCTACATGTTACAGACCCCAAAACATGGTTTTTATTTTAAATGCTCCTGTATTTTAAAGAAATGAGGAGGAAAAAGCAGTATTTTATATTTACCTACATATTTTCCCTTTCCATGC